GAGGTCTCCTAATTTCATGATATTGAATATGTTTTTCAAGAAGACTGAGTGCAGACCGAAGTTTGAATGTTAAAATACCAAACTTGATATTGATCTGTATTTTTCATATCCACTGTTAAGTCACAACTTATTTTCAAATCTAGTTCCGGACATTTTGACTATTTCTTTCTTTACATAAGGTATTTGGGAGTTAATCATAGGATTTAAAGTATGTTTTCAAGCTCTGTTCTTTGAGCCTTCAAAAACTTCATAGGAATTCGAAATTGCTCATTTAGCTGGATGTCCTATGTGAAGATTTTTTTTCAAATGAACATTGTCAAGAGTGCCGAAAGTTAGCAGTGGAAGCATTTGTTAGCATTTATTTCATGTAAACAAACCTCTTATGGAGAATAAGCACGGCCCACTACTTGCGTAAAACTGTGGTTTGGGTTAGACCTCGTTTAAATAATCAGCACAAAAAGTTTCTCGTTGATACGCAATTGTAAGTTCATTCTTGTACACAAAGAAATATTCTAAGTTTCAAAAAAAGCCCGAGACATTTCAAACGCTGAGACTCATTCCCAAAATATTGCTTAAATCCATCTTGATTTTCAAACTTTCTCTTTACTTTCCATTTCACTCATTAGGTCACTGTCTACACCATTGCTTTATCGCCAAGTATCTTTTACATTTACTCACCTTTCCCGGTAGAACGTGATGTCACCGATACAATCATAACAGCCAAAATGAACAGGAACACAGTCTTCATAGTTGATGTGTCACTGTGAAAATCGAAAAAAAATCCAATATAGCGGCACCTCCCAATTCAAAGCAGTGTAAAGGGCAACTCCCTCCCCCCCCCCCCCCTCCCCACCTTCCTTACTTATCGAAAAACTCAGCAAAGGGACATACTGTAGCCTTCATAAGCAGAAAGTTCAATCAAGCTGAATATCTACTTTACCCCGATTGAGACCAGTCGCAAAACTATTTTAAGAATAGTAAGACAACTGCAATGAAAGATGTCTTGACCTACCTCAATCGTGCGTCCTTTACCAAGGTTTAAGTACCAAAGTTGAACTTTTCAGCTCAAGAATCACCAAGATCTGTTAAAAAGGGATTTTAAAGCAAATATTAAGTTATAACATTGAAGTGAACGTCAACTCATAACTATTGCATCAACAGACATGATACACACGCACACATGGGTTACAAACAAGCTTAGCAACTCACCTCAAGTAAAGCTGTTTTCACAAGCTCTAAAGACCAATTCGTTGCGGTACAGCTAGTTTTCTTTCTTATCTGTGCGTGAGGAACGCTGACGTACGAGTAAACTGATTGGATTACAAAGACTTCCGGAACCTTGTGATTGGTTCAAGCTAATATACTACGTTTTAATTGGCCCATTATACAACCAAATTACAATAGTTAAACTCAAAGAAAGAAAGTCACCGTCTGAAACAATATGAGTTTTTGAAATTATTAGCTTTCTTTTAAACATACCACAACGTTTCAAGTGAGCTGATGGTCGCGAGTTAAAGCTCTGAGTAGAAGTGGTTCTGGCAAACTGCAAACTGAAATATGTACAGGAAACGTAATAAAAAATCTAAAATGAACAAAATTGTCATGTAAAAATTATCGATTGTTGCCCTGGTAACAAATTACAGTTATTCTCTACTTCGTTAGTCTCAAGAGGATCAAAGATCTCTAATTTTCTATACAACTTTGAACCATAACATTCTTGATTACAATTGGGCGAGTATCTAAGCAGGCATGTCTTTCATGCATGTTGCTGCATCTAGTTCCTTTTAAGTGTTTTTTCACTCTTGGGTGTCCAAGTTTTTACCAAAGCCTTGGAAACTGAAAAAGCCTTGCAACAGGACTTCTAGATTAGATAGACTAAACTAATTGAGCTTTTATGTGTTCTGACAAAACAAAATATTTTTTGTTATGAATATTTGTTCAGTAGAGGAGAAATTGTTTGTAACTAGCAACTCATACGAATGGCTGAAAAATAATGGAAAATGAAGATAATCCCCAGCTGTTGTTTAAAAAAATTTATCGCATACAGATTAAACTAATTGACCTTTTGTGTGCTCATAGAACAAAATAGTTTTAATTGTGAATATTTGTTCAGTAGGGAACAATTGTTTGTGGCGAGCAATCTATACAAATGGCCGAAAAACAATGGAAAATAAAGATAATCCCTAACTGTTGTATACAAAAAATTATCGTATACAGGTTAAGGTAATTGATTTTTTGTGTGTGCTCACGGAACAAAATAGTTTTTGGGAATATTTGTTCAGTAGGGAACATTTTTTTGTACCTAGCAATTCCTACGAATAGCTGAAAAACAATGGAAAATAAAGATCATCCCTAACTGTTGTATAAAAAAAAATTTATCGTATACAGATTAAGCTAATTGACTTTTTGTGCGCTCACAAAACAAAATAGTTTTTATTGTGAATTTATGTTCAGTAGAGGAAAAAGTTTTTCGTAAATAGCAATTTATATGAATGGCCTAAAAACAAACTATATAAAATATCTTATACAGAAATCAGATTACTATAGAAAGGCACAAATTATCTTTTGTTGCAAAACTCGGGAATTCTAAAATTTTAAAACGACTTAGGATAAATCCTGTCAGTTGGAGGTGGAATCCTTTAACAATTATGCCGGCCGATCATATGAACAGATCAGGCGCTGACGCAACTTGGCGAATTTGAAAATTTTAATGCGGATGCAAAAGACGAAACAAACATTTGTCATGACGAATTTGTCCTTTGATTTTGTCGGCACAATTCTAGTTTTGTCCGCTAGTGCGGAAAGGTCCTTATTCATTGTGTTTGTGCGCTCACAAAACAAAATCATTTATTGTGGACGGCTTGCTCAGTAGAAAAACAATTGTTTCTAAAAGCGATTGGTATGAATGGACGAAAACAATTGGGCAAATGAAACAACTGATAGACATTTTAATATCGTAATTCGATGGAAGAAAATGCAAAAATTTAAACATTTTCAAGCTATAACTAATTTGGCTGATCCAGCCTTAGTCTCATCAAATGTCGGTCCTATAAGAACCGGTGATGGTAAATTTTACTCTATACGCTCAAACAAACATCATTTGAAAAGAGAAACAACATTGCTAAAATGGATGAGCATTATGGAAATTTTCTAATAAAAAACAAATTCAAGTCTATGACTGGCCTTGTGACTGGATCGTATGACAATATGGCGTTAACGTCGAGCTCTCTTTTTTAGAAAGAAAAACGAATCAAAATTGTCTTATTTTCAAGAAACAAATACGTCCAACAGCCCTAATTCGCTACTCCCTGAAAGTGTACCCCATACTTTAATATTCACAGAAAAGTTTGTATATGTACCATGAATGCATACATTTTTTTTTTCGTTTCGCTTATATACTGTCGTATTCAGGATAAGTGCCGTAGAATATTGAAATGTGATTATTGTGTTTCTATTGGCTGTAATTTCATGATGTGGGAATAAAGAATATCAGAAACATCTTGTGCAACGTTTACATCGAATCTCTGATAGTAACCCCGATTTTTTAAGTTAGCTCTCTGTGGGAGTCTAAGAAACCAAAAGGGTGGCTTGGAGAGGCCAACAGGCGGATCAGTTATTACCAGACAAAGATACAAGAACTTGGACGGCAGATGAATGGAAGATACTTTGCATAAAGCAACAAGGATGAGAGAATTGTCAAGAAATGCTAAGGTCCAAACTGTCCGCGTAGTGAACGTTAGAGTAAAATGATTTCCAAAACACGCTATTGGACCTGTTCTATGGCATCTGATAAGTAGGCTGGTAACCAGGAAAAATGGAAAACATGGTTTTCTAGAGTATTATCACGCGACTTGAAATGGGTAAACATAACATAAAAGCCAAAGAGGTCTATTAATGAAATAACACCATTTTAAAAAAACAAGAACAATGATTGACTACACCGGAAGTATTTACAGAGGGAAGTCATTTCTGCTCCCTCTGTTCTGAGACAGAGACTTGAACTTAAATGTATTTGGCTTAATCTTTGATTCAAAATACAAGAAGGAAACGCTCTTTAGTCACTCTTTGATTGTGAAGTTTATACAGTTAACTTAGAAAAACTCTCATTTATTAGGGCGGATAATTCCGACTAACTTGTTTTAACTGTGCGTCTAAAATGCTAGAATATTCAGCTCCGACAGAGCTTTCTTAAGAAGAGTGAAACAAGTAAAGAGGAAGTTAAAGTTAAGGGGAGTAATTCGCCTGAAAGTCATAGAAAGATATTCTTTGAATTGACTTTGATACATACCAGAGACATTCTAGATATACAGCGACCATCTTCATTAAATATTTCAAATATTGACTACATTTGTAATTTGATGTTCCTTTTCTACCGTTGACAATGAGTTTTGGAAAATAGAACGACCTTCAGGAGAAATCCTTAACGGCAGGTGGTGCAAATTTTGTGTCATACACCCGCTTAACATCGTTATCAAGACAAAATACCATCTTCACACATTCCGGAGCATTATGGACAATTTTTATTAAAAAAGGCAAATTCGATTCCATAACTTTATTATCATTAATATCATCACTATCATTACTATTATTTTTACTATCATCATCATCATTTTTATTATTTCACCCTTACTTACATATTGACAGCATATCAACAAGACAGCAAGTTTTCACTAGTGCTGGGATCTCGCAACAAAGACGTTATCCTGTAGCAGACTCTCATTAGACGAGCGAAAAAAAATGGCCAGACAAGCTGAAGTTGTCAGGGAAACAGCTTCGCGATCCCTTGACGGGTCACTCAGCCATGATCTGAAGCGTGGCTACTAAGCTTTTTACTCAGCAACAAAGATGGCGTCGTTTCCATCAACTCAAGTAGTATTTTAGGATCCTGGTAAAAACCATATAAACAAGCCAGTGATAAGATTTACTCATCAGATGATGAAGGCAGAATTTTCAAAAATACTTGTTAATTTCGCCTGAATGAAGGTTGTTTGAAAGGATCGATGTGTGCAGATCTCTCAACTTCCATGGAATGGCGACCGGAGGCATTCGAAAGCAGACCGTCATTATGGAAATTTATCGAGGAATACGTTCCTGAAAGTGAGCGAATCGAGATCAAAGAAGCTTTGGGAGAAGATCTTGTGGATGAGACCTTGGATTTACACAATGAGGTCGGTTATATTTACATGTACATGTATGTATGTTGACGTTTATGTCAGATAATATCATGCATTATCAATCAGCTATTGACTTCAGTCAATAAAGTCGATAAAAATCAATAGATACATATTGATGATTATTGTTTGATCTAAAAAGTCAATATAAATCGATAATCATCCTTAAACTCTTCTTTATTTCGTTGTGTGTTATTGCTTTATATTGATCGATAATCACTATGGTACTGGACGGTTACTACTGCCTAAGTAGTGCACATCACTGCGAGGATCACTTTCATTCAAATTATGGTACTGTTGTGTGATAGTTAAATCCCCTTACAGTTGATGACTACAGTGATGATGATTAAGTGTAAGCATGCTCAAAAAATGAATGTCAGTATTTCGAGGCTTCAAAGGATAACAGTCAACCAATTATAAATGTTATCGCAAAGTGCTTTGTTTCCTGCTGTGATTGCAGGATGGAAAATTAAAAGAGGAGAGAATGCAGGAATAAACTCTCTATTGAAGACAGGGGCCATTTATTTTTGCCACTGGTTGTTTCTCTATCAGCTAAACTTTTGAGTTAACAATTACATTGACACAAGGTCTTTCCTCTAACTTTTCTTTGGTCTGTTTTGGTAATCTTATCCTTACTGATTTACTGTTGTAAGTTATCTGTAATTTGGTGCATGCAAATAAGGAAACTTTCCTCGTTTTCTTGAAACCTTTCTACATCACAGGCATCCCAAGCTCATGTCTCGATAATAGCAAGAGGTTAATTCATGAAAGGGTCATGTATTGTGTGGCACAGTGTTAGGTTGCTTGAGGTACCATTGAGAATTTGAAGGCCTCATAAGGAATAGTATGGGTAAAGAAATCTGGTTGATTTATAAGGCTAAATATTCCAAAATTCAAACATTTTACCTGTAAGATTGATAAAAGTTACTCACTCCTTGTGTGTCTGTTGTGTTTTCTGGCATTCTCTGCTGTTTTAAGCATGCTTTGCCATCACTGTTATTCCTGTTATCAATAAAGGGCAAAATTACTGAGCGCTGATTGGTTGAGAGAGAGGACATTTTTTCTTAATCGAGGGCATTTTTAGTAATCAAGAGAGGGCATGATTACCTGTTAATGATTGGCTAATCCGTTGCATAGCAACCGTTCGTTATCTTGAAATTTGTTAAAAATAGACTGCGCGCATGATTTTCCTTCGTGCCCTTAATTGATAAACAAGTAATCCCATGAGACCTCGTACTATTAAGGATTAATTGCACTTGAGTTTTCAAAATTTTCCAAATTGCCCTCGTCGCTTTGCGACTCGGGCAATTTTGGAAAATTTTGAAAATTCTCGTGCAATTAATCCTTAATAGTACTTGGCCTCATGTGATTACCAATACTTATAAGACAGGGTCAGGGCTGCACACTATGATTTCAACTGTTGTCCATGTGGAGATGGATTGCACCCAAATAATCCTTCCAAACAGCAATTTTTTCACCCAAAGTTTACACTCTAAGACCACATTGAACCCTGGAAAAATGCTGAAAACAAGCATTTTCTACCAGAATTTCCAAGTTAGCCCATCAAATTCTCAACAGTTTCTTGCATAACTTAACACTGGGTAACACAACATGTGATGCTTTCATGAAATAATCTTTTGCTCTTCTCAAGACGTGAGCTTGGGACACCCACATCTACATCACAATTTTCTTGCCAACAATGACAAATTTCACTGTTGATGTCTCTGCAAGGAAATGAGAACTTTGTTAGAACATAAATGTGTCAATGTTTTGTAGATTTTTGATGGGAAAGAACCCTTTGGGCAAAAAGTTTTGTAGAACAGCTACATGTAGCTACACCATCAAGTTGAATTGTACAATTTCTCATTATAACTGTCACATTTCCTCAAATCTTTGCTTCTTTAGGTACTAGAAATCACAGGAAAATGTTGCTTAAGGGAATGCCATCACTTTCTTTTGTGTTTCTTTTGTACACAATATCACCTTCTATTTTGTGATATTTTCAAGGGATAGCCATTGTACGCAGGTGTCTCACAGTAGCCTAGATGTAGCTGCACCATCTCCTCCCCAAGGCAAAATGGAAGTGAGGGAGGGGAGGGTACAGCTACACCTAGGTTAGTCTTGCAGCAACAACTCCCAGCTCCTGCACACATATAGCTACCTTCTGACAGAAGAAAAAAGTAATTAACTTACATTAATAACTACCAGTTAAATAATGAAAGAATGGTCTGTTAATATTTTAATATAGGCCTCCACCCTTCTTGAAATCTGGCAAGATTACAGGGAAGAAACAGAGAAAGAAGAGAGAGGTTCCTTTTCTTTTTTGTATTTTAGTTATTATTATTTAAATAATTACCATGTTTTGGTTACACACAACTGTTGTAAAAATTTGTTTGTCACATGTTATATACAAAATCAAGATAGTTATAGATATTCATTGATTTTAGGTTTAAATAATTGGCAGTTTCATAAAAATGATGATCAATAGCAAAGCACTTTCAGAACATCCTTGAAAGGTGCTAGGGGAAAGGTTCCTCTTGAATTGATTCTTATTTTTTTCAATTTAGAAGCCCAATATGCACACCTTTATCTACAATGTAATGTAACTTTATTTAAGTAACCATCAGTGTAGGGCTCTGACTAGTTATTCTATGTTTATAATATTAAGGGCATTCTTGAAGTGTACTTTTGATTACACCATAATGGTTGCCCAAACTTGTAGTAATTATCATGTTCCATTCATGTTTTAAATCTGCATTTGATAGTTCATGGTATTAGAGGCTTAATTTTCCACACTGCTCAATAATGAACAATCATTTACTAGAAGCAGACAAAGAGCAACTATAATTGTTAGCAAATGTTTCCACCCATTTGTTGATGAAATGGATTATTGACATAATTATTACGTGACATCTTTTTTCAACTCTGTGATGGCTGAGTATTGAGCATGTACAAATATGTTTCAGTTAATGAGTTTGTTCCACATGATGACTGTATTCATTTGTTAAAAAAGAGATCGTCAAGATTCTCTGATTTGTATCACTGTTAAGCAACTACAGTGATTTGGCTTTCATAATTTTGAAGGGTCTTTCCGGTACAATGTCTTAAAAATGACAAATGGCAATCAACTTTTTGGAATTGGCTACCATTTAAAAATATCTAGGAGCCAACTGGCTATTAAAAAAAAAAAAATTAATTTTACGTCCTGTATTCAAGATAGGTATGAACAAAACATTGTACTGAAATAAACTTGTTTATGGTACTTTGTTGCCAATACAACAGTCAAAATATCACTCTAATAATCCAGTACTGTATTTCAGTTTCCAGTTTGATGGGGTATTCTTAGACTAGTAACTTTAAAAGGGACACATTGTAGACCAAGCCCTTTCCCAAACATTATCTTGTCTCCCAATTAAATTGCTCTGGTCTTGCTCTTTTGATGAGTACTGCTTTCATTTTGACAGAGAAAGCCTTGCAAAGACATTTACATAGACTTCCTGAGCCTCCAATGATAAGAGAAAATCTCAAGAAAGAGATTAAAATGTTTGTGGAAATGTTGCAGCAGAAAGCAAAAGAGGAAGGAAGGTATAGTGTAAACTGTAAAGTTTCATTTAGTAATGACATGCTGGTTGTCACTTGTTAGAACAAAGATGTGCACGGATTGAAGCATGTGTTTCCTAAAACTTTGTATCCTATCCTGCATTATAACTGCGTCTGAAGATTTATGTGGTCTAAAATTTGTCATAAGCTAGTTGTCAACACCTTCCAGTTTGAAAATTTTTTAAAGTTTGTAAAGACATTGTAATCTTACCAAGATTTTGTGATACTTCCTTGTTAATCATATTTTTTAGAACGTGTTTTCACTCTGTGAAATTTAAAGTTAGTAGTTGGCTAATGAGCAAGGGTGATAGTTATTGTGTAAAGTTGAATTTTTTTTTGGTACCAACTTGAAGCTGCTAAAAATAACTACATATCTAGATATTTTACAGCTGCCTAACATTGGAAAATGTTAAAAAATTCTTGAAGGGTATAAATACAGCTACCTAGGCATGTTCATTTAGAAATTAAAACAAACAACTAGAAAGGCAGAAGAGAAATTTGACCTTCTTGCGGCAACTACAGCAACAGAAGGACCCATTTTGTTTGACATGATTTAAATCTTATGATTTGACATAACTCATTTTATTTGTCAATTTAACTCCCATGAGTGATCAAGATAGAATTTCTCCTCACAATATCAATACAATATCAAGCATACAAGTGATGAGAATAAAGAAAAATATAAATTAAGGGAAAATGAGTTGATCCAACACCAAATTCTCCCAACAAACATCATGAGAACTGTATGGCAGATAGTAAGGAGAATAACTAATGAGATCTTGGGAGTTAAAGTGTTAACTTAACAATTTGCTCTTTGTAGGAATCCATCAAACATTTTGAGTGAGAAGGAGTCTGATATCGTGGAATATGTGTTTGACAATACAGGTAAGTTCAACATGATGTTTAGCTTAAAACCAGATAGTTTGCTTGAAAAAAAGTATTTCACTTGGTCTACGTAGTATAATACATGTACCTTAATTTATCACTTTCCTAATTTCAACCACACTGTTTTTAAATTTAGGCACATGCATGACTGTAATTTAATAATTTTCTGTGCATAATTTGCAATTTACACAACATCCAAAGAAATTGTATTTTTCATCCAATTATTTGCCATTCATTATTTTTTCTCACTTCCATCATGATTGGAACAAAGGGCAATTGAATTGCACGATTATGTTCATAAAGTGGGTACATTTCTAAAGAAACTGGTGCTGTGTCAGCCACTGTAAAGAGTTTCAAAGCTGACATTTTGCATGTTAGCCCTTTGTCAGAGCAAATGACATTACATCACCTACCCAGTTGACAAAACCAAAATTGTCTTACAATTATGTTAGACTGATGTGGGTTCTTTGTTCTTATTAACAGCTGCTCGACCCTCCAGCTCATCAAGTCGACCATCCACTGCTCATTCATCTAGAGATGGACGACAAACCCCAATGAGGGCAACACCCAGTAGTGATGGTAGCAGGTGAAGATGTAAATTGGTGTAATGCTGTTTGCTTCTGTCCATGAGCTTATGCGCTAAATGTAGCACACAACAATTAAAATGATTTTTCTTGTTTTGCCAAACAATATAATGTATTTAATGATTTTTTTTCTTTGGTTTAGGTGTGCTTCCTCTCTTAGCGATCATCTTGAGTCCATGAATGACAAGCTGAATGCACTGGAAATTGATAGAATTACCCATCATTTAAGGTACTTACTGTCTTACTGCCAGATAGCAGTGAGTCCATTTCATATGCGTTATGTCAAATTTTCAGATATCATCTTGATTGGTACAGGAAAGCACTCATACTTGTATATTATTATTGCCACATGTGGATATAACTTTAACGCATGCTATTGTTGACTACAATTGTAGTTCTGAGTCTGTTTTCCCTCTCCAAAGGTTTTTTTCTCATGTTACTATGAAACTTAAAATGCAAAGTACAGAAAAGAGTGGGAGAAAATTTCTCATAACCACGAGGCAATAAGATGCAAAAATAGACCCATATGTGATTTATCTATAATATCTTTCTCACACATGCAACCAGTTATTAACACACTGGCCCAGTGACCTTGTGATTTTGCCCTTTGTTCTTAATCACTTTGATTACTTTGGCAGCATTATTTCCAAGCTATTTACTTTAAAAGGGAAAAAACAGTCTCTGGTTTCAGATGCAACTACTTTAATTTTTTGCCTTGTTTTAATCCATTAATATTTCTTGTGTGCATTTTCAAATTGTAGGCAGTTATTAGAAGAAGAGAAAGAAGGTCTCCTTGGAGACATAGCATTTTTGCAGGTACAACTGATGTGCCCTATCATGTAGTGATACTTAACCCTGTAACTCCCATGGGTGATCAAGACAGAATTTCTCCTTACAATGTCAATACAATATCATGCAGACAAGTAATGAGAATAAAGAAAAATATCAATTATAGGATTAATAATTGATCCAGTACCAAATTCTACAACCTGCAAAAATGAGAATTGTTTGGCAGACAGTAAGGAGAATTACTAATTAGATCTTGGGAGTGAAAGGGTTAAGAGAGCAGATGGTGCTGACAGTGAAGCCAGTGCTCACTTTCTCCTGCTGTGTTCTGAGTTTATGAATTCCATATTTTAGTTTAAGTTGGATGATTTTTACCCTGGCCTCTTGCTTACCAGTTTCCTTCTGCAAAGGCTATTAAATACTCCAAATTTCAATTAGTCAGGAATTATGGGGATATACACTACTAACTTGCATTAATTTTTTTACATTTATAACAAGTATTTTTCATTTATTGGGTAGTGAAAAGTTTTGGAAATCAAAAAAAGAGGAGAGAAAAAAGTGAAGAGGTCTATATAAATGGCAAAATAAATTTTTTCATGTTTAAAAGAAAACACTGTATATTGCTATTCTGTGTAGGTTTTGATGTTCCTAACTATTATAATTTTAAAAAATTGTGCAAATTTTCTAAAATCGCACAATTCTTCTTCTTTTGTTTCTCTTGTTTCCTATTTTTGCATTGGGTGAATATTAGCTCTTAATTCTCTACAACTGTACAATAGAACCTCTACAGTTTACCCCCCTTCCCGCCCAGGGGAAGACGACCTATTCCGACACGTTTTTCTGTTCTAATGAGCCGTGTGGCTGTTTGAGGAAAATTTTCCTAGAAAGCTGGCTTTCATACTCTTTATGGTGGCCAATTTACTATACCAACTCAGTTGATAATATTAAATTATCTGTCTATACTCTCCCACCGACGCAGCACCACAGTTTCTCTAGAAACGAACCCTCTCCTTTCATAGAGTTTGTCGCCGTACTCTGCTTTTAAATTAACCTAGTTGGACCTTTCTGTGTGGTTTTTTTAAGGATTGCCTGATGGAGGAATCAGACTATAGAGGCCAGGTTACATCGCCGAATGAACCAGAGCCGTCGTTGAGAGGTAGAAGAAGCTGAAAAGTACTTTGAATAAATAATCACACAGATAGAGTGTCGTACAACCAAAACCCAAAATGATTTACTATAGGCCAATCAAAACACCAAGGAAAACATCACAAGTAACCAATGCGAACTCAAAGTGAAACCAAGCAATCGGCATTAAGCGCGGGAAAACGCGGTTGAATGGGTGACACGTGATTTCTTAAACAACCACTGAACGCAGTAAAGCAAAACCAATGCAAAACCAATGTCAAACTACAGCAGTCATAAAAACCCTCACTTTTAACCACCGATATAGCTGGGTTCCACACGACTTGACTAATTTATTGCGTTTAAATCATGCCCAAATACAGGGTTGTATGTTCTTTCACAAGTGTTATTATTTTTGTTTTAGATTTGCGTGATTTGGGAACGAAACTTGAGAAGGAACTTCTCAACAACGTTTCAGCAGTTGCAAGGTAAGCAGTACAAAATCTGATTTCTCCTTCTTCGTTTAAACACTTTATTAAAAGTGATGTGTTTCCGTATAATATAAGAGTGAGAAGAAAACCTCTATACAACCACCTTCAAAACCAACTCAGGTGGTTAAATAACTTTTTCCATCATCCTCCAGGCGTCGTTCGTCCAGCGACAGTGTACATTCTTCACAGTGGGATAACTTTTGTCTAGTACAAAATAATGTATTTCTCCTTTTCCCGATGAACAGCTTTACCGTGCTGGTAAAGCACTGTAGAAGAACATTTCTGAGAATAAATGTAATACAAATAAATGCCCCTGTAATAGTACACCATAGTGGCATCAATTAGAAGTATATTCAAGAAAGTTCCAAAGCGTTAAATCAGAATGCTACAGTATCCACATTTCATGGCAGAAATATCCAAAACTCCCTCCTAATGTCTCTCTCCGTAACAACGCTGTAACTGCGTATTTGAGAGCCCCCGCTGGCTAAATTCCCTAAACGGACGACTAGAGACTAACACCTCTTTAGCTAGGAAAGAACTGAAGGGAATGTTCCAGGCCTGTGGCCACGGTCATATTTTATCCTCACACTTGTTTTATATCGTAGACAACCGCAACGAAGATTGTCTGACTCCAAGAGACAATCTTTATTAGAAGAAAAACCACAAAGAAGACGTGAATCGACTGAGGCAGAGCCTCATCCCATACCCAGACCTCCCCCTTCTTCACATGACCGACGTTACCATGGTACAGTACCCAACCGCGTACTAACAAGCAAAAGCTCTGAGATCAGCGGTGTTCCTCGCGGACAGTTTTCTCCTTCTCCACCAACATCGGCGAATCAAAAGAGACTGACGCCCTCTCCACCTACTTCGGCGAAAACTGTTCGGCCAGGTTCGGCTGCGCGGTTTCGGAAAATGGTCGTTGATTGTCGCGACAGTGGAAGATAGGATGTTGTTCAGGAACTGTGCGAATCGAGGTTTATGGCAGATTTGGCAATTTTTTTGCCTTTTTTCTGATCACGAATTATCGTCGACGAGTCGTGTGCTTTTTGTTCCAAATCCATTTGGACTAACTTGCGTGTTAAGTTTGGAAAATTTATATTCCACGAGTGTTTGTCTAGGAAGGTGCCTCCTTCGGGTGGCGTCTTAACTGCTTCCAGACCAATGTCAAGCGTTTCTTTATAAGGAATTGAAAAGGCACCCACTTAATGTTGTGCATAAAGTGGGTGCGTATTACTATGTATTAAATGTCGCACCTACAAGAAAATTAAGTGTCGCATCTACAAAAAAACAACAACAAACAAACAACCGAAAAAGGCACTTTCTCATGATTGGTTTGTTTTTATTTTCCATCAAAAATTAAAGAATCCGTTAGGGTTCCCTGAAGTTCCCTGATCGCATGCAGATCGAGGTGAATAATTTCTTTTGGAAAAAAATTAGAAACTGAAAAGAAAGAATGTTATTTATTTTGCTTTTAACTTGGTAAGAAATGTACATACATTAAAAAGAGAAAGAAAAAGAAAAACTACTTGCCTTTGAATTTTTTCTTTTTTTAACTAATGGCTAAGCGAAACACAAAAACGAGTTTTTGTGGGAACTCCGATATGCAAATGTGTCCCTCTTCTCGCACTAACTCACTCAGGTGTAGTCATTGTCGTAATTATGGGGGATAGGTTTCCCACGAAACTGTGGTGCTGCCACATACTGACGTAAGGCCATGTGTTTTTTTTCTTTTCTTTATTTAGTTTACTCAGCCAGCGCCAGCAAAAAAAATTTCTTAAGTCTCGATGATTCTGCGAGGTTTTCATTTCCTAGCTGAGAATACGTCTCACTTATGCAAGTAATTTCCTTTTTTTTCACACGGTCGTTAAAAACATGAATAAAACCCCTTGGTGTGACCTCATTGTGAACAAAAGTAACTTAATTATTTCCTAGCGCAAGGTAACTGTGATATTTCAGTAAAGCAGCCTATAGGTTATAATTGCCTGGCGACTTTCTCAACTATATATAACAGCTAATTAATGCTTTGCTCCCACCCTTCGTTCTAACGGAAGAAGTATATTTGCCGTTCTCACAATTGAAAAAAAAACAGATTGAAATTGAAATTCTACTTATTTCTACGATTTTCTCGGAATTTAAGTTTTACTTATAAAAACATTGTGTACTCTCATTTAGGATGGAAAATTAGTTGGAAATACTCTCTGCGTCTGTCCTATAACCTCCTGACCCCGCGTTTCCGGCCTTTGCCGTTTATCAAAAACGGACGCCCCGTAAACAAAACTTTGTCTACGCTGGTAAAATTGCGAGAAAGAAACAGGCCTTACTTTAAACATACTCAAATGGAAAAACAAATCGCTCTGATGAAAGGCTAACGCTCGAAACGTCCGCCTTTAAGACTCTTTACGGTGGCCAATTTACGTTTTCAACTCAGTTGTTAACACTAAATTACCTGTTATACTTTCTCACCGATGCAGCACCACAGTTTCTTTAGAAATTTACCCCCTTTATTCAAATGGAAGGCTTAATTTGTAAGTGTGGATGGGAAACGACTCAACTGACAAACCCGGCTGGAAAATTGGCTACCGTCACACATACGAAAACGTCAAGGCGAGCCTTTTTATTTATTTCTAACGGTGGTAGATTTACCAGATTAAATCATGTTGATCTGGATAGTCATTTTCTCTTTATTAAAAAAAGAAGTTGTGCAGAAACAAAGTCTTTGTTTATTGATCCAAAACAATTAGCGCTAATTGTATGGCCCTCGAAATGTAATAACGCGCGATAAATTAGGGCGTTTCTTGTAACATTCGTTTACGGCATGTTTCAGTTATTTAACACTTCCATGGGGAGTTAGCCTTTTGCACACTATTGTGCTTCTATGCTGTTCAATATTTGATGTAATCAGACACCGAAAAAGTCTCAGCTAGAAACGAAACGCGTCAGAATAAATAAACGAGAAATTGCGACAGCTAGAAGTCTTCCTTTGTGCAGCTTATTTCTCTCCGTTAAAAAAATATTAATATTTAATTCATAAGATGCTAGGAGACGTGTTTTATTTTCACGTAAAACCTAGACAGCTTACAGTTTGCGTGATTTAGAACTCTCCTGGAGAAATAAAGTCTTTGTTTACTGAATCACAATAATAACAACGATATACACCTAACCAAGCCAAAGGTGACCCGTTTCCTTAATTATTTTAATTAACGTTATCTACTGGCCTGTAAAGTTACGACAAATTCAAAGTGGTGTCAGATTAGGTTGGTGAGAGGCTACATGCCGCCTTTTATTCGGTGTGGGATGCCTTTAATTTTTTACCAAACATCAGACTGAGACAATGCGACAATGAAATTCAGATGACGGGGAAAATGTATTTATCCAATGATTCAACATCACGTGAAACACACTAAAGTAAACGAACTACTCGAGCTTACTCGTAAAAGCATTACATCTTTTGTAGTGCCGACGTACTCTCAATAAATTTCGTCAGAGAATCAACACCTGATCTTGAAGCATTGTCTTGCATTACGTAAAGATGATTTATCCAAGCCAATTTGTTTTCATAACCTTCAAAAAGTAGACCTAAGGACAAAGTGGCAAGATTAACAACATTATCTTTTGACAAGAAGGTAATATGTGTTTAATGTGACGGGTAAGACCAAGTCATACTCTTTGATCTGAACAGTTTTAAGGAAATGAAAAACCCGCCAAGAACATTGTTGAGTTATTTGAGCACACGCGATGTTTAAAGAACATGAGTAAAGCACGAGCCACAGGCAAATGATTCTTGCAATATTCGGGTGGAAAAAGTTTTCGTGCGCCTCGCTTCAGGGGCTAGTTTCGCTTGGTGTGTACCAACAATTTTCTTCTTTTTTTTGGTTTTGTTTTCTACGATTTTTTTGACTCGTGCGACGGATTTCGCCGAAAAGAAGGGACTGCTCGTGGTCTATTGTCCATTTCCACTCTTCTAGAATTTTAAATGTTGACAAATTCGATTTCATTTTCATGCACAGTATAGTGGCAATAATCGAGAAAAAGGAGTGTCAACAAGGTGTCACTTATGAAAAAACTTTTGTTTTCTAGGAACAAATCGATAGCTATATAGAATGAGTAAAGATCAAATTCACTCAAGAGCAAAATTTTTTTCATTCAGAAGTCCGAGAAAATATAGTCACGTTGAAATTTCCACTAAGAATAACTAAGTAAATAAACAGACAAACAATTATTTGGAACATTTCCCCCGAAATGTTACCTGATTTCAATTACTTGCACTAACAAATGTTTTTTTTTTATATATTTATTTTTTTCCTCATTTCAACAGATTAGAGTCTAATGAATAATTACAGGTAAAATGAGAGGATGGAGAAGGGCATAATATAGCAAGCTAATTAGATGCCCTTTACCCTAAATTACATTTTTTCATACAGTAAAAAGAAGCGGTACAATCAGATATAAGATACAAATATAAGATACAAATATAAGAGAGGGAATAGGAATCACACCTTAAACAACACATATTTAAATAAAACATGGTCAGAGGAAGACATTAATTAGTACTAGGAAAGGTAATGTGAGAAAAGTGCTCTTTTAAAAAGTTTTTTAATGGGCTTCTCCCGTAGAGATATAGGAATATCATTCCAATAGCAGCACCCTATAACTGTTGGAAAGAATTTCCTTATATTTATTCTGAAGGGGCTAGGGTTCAGGTGATGCAAAGATGTACTTCTAGTGGCATGATCATGGATCTCAGATAAAAAAGAAAGTGCAAAATTAGAAGATTTTTTGTCTACAATATGATCGTAGAATAGTTGACACGTACTCAATTTAATTATGTCAGGAAGCTTAATTAGGCCAATGCCTACATAATGGGGAGTAACATGGTCACAAATTGGTACATTGTTGATGGTTCTTGTGGCTTTGTTTTGTAGCTTTACCAACTGAGACAATGGAGCTTCGTAATTATTACCCCACAATATGCAGACGTATGTTAAATAAGGATGCACAAGTGCATAGTATACACTTACGAGAGATCGAACTGTTACATGTCGTTTCAGTTTTGCGATTATGTTTAGACTTTTGCTAATTTTACTGCTGATATAATCAATATGATCATGCTATGACAGAAAGGAATCGATAACTAATCCTAAGTATTTAACAGTGTGAGGTAATGATCGGCTAATTTAAGGGGGGTATAACTTGTAATTATTTCTCTGTCGTGGTTGGAAAACCGGGATTTTTTCTGACTTTAATTCAGGGTTAACTTATTTCGGAATTTATTCGCTGGATCAATACATCTAAATTACTACGTATACCAACTGCTGTTAAAGATGTGTCATCTGCAGAGTCTTACAGTAAAGTAATTAGTAGCTCTGGCCATATCGTTCATATAAACTATAAAGAGGAATGGCCCTAATATTGACCCTTGTGGTACTCCTGAATTCAGTGAGTAGAAATTAGACTCGACACCATTAACGAACACCTTTTGTTTCCGTTTGCTTAAGTAAGACTTGAACCACTGGTTTTCACTGGCACGAATACCATATAGGTCAAGTTTGGAAAGTAAAATGGAATGGTTAACTGTCAAAGACTTTGCTTAAGTCTAGAAACATAGATACAGCATAGCTATCTTCGTCAATAGCTTTAGTTATATCATCTACTAGGTCAACCAAGCAGTCAGTTGTAGTTTTTCCGGCTCTAAAGCCTAACTGGTTCGATACAAGAATATTTTTCGTGTTGAAATATCAATTGATTAAGAATGCATCTTTCAAAAATTTTACTCAAGGCTGAAAGGACTGATATGGGGCGATAGTTGTTACATAAGGAGCGAGAGCCCTGTTAAAAACTGGGATAACTTTGGCAACTTTTAAACTGTCTGGAAAAATGCCTTGCTTAAGTGATAAATTAATGACATAAATCAATGGACTATCACTATAGGTGCGGCAGAAGATAATGGCAAAGGATGAACTTTATCAAGATTAAACGATTTCTTAATATCAATACTCTCTAATAATAAGAAGACCTCCACTCCATTCACTCTAATAAACCGAAACGATTCTTTTTTCCTGTGCATGTAAGAAGAGGAACGGTGATTTGATTTGGGCAGTTTGGCTGCAAGGTTGGCCGGAACACTGCAGAAGTACTTGTTGATCGCATTTGATATTGAGAACGGCTATTCAAAGTTTTGGTCGTTTACTTGCAATTTTTCAATGTTGGAAAATGGCCTCTTTTTGTTTATAATCACATTAATGTTATCTCACATTTTCTTTGTAGAATCTTTAAGTATATTACCATATACTTATATTACCGTGCGCGATATATTTTATTGATGGCCACTATTTTGTTACGATAAAGTTTGTGTTTATCATGATAATAGGAGTTTACGGGTTGTCAGACATTTTTTATACAGCTGATTACGAATTTTAATTGCTTTTCTTAAACATCCAGTTACCCAGGGTTTATTTGACTTGTTTTTAATTTTGGTTATTTTCAAACGTGCATCTCCATTGTTAATTCTGTTAAAAATGTGAAGGAATCTCGACAAACTTTCATTTGCATTACTACTATTATATAAGGGCAGCCAGTTCGCGTTTCTTAACGTATTTTGAAAAGAAATCTTGTCAAATTTTTTAAAATCTCCAACTTTAATTGTGTCAGGAATGGGGCTACACTTTGGATCGTACACAAGGCTAGAGACAGGCAAGTGATCAGCAATTTCTACCGCAATACTTTTACTTGTACTTGAAGTCACAAAATTCGAATGGATATGATCTAAGCAACTAATTTTTGTCTTACAAATTTCTTACATAACATAATACTTCATAGGCTTCTTTCACTTCGAGTAACAAAACTAACATCACATGAAACCGACAATGCACTATCCATGAACAAATTCGTTTTAATTCTGTGTTGCTTGAAAATGTGCTAATCATTTCAAGCAACAGTTTTGCTAATTTTAATCCTTCAGTCAATTTATTCTCCAGTGAGAGAAAGGGATTGAAAATGATTGACTGCTACTTTCCTAATACGTTTAAACTGTTTTCAGAATGGAGGTATCCTTTATGATATTCCTACAGACGATTACAGATCCTTTGACTGTGAACCAGTGTGGGAATTACTACAGTGACATAACCGTGTCACTGTATGTAACCCGATAAACTAACTCTTCTATTCGTTCAAATACCACAAAAAGACTAGTTATTTTCCTTTTTTCCCCGTTGAATTAATCGTTCTCAGACTAAAATATTAGGAGATGCAAATGGCCTATTATTAAAAACATTCTTTGCAAATTTTGTGTAAGCCCCTGAGAGCGTAAAATATTACAACGCTAAAATTTCACGTCATCCTTATTTCCACTCTGTTTACGAGCAACAGTCAAACGTCGTCGCTCAATATTAACGGGTAAAATTGAAGTTTTACCCTCTGACATAATATATTTTGCAGTCAAGCATTTCATTGTTGGATTTTATGAGACCCCAAAGAAGCTAATGAGTGCATGTACTATTGGGGAAAAAATTCAGCTTTGTGGTCAGCCTCCAAGCCGGTTAAAAAAGACTGAAGTACTTCTAAGCATACCTATTTATTTCTAATATTGAGTTACTATTGAATATCTGTGAGAAAAAATTTTTTCTTACATAAGGAAAAACATCACTAAGGTAAGTTCACTCAAAGTTAGTCGATTCCCACTGAGCCTTCGGCCTGTGCTTGGTGCACAGAAAAGAAAAACGTGGTACATATCATACATCAAAGTTAATGGGATCGAACGTTTTCCAATGTTTCCTCCAACGCTTTAAGTGCGATTTCTTCCATTTCTCCTAACCATTTCGTTAGTAGGTAGTATGTTGCGCCGAACGACAAGGAACTACCTATAGCTGTGCCAATTATCGGAATGTAGCGTGAGAATTCCTTGACGACACTTTCGGTAGCGTAGGCTGCAAGAAGCCCGCTAATTTGCATGGTACTGCCAAGCACTGCACTCAATGCCTTTATTTGAGTTTGGGTGTTGGAAACCAGCAAGGAAAATCTGTTTGAACCTTCTTGTGAGAGACCAAGCTGGCTTATGTAAAAGTTTATTTCACTTTGTATCATCGCGATATCGGCCGAAATGGATACCCCGGGAATTGGAACAGTTGCAGCGAAAGCAGATGCGGTAGCAACAAACTTGATGCGCTCTTTAAGAACTTTAACCTTCTCCTTCAGGGTATTTTTTGACAAAATTAAGGCATTATCAATGGTCAGAATGAGACTCTCACGTTGTCGTTGCGGCAATATGGCTAAAATTGCTTGGGTCAGCTCATCAAATTGATACTTGGTAGGAAAGTGGTTGCTTATCAAGAAAATTTCTTTCTCATCGTTGAGCAGGCCTCTTTCAATCAAATTTTGCGAAATGCTCTTTCGTATCTTATTCAGGGTGGCATCTTCATCAAATAAATGTTTTCTGCTTCTCTTCGCATTTTCAACATCTTGATCAATTCTTGCCCGAATGAAGAAAAACTTCTTACCAGTTGATCGAATCCTCTCTGCAAGTTTCAAGTCGTCAGCGGTGAGTCGATCTTTGGCAAAGATCAGATAGGTATCGTACTCATCCAATGGTACATTTTTGCAGTATTCCTCCAGATCTCCTTTGTAGAATGGATTCGTTATCCCTGGTAAGTCCCAAAACTTAATTTTGGGGTTGCTGGGATGATCGTAGCATTTCGGCTCTTTAGTGCACTCAGTGACATCGACTTCTGCTGCACCAGTATCAATGTCTTCCAGTCTATCAAATAACGAAGGAATTAAAGTTAAAATGTTGTTAAATGTTTCCTTGGTTTCCAGGGCCTACAGAGCTTGATCAGGCTCCGCAGTTTGTGTTTTATTCCTGATCAAGTCTTGGTCTACAAGAAGGCTTTTTTCTCACTTAGTTTAATATCATAATAATCAAAACATCGATAAAAACGACATATTTATTTCGAAGCGAAGTTATCATTAAATGTTATGTACGTATTGACTGAATGGGAGGGACAGAAGGTCAAAATCCTTGGTTATTCAAAAGGTTCTTCATTATGAACATTAAAATAAAATGACTGAGTCGCAATAAAATGAACAGCTATGGCAGCAGTAGGATAGTTCGAGGCACTCTGATTGTTGCATTAAAGTGCTTACGGGACCTGTTAAAATATGTAATATACAACAAGATCCTTAAATTTGACAAAAGTGACTTATTCTTTAATGTTACGTGCTCAGCGCGTCCTCAGTCGTAGTGCATCGATGTACTTACCCTCGTATGCGGTTTATAAAGGTAGATTTTCCAGCTCCTGAAACACCACATACTGCAAATTGTATTACGACGTTCTTCCAAGCGTCAAGTTTGCTCGTAACGTATTCGGCAACTCTGGAAACTCCATTTTGCTCCACGTAATCCCGAAGCTCTTCAGCGCTAAGCATCCCCCAGCTTTTAAAATCATCCATGTTTAAAACAAAGCGATATTATTTTTTGTTCACAGATCTCAACAGGAGGAACAAGTCGATGTGCCACTGATAACGTCTTTGGTTGCTGTCCAAAGGTTCAAAGTCTGTGAGGGAGATCAAATTCATTTCATTTGAATTCCACACGATCGAGTTTCGTTTGGCTCGAAGACAACAAAAACACTTTGTAAATATTTGTAACATGACTCATTTCCCAGCGCCTGAAAAGATTTGGTAACAGTTAAATACATTCAAAGATTAACATTCGTATATAAAAGGCGCTTTATGCATCCATTCATAACAAAGCCAGTGAAGCAGGCGTAATTTCGGCGACGAGTGCCCACATTTATGTTATTGAAAGTTTTAGCTGCCATCTTCGATTTTTATAGCAGCGAAAAGCTGGGGAGAGAGAGAGAGAGAGACATTTTTACCAAGAGGAGTCAAAAAGAAGGAGAGGGGAGGGGGTGGGGCGATGAATATCACAGCTTCAGTTAACAGAAAGACAGCGACTAAAAGAAACGAGACCGAGGTCAAACTTGATGTTGTCGTTTCATTATCAGGCAACAACTCAGACCCCTTAGATACTAAAGATTGCGCAAGAGAATCAAACCCTTATCTTGAAGCATTGTTTTGCATTACGTAAAGGTGACTTATCAAAGCCAATTTGTTTCAATAACCCTAAGAAATGTTGGCCTACGGACAAAGTGGCAAGACTATTAACATTATCTTTTGACGAGAAGGTAATATATGTTTAATGTGACGGGTAAGACAAAGTCAATACTCTTTTTAATCTGAACAGTTTTAGAGAAATAAACCCCCTCCAAGTATTATGTAGAGTTATTTAAGCATGCGAGATGTTTAAAGAACAAGAGTAAAGCACGAGCCTCAGGCAAACGGATCTTGCGCTTTTCGGGTGGAACAACTTTTCGTGCTCCTCGCTCTAAGGGCTAGCTAAGCTTGGGGCGCTTACATCAATTTTCTTTACCTTTTTTTCTTCTCTGAATTTTTGATTCGTGCGCTGGATTTCGCCGGAAAGAAGGGTCGTGGTCTATTCTCCATTACCACTCCACCCTAAGTCGTTTTCATTTTTAACTCGTGAATTGCGCATGCGCAACACGAGTTATAGCGGGCATGGTCTGCAAACTTTATGAAAATGAGGTATGCACGCCACCTACTTCTAAATTGCTGTCCATGTTTTTTAAAGCTCCTTGCATTCGTAAGACCTTAAAACAGTCTTACTTTGTGGACAGAAAATTTTGAAAGCTTAGCTATTCACAGATTTTCTGTGCAAAATTGCACGCAGTCGGTCCGCTGAAATTTTTGTTAGGTGCGTCTAATGACTGCAATATTAACAGTGCGTGTAGTGAAAACAAAACGTTTACCGTACTGAACTGCACCGCGATACAGTTTAGTCTGTAATTCTTGCTTCTGGCCGTTAAACATTCCCGATGGAATCGACTAGTTTTCTTAAACAGCAATTCCTTTTTTTTTTCGTTCTAGTTTCAACAAGCGGCGCCAGCGACTGGCAGGTGTGCGAGGATTCACACTGAAACGACAGAACAATTTTTTCATAAAATTGTAAATTACAATCCCTGAACTTGAAAACAATCCGAAGATTCATTACAAATATCACTTACTCCCAAGCGTTCGGAGTTTACAGGTGTTCAAAAGCTTTTTCTGTTATGGCGTGAGATTGGGGACAAAATCGATCATTATATTTCGTGTGTGTATTTTTTCTGTGTGAAGCGACAGAGGGTTCCGGAAACTGACGAAATCACAGGTAAACACGAAAATTAAATAACACCTAAACAAATAATTTTGCTATCGATTTTCAGTTAATTTTTAAAGAACAATTTTCTTCTAAGTTTCAAGGCAATTTGAAGATTCCAAATAAAAAATTACATACACAAACGCGAAAGTTGTACTCCACAAAAATTGATGAATAGGCCTGAAATTAAATTCGATCTTGCTTTTGATTATACGTTGCCTAGCACGTGACCAAAATCTACCCAAGCGGAAATCCAAAATGACGGTGGCAGTCTGGGCTTAGTGATATCACTCAAAACTTGTTTCCGTTTGTCTCATTTGATAAAGAGAGAGTCGTTAATGTTTTCATTAATGCAGTATTGCCTTAATTTCCAATATTTACAATTATAGACGGTAAATTTCACTTTTCACTCACATTTACTACCAGCTTTTTTTTTGAACCAGAAACAAAAATGATATATGTTTAAAACACATGACATCATCCACCCTTGTCAAATGTAATAGCATTGTAATGCCTTCTTATCCCAACGTTACTTTGTTTCTTTGCTACATTAGCGAACACTGAACTACTGCTCGTACTCTAAATATGACAATCAACCACAAAATTCCCTAAACCAGATAACATCAAATATAATCCAAAAATAATTTGTCAAAATCACGAGTTTGCTCACAGAGCACTTTGATCATAACAGTACAGTGGCAAAAGGTGAGAAACAGGAATATCAATAAGGTGTCAGTTAAAAAAAAAGGTTTCGTTTTCTAGGAACAAATTGATAGCCATACAGAATGAGTAAAAAATCAAATTCATTCAAGAGCAAATTTGTTTCATTCAGAAGTCCAAAAAAATATAATCACGTTGAAATTTCCATCAAGAATAACTAAGTAAGTGAACAGACAAACAAATATTTGGAACATTTCACCCAAAATATTACTTGATTTCAATTTCTTACAGCCACAAATTTTTTACATAACATAATACTTCATAGGCTTCTACCATTGCTAGTAGTAAAACTAACATCACACGAGACCGACAATGCACTATCCATGAACAACTTCCTTCTACTTCTGCGTTGCTTGAAAATTCTCAATGTACACACCTACGTTGTCTTGTCATCAGGTTTTAACCGTCTCATTCTTTACATTTATAATTTTTTTCTCCTAATTTTGATGTGCATTAACTTTTTAATTATTAGTGTGATGTGCTAATCATTTCAAGCAGCTTTTGGTTTAATTTTAATCCTTCGGTCAATTTATTTCCCAGTGAGAGAAAAGGAGTGAAAATGATTGACACTATTTACTACTTTTATTTTGTATAGGGAATAGAAGTATCCTCTATGATATTCCTACAGACGATAACAGATCCTATGATTGTAAGTCAGTGTGAGAACAACTACAGTGACATAACCATGTCATTTAATATAACCGGTTAAACTAACTCCTCTGTTCGTTCAAATACCACAATAAAACAAGCCATTTCTCTTTTTTTTCCCGTTGATTTAATCCTTCTTAGACTAAAATATTAGAGGATGCAAATGGAATAATATTCCGAAATATGATTTGCAAATTTTGTGTAAGCCCCTAGGAGCGTAAAATATTATAATGCTAAAATTTCACGCCATCCTTAGTTCCACTCTGGTTACGAGCAACGGCGTTCAACATGCACAGGTAAAATTGAAGTTTTACCCTCTGGCATTATTATATTTTGCAGTTAAGCATTTCATCGTTGGATTTTATGAGACCCTAAAGAAGCTAATGAGAGCATGCGCTATTGGGGAAAAATTCAGCTTTGTGGCCTGCTTTCTGGCCAGTAGAAAAAGACTGAAGTACCTCTAAGCATACCTATTTGACTCTAATACTGAGTTACTACTGAAAAAATGTGAGAAAAGTGGTTTTTTTTACATAAGAAAAAACAAAATCAAAGTAAATTCACTTAAAGTTAGTCGATTTCCACTGAGCCTTCGGCTTGTGATTGGTGCACAGAAAAGAAAACCATGGTCCATATCATACATCAAAGTTAATGGGATTGAAGGTCATACAATGTTTCTTCCAACGCTTTAAGTGCGATTTCTTCCATTTGTCCTAACCATTTCGATAGAAAGTAGTATGTTGCACCGTACGACAAGGAACTGGCTATAGCTGTGCCAATAAACGGAATATAGCGAGAGAATTCCTCGACGACACTCTCAGTAGCGTAGGCTGCAAGAAGCCCGCCAATTTGCATGGTACTGCCCAGCGCTGTACTCAATGCCTTTATTTGAGTTTGGGTTTTTAAACCCAGCGATGAAAATCTATGTGACCCTTCTTCTGGGAGACCAAGCTGGCTTATGTAAAAGTCGATTTCTCTTTTTATCAACGCGATATCAGTCCCAATAGATACCCCGGGAATTGGAACAGTTGCAGCGAAAGCAGACGCGGTAGCAACATACTTGATGCGCTTTCTAAGAACTTCAACTTTCTCCTTTAGGGTATCCTTTGACAAAATTAAGGCATTATCAAAGGTCAGAATGAGACTCTCACGTTGTCGTTGCGGCAAAATAGCTAAAATTGCTCTGCCCAGCTCACCAAATTGATACTCGGCAGTATGGTAGTTGCTTATTAAAAAAAATTCTTTTTCATCTTTGAGCAGGCCTCTTTCAATCAAATTTTGCGAAATGTTCTTTCGTATCTTATTCAGGGTGGCATCTTTATCAAATAAATGTTTTCTGCTTCTCCTCGCATTTTCAACATCTTGGTCAATTCTTGCCCGAATGAAGAAAAACTTCTTACCAGTTGATCGAATCCTCTCTGCAAGTTTCAAGTCGTCAGCGGTGAGTCGATCTTTGGCAAAGATCAGATAGGTATCGTACTCATCCAAGGGCACATTTTTGCAGTATTCCTCCAGATCACCATGGTAGATAGGATTTGATATCCCTGGTAAGTCCCAAAACTTAATATTGGGGTTGCTGGGATGATCGTAGCATTTCAGCTCTTTAGTGCACTCAGTAACATCGACTTCTGCTGCATCAGTATCAATGTCTTCCACTCTATCATAAACAGCGAAGGAACTACAGTTGAAATACTGTTAGACATTTCCCTGGTTCCCAAGGCCTACAGCTTGGTCAGGCACCGCAGTTTGTGTTTTACTCCTGATCAAGTCCTGGCCTACAAGAAGGCTTTTTTCTCTCCTAGTTTTAATATCATAATAATAAAACATCGATAAAAACGACATATTTATTTCGACAGGAAAGTTATCATCAAATGTTATGTACGTATTGACTGAGTGGGGGGGACAGAAGGTCAAAATCTTTGGTTATTCAGAAGGTTCTTCATTATGAACATTAAAATAAAATAACTGAATCGCAATAAAATGAACAGCTATGGCAGCAGCAGGATAGGTCGAGGCTCTCTGATTGTTGCATAAAAGTACTTACGGGACCTGTAAAAATATATACTATATAACAAGCTCTTTTATATTTAATAAAAGTGACTTGTTTTTTACTGTTGTGCTCAGCACGTCCTCAGTCGTAATGCATCGGTGTACTTACCCTCGTATGCGGTTAATAAAAGTAGATTTTCCAGCACCTGAAACACCACATACTGCAAATTGTATTACGACGTTTTTCCAATCGTCGAGTCTGCTCGATACGTATTCGGCAACTCTGGAAACTCCATTTTGCTCCACGTAATCCTGAAGCTCTTTAGCGCTGATCATCTCCCAGCCACAATGCTCAGCCATATTTAAAACAAAGCGATATTATTTTTTGTTCACAGATATCGACAGGAGGAACAAGTCGATGTGCTACTGATAACGTATTTGGTTGCTGTCCAAAGGTTCAAAGTCTGTGAGGGAGATCAAATTCATTTCATGTGAATTCCACAAGATCGAGTATCGTTTGACTCAATGTCAACAAAAATGCTTTAAAATTTTTGTCACATGACTCATTTCCTCAGCGCCTGAAGATATTTGGTTACAATGAGATATATTCAAAGATTAACATTCATATGCGAAAGGCGCTTTATATATCCATTCACACAGCAAAGCCTGTGAAGCAGGCGTATTTTGGCGGCGAGTGCTCACATTTATGTTGGTGAAAATTTTAGCTGCCATCTTCGATTTTTATAGCAGCGAAAAGCTGGGGAGAGAGAGAGAGAGAGAGAGAGAGAGATTTTTACCAAGAGAAGTCAAAAAGAAGGAGAGGGGAGGGGAGGGGCAATGAATATCACAGCTTTGAGAAACAGAAAGACAGCGACTAAAAGAAACGAGACCCAGGCCAACCTTGATATTGTGGTTTCATCATCAGGCAACTACTCAGACGCAAGGGGGTAGGGCGGTCAATGGAAAAGTTTTTCTTCGTCCCCTTCCACACCGTCAACTCTATCTCCAAATTAAACATGGCCGGTTGAATGAAAGATTTATATCCCAGCGAGACAGCGATTAACGAAAAAATGAGCCAAGTTGTTGGCTGTCGACCTTGATGATGTGGTTATGTCGTCAACAAACGCCTTAGATACTCCAGATTGTGCAAGAGAATTAACCCCTGATCTTCAAGCATTGTTTTGCATTACGCAAAGGGGATTTATAGAAGACAATTTGTTTAATTACCCTAAGAAATGTCGGCATAAGGGAAAAGTGGCAGGAGTATTGGCATTATCTTTTGACGAAAAGGTAATGTGTGCCTGGTGAGACCTAGTTAGTGACAGATTTTTCCACAGCATAACTCATTTCAAGACCATATCGATTAGTGTGAAATTGACAGCCATAAAATGTTGAATTGAGGTCTCAACCAAACCAGGAAAAAAAATTGCTGTTTAAGGTTTCAATGGCACATACCCAGAGTGGTTTGTCTTCACTTTTTGTTTTGCAAGAAGCTAGAAACAGGAAATATACAAGTTCTCAGGTATACAAAACTCTTGTTTCTCGGAATAAATTGATACCCATAGTGATAACGATCATATTCATCCGATGGCAAATTTATTTCATTCAGAGATGCAAGAAAATTCGATAATGTTAAATTTCCACCAATAACAAGGTAAAAAAAGAGACAATTATTTTGCTCCAGGAATTTTATCAACAAATTTCTTGCATAAAATAAAGATTCATTGGTCTTCTTTCACTGCAAGTAGCAAAACGAACATAAAATGAAACAATGTACTGCCTATGAAAACTGATTGTTTCTCTTAATTCAGCTTTGCTAGAAAAATATTAATATGAATTCTTCTGTTCTCTTACAATCGTCTTTTAAACGCCTCATTCCTTGCATTCAACTTACTTTTATTTGTTGCTAATTCTAACGGACAGTAATTTTTCGGATATTTGTGAGACGTAGCAATCATTTATAGTCATTTTGCTGACTTTTTATCCTCCAGTCAATTGCTTTCCCTGGTGAAGGAAAAAGATTGATAATGTTAGACTGTCGAGTCTGTAGACTTTCTTAATTCGTTTAATCTAATAACAGCCGATCGATATCAAAGCGAGGAAATAATATCTTATGGTTGGAAAATGACAAGGATCGAAATTCACAGCGTGCCAAAACACACCAACGACAACAAACCAAGCTGCTATAAATAGTGACACGTAGACTTTCGACCTCGGCGCTTGACGAAGGCTAGCAGTATAACTGTCCAACGTTTTGATCAATACACGATTGATTAAACTGACTCTTACATTGTGAGACAAACGATTAAACGTTCCTTTATCTATAAAACCACGATGAACAACATTTTGCTAAAACGTTTCCGGAATAGTAGTTTCGAAATCGATACTAATGTAATCTTACATTCCCGACGATATTAGGTCGTAGGATTGGGAGCAAATGATGCTCATTGAAAAAGTTCAGTAACGATTTCTGGTGTGAGAAAAAATTGTAACCGTATCATTAAAAACAACTTGATAAACATACAATTCTGTTATTTGAAATACAACATCAACACCCAAAATGACCTTTTTCGCTCAATCGTTATTACAATAACACTCCTCAGACATTCCGCCAACATAATGGTTTCATTACCACGTAATTTCGCAATGCATCAACAGCCAATTCCGTCTGTACCTAGCTTTTTTCTTGGGCCTTGTTTTCAAGAATTTGCAATGAAGTCAAATATTATAAGTCAGGTTAATAATGAAAACAAGAGAAAGTAAAAGGAGCTTTATTTTCTCTTAATGAAAGTTGATTGGGTTTGGTTTTCAATGGTGTTATTCTCAGCACCTCAATAGCAAGTTTTTCTATATCTTCCAGTGTTTGCAGAAAGTAATATGTTGCACCGAAAGAAAAAGGTGCTTGCGACAGCTACACCAATAAACGGGATGAGGTGTGTTCTTTTCTGACAGTGCCCAGTGGGACATGGGCTGCACTGAAGCGCGCCGATTCGCGCTGCACAGCCAAAAATTGTGCTTAATGCCTTCACTTTATTTTGGATATTGATACTCAGTAATGAAAAGTTATCTAACCTTTCTTCTGGAAGACGAAGTGGCTTTTCTTCTAAAAGTAAATTTCTCTTCGTAACAGCACGATATTAGCGGCGATGGTTCCACCGGCAACTTAAACACATGTAGCAAGAGCTGATGCACTAACACTGAACAGAAATAATGTAAAGTTTATTTCAGCATTCAATCTCTGAGTAAAGGCCAGAACATGAACCTCTCATTGACGCTTCGGCAAAATAGCTGTAATTGTTTGGGAGATTATATCAAAGTCATACTTCGAATGGTAGTGGCTGCTTATCAAAAACATTTCCTTCTCATCACCGGGGAGGCTTCCTCTAATTAAGTTTTCGCACAGTTCTTTCGTATTTTCTCCAGAATGGCATCTTCATTAAATAAATGCTGTCTGCTTCTCCTCGCATTCTCAACATCTTAATCAATTCTTGCACAAATGAAGGAAAACTTCTTACCATTTGATCGAATCATCTCCGCAAGTTTTAAGTATTCAGCGGTGAATCTATCTTTGGCAAAGATTATTGAGGTAGGTATGGAACGTATCCAGCCGCACATTTAAAGTTTGAAGTACTTCTCCAGATCACCCTTAAACGCCGCTGCTCTGTTATCCCTGGTAAGTTCCAAAACTTGATTTTGGGGTTGCTGGGATGCACGTAACATTTCGGCTCTTAAATGCTCTCTTCGACATCGACCTCTGCGGTGTCTTCACAAATGTTATCAAGTCTAGCACAAACATCGCAGGAACAAACGTTGAAATACATGTATTTGCAAATTACAAGTCTACAAAATCTTATATTTGGCCTTAGCAACTTCAGTTAGGAATAAAAACACCACTGTTTGGGTGCCCGTTGCTATATATTAATTATGTTACATGCACTTGTATTTGACTTCTTCTAAACTGAAACCAGTGTTATCTTTTTAGGGAACTACAATAATAAAATATCGGACAGGCTGTTGGTACTGCGCAAAACTAATTTTTTTTTACTATTGTACTGCTCAGTGCGCCCTTGGTCTGCATGGGTGTAATGATGTATTTACCTTCGTATGCTGTTAAGAAAACTAGACTTTCCAGCTCCGGACACACCACATACGGCAAAGTGTATGTATTACGCTGTTTTCCCAGTGGTCAAGTCTACTTGCTACGTATTCATAACTCTGGCAACTCCATTCTGCTGCATGAAATGTGCATGCTCTTCAGCAGTGATCATCTCCCGCCCAGTACTACTAGATCCAAATGTTTAAAACAGATCAATATTATTTCGTGATCACAAATGTCTACAGAAGAAACAAGGTGATGTGCTACTGATACCGCATTTGATTGCAGTTCAAAGGTTCAAAGATTGTGAAAAAAGATCAGATCCTTTTCACGTGAATTACACACGATCGAGTTTCGTCTGGGTCATTGACAACAAACACGCTTGAAAATCTTTGAAACAGAATAAATTATTCTTAGGTGGCGCCGATAGGGTTAGCTTACACCTTAGGAGTGTACCTTTACGGCCAAAATGGTATTAGGTTTTTCTAAAACCTCTCTTTGGTCTCCAGTAATCTTTATTACATTTTTAGTTATTGGTTCTCAGCCATTTTACGCTTATGAATTTTGGTCTCTGATTTTCAGTTCTATTAATGTGGTGTGACCTTTTCAAAATGTGTTTAAAAAGCAGGATCACTTTTTGTTTTTCGCTTGGAGTTTCATGGTTCTTCCTAAATGTTATAACTTTCCGCTTTCTAGTAGGCCACATGCTTTTTCCTGGCGTCCATACGTCGATCGTGTTTGGAACTGTCGTTTAATGTCAGGCTCATTTGAAATAATTAGTCGCCAATGTCTATCAAAATTGAACAGGACTCATGGAGGTGGATAGTGGAAGCTGTGAAAGCATCTGTTAAACAATCATTAACCCTTTAAGTCCCATTAATGACCAAGACAGAATTTCTCCTTACATTATCAGTACAATATCAAGCAGACAAGTAATGAGAAAAAAGAAAAATATCAATTAGGGGATGGATGTTTGATCCAATTCCAAACTCTCCAAACTAACATCACATAAATTGTATGACAGACAGTAATAAGAATTTCTAATGAAATCTTGGGAGTTAAAGGGTTAATTGCAAAATTGAATAACAATCAAGGGTTCGTGTTCTCCAACTGAGCAACAAATAAGTTGTAAAAAACGTCAGTGGATACACATTTATCAACATATAAATGAGTAAACAAATGACTGAATTAAATAATTATTCAAAATAAATTGATAGATATATATATATATATATATATATATATATATATATATATATATATATATATATATATATATTGATAGGGGGAATGAAAACAAAAATCACTCATCAATCCATCTAAGAACAGGTAAACAGCCAACCTGAAATAATGATTTGAGAGGTGATGAAGAGAAATGTAAGAGGTAATGAAGAAGAAAAGGAAAAGCTAAAACAGCTACTCCTCTGGGTGCATGGCAAATGCATTACCGAGAGAAGTTAGTTGTCATTCACATTTGGGAGTTCAGTTTAGGAATATACGTGGAAACGGCCATTTAACAACTGCATTGCTTGGTGGAGGCTGGGTGCCTGAGATATCCATGAGCTTCCCCCATTGGCAGCCAGCTCCTAGATGGAGACTGCTCCCATATCTGGCAAATCCTGGCAACCCAGTCATGAAACCCCATGCAGAAAAGGGAAACAGGCACCTGTCACACTGAATAAACAGTAGAAAGAGGGAGGGAAGGGGTGGGGAAAATTGCCTGTACAATGAGCTGCCACTCCAAACAATGATTAAAGTTCATGCTCAAAGCACAAGCAAGAACGCCTCAAATGCAGAGTACATGGAATTCCAACACGCGTATATGCAAAAAACCCTTGACTACTATGGAATGCTGATGTTGTTAACTCTGCTTAATTGTATTTGATTGCATATAAGGTTCATAATAAGTGCAAATAGTATTTTGTAGGGTTGAAATTGGCATTAAAAAACAAATTGAAACAGATTTGTCCTGAAAACTTTCATTTAATGGTACTGTATTATACAATCATTACAGTTAATCCCTTAAAAGTAAGCTTTTAAAATTTATCATAATTTGAGCACTTTTTCCACTTCAAAGGAAACCTATCACTTATTATATATAGCATGCGTGCCCAGAAATTTCACTCCCATGACCTAATGAGAAAACTGGGAGGGCAATATGATTAATTTTTTGTCAGGGACTCCGTCGCTTATTTTGTGGGTGTCACATAAACTTAAAGTCTTCCCTTTTCCTCCCTTTAAAGAACCAGGTTACACTAAATAATCTTCTAATTCTCTCATCAGAAGCCCACTTGCTTCTGTCAATTTTAACAAAAACTGTACATCCAATTCTAATTTGGAAGTTCCCTTTTGAGGGCCTGAAATATCTCAGAATATGGTTCTGATGTTATCACAAAAAGTTAAATTGTTCACAAACCTCAATCATTCTGTACAAAATGATAATTGCAATACTTTATACACTTAAAAAAAAAATGAGAAGTGTACAACTGGTGTCTCTTCAAAAGCCCCAGTCATCTTCACCAGAGAAAACAATAAAATAAATCAGAATTGTTACAAAGATGAAGACGTTTCCAGATGACACCAATGCCATAGCTCCCCATTTTATCTAGACATGGAAGAGAAACTCTAATAAGCAAAAAAACCAGAACTTTGAATTGAAAGGGTCCTGCAGAACCCTGATCAGTGTAACTTTGTTTAGTTTTTGGGAAAAATAAAGGTATTTCTAAAACCCTCAACTCTCTGCAAAAGGTAAATTAATTGGGTATTGGGACACTATAGTGGATCTAAAAAGAAATGGGGTGGGAGGGGAGGGGGGGCCAAGGCTAAACTTAGCAAGGGGGGTTGTGATGAACTAAAATCCCATCCAGGGGGAGTAGAAATACTCCATGTCTCTCCTGCTTTGGCAAGGGGAATAGGCTACCCAAAAGTAACAGCACATTATTTTGAAACTTCATAAGGGCTTAGACAACACAGTAAACCAAAGGTGAGTGAGCTTTAGGGATCTGACTGTTGGTAAAGCAGTCTGGAAGAATCAAACTTAAGGTTGTGAATTTCAGTATTTTCAATTACTCTGGCAATGACTTGAATCAAACCAAGAAAGACCATTGAAAATCAAATTAAATGAAGAAATCAGTTGCTGAATCTACTAACTGCAGACATTACCCAGCCTAAGAGCAATACAGCTGTTCACCTGTAATTAGAATACAGTATTATAAAATTCTACTCACAACTTCAGTATGTGCAAGAACTATTGGAAGACCTGAAGAGATATCAAAAGAAAATTTTCATAAGCCTTTTTACTTGAATAACTAAATGGAACTGAATACATGTAGATGTTTTTTATTTTCAAGTCTAAAGTATGTCCCACTTAGTGAGGTGTTTACAAATTACTTACAATTATAGCAACAAAATGAACTCACCAAACCCTGAGACAACAATTCCAGCAGTGAAAAACATTGCAATTTCTTTAACAACACTGAAATAATATAAAAAGACAGTTGATATGCAGTAGGAATTTTCTCAAACAACTACAACCATTCTCCGACTCTTTTCTGTGAGGGTCCCCTACAAGAGTCAAGAACAGATTGATAGGAGGACATGCCCAAATGAGCTGATCTATGCAAATAAGAGGTTGTCTTGGTACTTCAATGACTGTGAATGTGTGAAGATCATATATGTGAACTGCAGATAAAGAAGTGAATATGAAAGCAATCTTCGCAGTAATGAACACTATTTACACAGTAGTGAAAAATAAGGCCTGAAAAAAATTCTGGCCTGTACAGGATTTGAACCCATACCATCTGCAATACGCATGCAGTGCTCTAAAAACTGAGCTGACAAGCCAACTGGAAGCTGGTCATGATGTAATGCTGGTTTGCACAAAACCTGTGAAACACTTCCTAAGTAGCATTAAACTTTATTACTACAAAGATTGCCTCATATTCATTTCTTAATCTGCAGTTCATATATGATTTTCATATATTTACAGTCATTGATTCATCATTTCACAGGTTTTCTTATGAATTAACATGATGACTAGCTCCTGATTGCTTGTTAGCTTTGTTGGTAGGGCACTGCACCTGTGTCACAAAGGTCATGGGTTCAAATCCCATAAAGGCCTGAATTTTTTCAGGCTTTATTTTCACTATTGCTTAAGTAGTGTTCATTATTGTGAAGAAGGATTTCATATTCAAGTCTTGGTACTGTTGTGGGTCTAGTTACACGGTTTCTGCAGATAACCAGGTTTTTTGTTACTGATCACCCTTAATTCATTTATATCCGCAAATACACCCAACCCTCTTGAGCTTGATAGTGTTCTGCTTCTCAAGGCACAAGAAATTAACCCCTTCTTCTTGTAAAACACCTTTTCATCAATCTGATGGTTCAGTAGTTGGTTTATGCAAGTTTTCTGGGGCATTAGTTCCCAAAAGTACATATGTAGTGTTGTTGTTTGTGTCTGTTCTTGTACTATTTTGACTTGCACTATTTTGACTGTGCAAGTTGCATGTGTTTTATTTGGTTACGCTTGTCTTGACCCATTGTTGTGAGTAGAAACTTAAGCCATCTTTCCTATCACAGAGCTTGAATGATATGACAAAATTTAACTGTGAAATATTGAAATAATTTCCAAAACAGTAAGAACCTACTTTTAAAGACCTAAAATTTGAGAACCTGTCAGGCTAAAATTTCTCAGTTAAGCATCCTCCACATAAGAACCATTGTAGGGTACAATCTCAACACAGCTTGGTTCTCATTTTTTTAGAAAATAGCATTTTTAAAATACAAAACAGTAAATCATATGCGATACAAAAACTGTAACAAAAACTACCCAGAATACTGGCTGAGTTAAAAGACCATAACATTGTACTGATAATAGCTCCGTAGCCACACAACATACCCAACTGTGTGAATAACTTAACCCAGCACGGCACTATAGGGCTGGCATACAGCACTGTATTACACCCACATCCAAGAATACACTTGTTGTTTGTTTGTTTGTTTTTTTTTTTTTGTAAACAAGAATTAAGAACCTGATTAAGAACATAAGTAGCCTAATTTCAAAGTAAACATTATTCATATCAAGAACTTATGGAGGCTAATTTGAAAATATACTAACAAAGGTTCCTATCTGTGGGTTTCTGCTACATATTGCAAGACAAACAAATTCAATCTGAGTATTGAATACTATCTCCAATTAACTGCAAAAAAGATGACAAATTTAATTGGCTGTAAAATGCAGTCATCCATTCCACTGCTGATGTGATGTCTCCTTATTTATCTATTCATTTCAAATGCATCTATTTTTTGGTTCATAAGCAGTCATGTTTCTTTTGCCATATGTTTATTTGCTTTCATAGTGTAGTTACTTACCTGGCAGCATTGGACGAAAAATCTTCACAAAATCTTTTGGCAATGACAGTTGGTATTGGGGCTAGGGCGTAAAAAAACACTGCAAGGAGAACAGCAGTAATTTCATTATGAATAAAATAAAATTAACTGTCCCATCTTTAATTAAAAAGAAATTTCAGTTAGGGTGGTTAGGGTGCCGTAATTGTGATCTGGTAGTCCTGGGTTTAAGTCCTTGGTCTGCCTCCCGCCAGTTGGGATTTTCAAGCACTTCCTGTTAATATGAATATTTGTTTCCCTATTTTAAAGTTCACATGGCAACCAGGTGAACAATCAGACATAGTTTGATACTATTCTGGTTTAAAAATTTAATGAATGTAACCAGGAAGTTACAATTCATAGACCCAATATTTTGACACTACTGTCTAGTACCTTCATCAGGGGTGATCTAAATGCTGTAACAAGAGGTCCTTTTATACACTCACTAATAAGCTGCCCTTTTCTCTGACGAGGTGTAAATAGGTGTCTGGAAGTAAGCCCCCATCATCATGATTAAAAGGAGCATGGGTGAAGTTGATATGCCTGGCTTCCAAACAAAGGCATTGGTGGTAATGTCGATTAGTGGTGATAATTTTAGAATCATCCTACCCAATTGTATGTTTGGATGGGCATGTGTGCTCTAACAAAGCTGAATTTTCTTTTTTGCAAAAGAAGACCACTTTTTGATGCTCTTTCAAATGTGTACCAAACTGATGCTTGGTCTGTCCAATATACTTATGATCACAGTCATTGCGCGGAATAGAATAAATAGCATTGGTTCATTGTTCTTATGTGACAGGATCCTTAGGTTTGGCAGATCTTTCAATCAGAGTAGCATCAAACCATGTCTAATTATTTTCCTCTCTTTAATTTTTGCAAAATGCTATCAGTTGACTGCTCTTGGGTAATAGGGTAGAATTGGTGTGCAGCTGTTCAGATACTAGCACTGTTCTGATATTGTGTGTCTCTTCACCCTAGTTTAACTACAGTGCTCTACTTTATAATTTCAAGAGTTTACTTACATACAAACAAAGGCCACCATACCCTGCAATGATGAAGGACAAACAAATAATAGTTAAAGGTATCTAGCAATCCTTACAAGGAGAGGAAGACAATTTGTAAGGAGGATGCGTAATTCAAACACTTTGACCCAAGTCAATGAAAAGGGTTCGATTAAATAGCAAAACTGTATATTTTTAACTTACAAGTAATGTTCTAGAAACTTTCAACACCTCTTTACTCACCCGTATTCTTCCAAAGCACACCCAAGAACGACGAGTAGTACACCAATTGACGCGAAAAAAGAGAGAGCGATGATTCTACCATGCAAGAGAAAAGATTTCGGTTCTGAATTTCACTAAGAGTTTGAAATCAAAAGGAAATAACGACAAATTACAGCTCTTAATTTCACTGAATGCTTTAAATCAACAGGAAATACAACGAAGATTATAAATCTGCCACGATCGACAGCAGCTCAATCTCAACAAAATGTCATACTTACGCTAAATTGTCATTCATGTGGAAGAGGAAGACATGAAAGGAAAGAAAGGAAATTTAAGATATTTACAGATGAAGCAGGTTCTTTCGAACATGCCCATCACAAATAATCACAAATAATAAAAGAAATCACAGAAATATTTCACAACATTGTACCTGCGATGCCGCCCGCCATGTTTTTAGTTACCAGTTCTCGTATGTTTCCAAAAATAGCTCACCGCTTAAATTCTTCTCCTCGTTCGTAGTCTCTATTTATATAATTTTTCCTCAGAATTTTCTTTAATTGCAACCGTCGTTGTTCCACTGGTTTGTTTTTCTGAATATAACCTATTTTCCCCGAGTAAATTCCTCAGTATCCCACAAATATTCGGTTTTGCAAATATTTGATCAAACAAGAGCGGACGAAAGAAGGCTGGTAACTAATGTGGTCAGTTAACAAAGATGGCGGACAACATAAATGTTTGTGTACAAAATGCTCAATGTTGTTCAAGCAGTTAAAACTCTCCTAGCTGAATGCAAGGATAGTTCACGAAAAAAAAATATGCACCATAGATTTCACATATTATGTTACTGAAACTCGACGTCCTTTCTTCGACTACGATCAAAAGAAAGAAACCGTGGCCGACTTTGTCTTGGCTTGGCAAGGTGAGTTTGGAATGGAAAATAATCCAGACGCTGTTGTACTGTGCTGTACTCCTGTTGGAATTTTCCATACCATAGAAAACTTTAAGAGAAAAATTAAACCATATTCATTCTTAATGATTGGTTTAAATCTAAAACCATGCCTTTCATAAATATATATTTTTTACCGGCCAGGGCAGAATTCAGTATTACGAAATTGATATTGATCGAATCACATTGTAAACTTAGGAGAAGACAATAACAAAAGTAGCCATTAACATTGCTCTTTAGTGTCTGGATACATAACTGCAACTAGTCTGATAATTTTTTCGCTGTCTGTTCCAGGATGTTGGAGATCTGTACCTGTTTGACTCACGCCGCCTCAGTCAACTGTATTTGCCTTCAGGAAAAACAAGGAAAAAAATTCCTGCAATACAAAATTATCTGGACGATGTGCAAGGCTTCGGAATCTCAGCTAATGGTAAGAAATTTAAATAGATCATCCCAGACAGTCAAGAAGAACAAAGTTATGATGGGGTTCAGGTGTAAACTAGACGTAATTTTTCAGCTTCCTCTTGCCCCAGACTGCAACAAAAGTCAGGGTCTTACAGAACAGAGGAGAATGTGCTGCCTTTGCTTCGACATCTGAAAATGGTTAGATTTTCTATTCTTCTTGGATAAGTTCAATAAGCCATTGGCCCTGTCTCCTTCATGTATCTTCTCTGTACTGGTTACCAGGGGACTCTAAAGAACCCATGCACTTTTTGCAAAGAGTAGAGAACAAAGCTCCCAGTGTTGTAGTGTGGCCTTGATTCTAAAATTTGGGGCACTTGCAAAAAAATTATTTGAAAAAGATTGTGCATGTAAACTTCTCAATGTACTCTTAGCTAAAGTCCCATAAAAAGTGTTGTGAATTAACTTAGAATACCCTCCTAGGAGGAGAGTCAATAAAAACTATTGCACTACATGTATTGTGATACAACTATTGTTCAAAGTTTATTAAAAAGATGGGCATTTTGACTGACATTATATTTCTCGTTATCTTGATTTGTTGTTTTGCAGGTTTTTTCGTGGCTGGAGCATTAAATTCAGGCAAAGTCTTTATCTGGAACAAAAAATTAGGAACAGTCAAGTTGACAGCTGTGTTGGACAAGATAAGAAATGTGCAGCCTGGAACAAGTGAGCGGAGAGAAATACCCACTTATTTGTCTTTTCACTTTCTATTAAAATGTGTCTTCCTGAGGTGTTATATCTGTCAATTATCAACCTGATCAAGATCATCTTAATCTTTGTTAACCCTCTTCTGCCACTCCCTTTAGATTTGCTTTTAGACTGTAGACTGTATACAAATGCACACAACAATAATATGCCTATTCTTGAACCGACAACCTAAATATTTTTGATGATGACAAAATCTACTCAAATAATTTCCCTTTTTCAACCCTTTCGCTTTCTGTAGTTCTCTTTAGAAATTCTTCTTACTGTATGTCTACAATTCTATGATGTTACTTTGGAGAATTTTGTCATGGATCAGTTACACACAATAATTCCCTGACTGATATTTTTCTTAATACTCATTACTTGTCTGGTTGATATTTAATTGAATGATATTGTAAAGAGAAAATTTTGTCCCCAGTTGGTCACTCAGGGAAGTTACAGGGTTTAAAAATTGATATATTGTAAAGAAATTTTAATGCAGATGTTTTTTAAGTCTCGAAGATTGAGGGAATTTTACGGGTAACAAAGAGATTAGTTCTTTATTAAGAGAATTGGCATATATTATTTGATTCATGTCTTTTTTTCTTTGTGTATTTCTTGTGTGGTTATCTCAAAAAGTCATCGTAATAGATAAGTACTCTCTAATTTTCTCCCTGGTAATGTTTTACCAGAGATCTTGATTGCAATGTTCATAACCATTGTTCAAAATCTTGTGCATTATTATCACTCATTGTTGTGTTTCAGGACAAACCAGCCCTCGGCTGTACATTTCAGACTGTGGCAAAAAAGTTGTTCTTCTGTCTGGATTTCGTCACATTTTTCTTTGGGAAACACAGAACAACAATGATCTTGTGAACAGTACTGGTGGTAGGTACATGAATTAATAAGAATTTTCATTTAATGTTACCATAAATGAGTTTGATTTTATCCTAATTATCCTTACATGCAACCAGCAGTTGGAGACATCTTGCGAGGCACATGGCATCAGATTCAGTGTGGAGGTTATGTTCTTCCTCATGAAAAGGACAAAGAAACAGCAATTGATGGAGTCTTCTTTGTTGATCCAGTAAGTATCAGTCACATTTAAGACTGTTAAGGAAATTTTACTGGGATTATGTTTGATATATTGGTAGATAACTCAATGACAGAAAACCACACAGATCTGAAAATGTGAAAGGTTGTTTATACATAATATGTACGGTAGAAATATTCTACACTACTCAAATACTAGATGTTTGCATGCACCATTATTTTCATGATGAGCTTTAATTTAACTTTTAACTGGTTTAACAGTGGAAACCACCGATGGAGTGAACACAGAACATAAATTTTCAAACTCCCACATGTTTTTTGGTAAACCTGTATGCTATATATTGCAGAGGAGTTTAACATAAGGCCAAAGGAAAAAATCAGTCTTCTCGAGTTCAGTAAAGATTTTAAATCAAAGACCTTCCAATTAAACCATCTGTACTACATTTAAGCCTACATGTACAGGCTATGCTGATGCATAATACATGTTCACATCATTAACAGCCAACACTCTAACTTGATGATCTCTTATCCTTATTGTCCTAAGTGATTTTTACCCTGTGTTTGGAAGGATGCATAAGATTTTAGTATAAGAAAACCCTTTTTTAATGCGTTAATGTACTAGCCTTTTCTCAGCCAAACATGAAAGGGATTTGGAGAATACCAGGAGGTTTTGCAAACCCAAGATGCAAATGAGAGTTTGCATAATTTTGAAGATTTCTCCCAGCTTAATATCATAAGGTTATTTCTCTTAATGATATTAAATGCTTAAAACTTTCTATTGAAAATAAACAAAAATTTAAAAATCTCAATCATGTTGAACCATCATGTACTTTCACTGGAACACACTTCAGTTTGCATAACCATGTTTACCTTCTCTTACATGAACACACCTGAGGTAAGTGCATGCAGTTTAATTGTTTTTCTTTGATTCTGTTTTAGGTTTGTGGTACATCCTTTTCATTATCCTGGGTTTTCAACTTGGGTGACAGAATCCATGTCACAACACTTCACCTGCTATGGCAAGGAAAAAGCTACACCTTTCAGGAGGGAGTCTCCAACCCTCAGATTGAAGAAGGTATGTCGTTGATCAGAGATTATCCAAATTTCTCTTATTAGCTGTAAGTGAGTAAGAGTGTCAGTTCTCTTTCTGGGTGCAGTGCTATTTTTTAAAAGTAAATGTGGTCCAATTATACACAAAGATATTTAGATTCCTGAAGGGGGAGAAGTTATGTATGGGTTAAGTATATTTTCTTAGAATGTAACACAGCGACCTGAGCACAGTTATATAAAGAGTGGATGATGCTATTCAACAGATAAATTGCTCTCTGGTGAATAAGTCACCGTCCTCACAGGTGGACTTTAATTAATGAATTTGCCAAAAAAAGGGCAACAAAATTCAGGCTTTGGGGGGATTGGAACCTGTGCCTCCCTGATCAAGGTTGTCATGAGAAGTCTGTAGGTTGTCAGACCAGTTGCACTGGCTGCTTTGTGAATTATGATCAAAGATGCAAATAAATCATTTTGGAAGTGATTCTAACATCATTAATCAATGTCTGGCTTAAATAAGTTACTCAAATATGTCTCAGGATGCAGGAAATGCAGGGGAACATGCCCAATTAGGCCCTCTAGAAGGGCTTGTTGCTTTGCCATGCAAGCACAATTAAATTTAGCACCTACTCTATCCAGATGATACAACTCTATTAAATTTTCTGATGACAACCCAGCCTGACACTAGTTAGGCACTAGTACCAACTGAGTTATGAAGCCTTGTATTGGGAGTGAGAGAAATTCATCAGGGTTCTTTGTTCTTTCCACAATTCACCTGAGAGGATCTTTTTATTACTTAGTATTATTGGCACACCAAATTATTATTTATTTCAATCATTTATTTCTTAAAATTTAGTAGGTAATAATAACTCTTGCAGGTCTAGATCCCCCCTTCTCTGCCACATGGCAAACCTTCAAACACTCCTTGTGCAATCTGACACCCGCTGAAAGAGTCATGAAAAGCAGAAAGGCCTACATTGCCAGAATATCTCCAGATGGCCAAGTCATGGTGTTGGCCATGAATCAGAAGTTTGCTGCACACAACAGAGTCATGTTTTACTCACTGTCACAGACTGCTGTGGCTGTGATTGCTGACTTGAAGGACTGTGGAGCCAAAAAGAATGTTAATAGCCATTCACCTATTGGGAAGTAAGTTTTGAAATTGGATTTCAATTTGTATTAGAAAAAAAGTATTGCCTATCAAACAAATACCACAATTAGACTCTGTTAAAAGTAGGTTTCGCATAAATATGGGTAGTGAGCATGTGTTATGGTTGCATTGTGTGATTTTAGGGTGAGAGACCTCTGTAGGGGCTTAAACTACCACAAACTAACCTTTACTGCAGCCCAACCTGACAAAACATTTCTTTCATTTTTTTAATTTCCATAGTTTAATGTTACCTTGAATGAATCTATTGAGTGGAGGGTAATTTAATATTATTAACTAAGTTGATAATTTAAGTTGGCTACCATAAAGAGTTTAAAAGCTCTAAAAGCTAGCTTTTAAACTCTTTATGGTGGCCAATTTACGTTATCAACTCAATTGATAATACTAAATTACCCTGTTATACTCAGTCCCACTGACACAGCACCACAGTTTATTTGATTAGAAACTTACCCCTTTTATTGAGGGGAGGGTATAATTGAATGGTCGATAATGGAAAATAACCCTACATTTCTATTTTCAGATCTTGGTGGATTGCAGACATGGCTTGGACCAGAGACAGCCTTCTGGTGCTCTGTATCACGCGCCGTGGCTCTGTAGCTGTTTTAAGTAAGCTTGGAGAACCTCTAGAGATTTGTACAGAAGGTTGTTCTTTGCATACAGGTCCTTCTCTGTTTCTTCCTCTCCACCCCAAGATAACATTTCAGTAAGTGCACCTCTGTGTTTGTCTATTTGGAGTAGTTAAGTCTTCTAAAATTCGTCATCTTTTTTTCCTCCTAAATTGGCATTGATACAAATCCAAAAGCCTGATAAGCGGAAACAAGTTAAGTGCCTTCACGCACGGAAAACAAAGGCTTAACGTCATTAGCTAAATTTTAGAATTTGATAGGTTAAGAGATTGGCCTGACTGTGTGGACCACTCTTAGAGCAAGCGGATGAAAAGTTATTGCAATTTGGAATTATTTCGTCAGTCACTTGAAAATTATCTGATTTCTGTATTAGTTAGTTGTACAACCATAAAACTACATTTATGCGGCTCACTTCCCAGAGACAATTTTTTCCTTATGCAGGAAGTCCGCAAATGGTTTTCATTCAGACTCCTCAGAGTCCTGTACTTCAGAAAAGGATCCCCTCTCCCAGAGGTTCTCTGTGTCTGTCCATCCTCACCTGCCTGTTGTTTTGAGCTCCGATGGTTACCTGGTAACAGTGATGCAGCTGCCGTCTCTCGCCAGTTACCATGGCATTATGACAAGCTTCATGAGAGACATCACAAGGTGTGTACAAGTGCAAATTACGTGAGGATCTTCGTATAATAACAGCGATGAAATAAATTGCAGAAAAGAGCCTGAAAATATTCAGACTTTGACGGGGTTTAAACCTGTTCTCATTTTATTTTCTTCAGTGTTTTTCATCTTATTAGTATTATTATTATTCGATAACTAAGTTTAAAATTAAATTTTATAAAGGGCGTAAGTTTCTAAAGAAACTACGGTGCTGCGTCGTTGGGAGAGTATAACTGGGTAATTTAGTATTATCAACTGAGTTTAAAGCGCAGATTGGCCACCGAAAAGAGTTTCAAAGCTGACGTCTCGAGTGCTAGCCCTTCGTCAGAGCGAATGGCTGATGTCTTTCACGTCTTTCGCTTTCACGAAGGGCTAACGCTCGAAACGCCAGCTTTGAAACTCTGCCGTGGCCAATTTACGTTATCAACTCAGTTAATAATACTAAATTACCCTGAGGTTAAAATTTGCCAACTTTCTTCATCTCTCTCACGTCTCAGACTAGTTCCAGACCTTGATGTAGAGCTTCAACCGGGCACTTTGTCCCGCGTGTCATCTGTGAGTAGAATCAGCATTCTGCAATCAGAAGTGAACGCAACCCGTGGAATGGCTTCTACAGAGCTTTTATCAGATGCTCCAAGTGAAAATAATTCGTCTGGGTCATCTTCTGTTGTCCCAGGTCAGTACCTGACTGCGAGTGTAAATTGGAGGGCGTGTTTTGAATATTGTGATCAATACCCTTTCCATGAAGACATGTAAAGAGAGACTCATGACTTATTCATAGCAGCAAAACCTTTTTAGATAAATAAGGTTGACTTGTTTAAAAACCAGAAAACTGAGAAACTGAATTTCAGATGGGTTCGGATGTCACTAACTAGCGTTTTTATTGCGTTGAATTTGAAGCCGAAAAACATTAGTTTCACAAACTTCTGTGAGCCCTTTACACCCAAACATCAGTATGCAAACCCCATCTACTTTTTTCTCTACATTTCCTAAGGTACTGACAAGATTTTTTTTAATAATTAAGAGCTTCTTTAGCCAGTAATCTTTTCCCTCCTTCTCGTGACCTTACTGGTTTGATTCAGGAGCGATTTTGTAGAAGTTCGATGCTAGCCACAATAAAGCGTTAAAAAGTGATTAAAAAATTTTAAACTGTTTTTAACAAAACAACAGAAGAAGAAGAAAACCATTGCATTGAGGAATTACTTTCGGCACACATTGAAAATTGCTCTTTATGTTTGTTTTGGTTGTTAAGGTTATGGCCTTGCAACTGGAGATCAAGGTATGAGTTTCTTTGGACTCCATGACCCAGAACTCGACAGCTCCCCTCCAGAATACACACCTGGAAGCCTGGACGCTATCTCTCGTGCCCAGAGCCTCTCCATCATTGCTCTTGCTCTGGGGTCCGCTTGTGGGATGAATTGGAAACAAGAAGTTGGCCCTGCAATGGACCTCACAGTCAACGTTGTGATAAAATTCTTTCAATTTCTTCTTCGAAATTCGGACCGCATTCCACAATCGCTTAATTCGGCTAGGGCGCTTTCATCTTCTCCTGGTGATTTATCAAAACGGCGAAGTCCCAGCCCAGTTTTAGACTCCCAGCTTTCCAAGGCGTTGCTGTATTTTCGGACAGCGTTGGAAGTTTTCCAGTGGGATGCCACACACAGAAACGTTTTCTCGTGGGCCTTCCATCTCACTCATGGCATCGTGAAAGAAATTCTACTCTTAAGAGACTCGAGCGTTGTTTACAGAGTTAGCAATTCCATGAGAGTGTTGAGGTTAGCCGAGCGTTTGCTTAATCTATCTTACTCGTCAAGCAGTGAAAAAGTATCGGATTTGCCTATCAATCGATCTGCTCAGGAAAGTCAGGTTAATCTCGGAGCTGATTTGAAGAGGAGACAGGATGATGTCAATAAAGCAGCTGAATCACAAGGAAGTACTGCTTTGACGGGAAATGATGACAGCATTTCAAATTTAGACGCGCATCAGCGAACTGTGTGTCAGACGCATCTCACTGGGTCGTGGCTTTTGCTGTATAAATTCACCTCCGACGTGTGCAAGAAGATGCAGAAGCGCCGGACTTCGTTGTTCTCGGCGCAAGAAGGAGAAACCAGAGGAAGCATTGAAACACAAATGGTCGAGTTGCTATGTAAGATTCAGGAAAAACTTCAACTGTTGGATGTCAGAATCCCAAGTGATTATACCACAAAGCCAGAGAATGTCGAAGGTCAGAGTTTAGTTGTTTTTATTGTTGTTTGTTTGTGTTTTTGTTGGTTATATATACATATGAAATCTTTATTCTCTCCGGCTCCATAGCTGCGATTTTTTTATTAAGCGAACACATCCGGGAACCTCACACGCGGCAGGCTAACCTAACGGGCTAAGCCTAATCTTCCAGCTGGTCCATAGATATAATTATTTCTTTAAAAAAGGAAAGCATAGAAAAAAAAAAACATAACAATATGGCGGCTCTACCGTTGTTATTTCCGGTGCTCTCCCGTAAGGCAACTCAACATTTTCTTGTAAGAAAGGAGGCGAAGCCACATTTGTCGTCGAAATAAGCCTGAGTGAGTGAGCGAATGAATAAGTAAGTGATGGTAACAATAGAATTCTGATCTTGATCCAGTTTTAACCCTATGTTTTCCGCTGCCTCTTACTGTTTTCATATTTTTTCCTAGTGTCTTATTAGTTTGACATTCGCGCCCGATACACATTTGAGTTCTCTCCTGAAGTGATTTCAGGCTTATGGCCACTAGTGCATGATGTTTTTAGTTCTTATTACAGAAGATATAAGAAGACGATAAACATCTCACAATCATTTCAGGATTGCGATTAAAAACACAATGTTGCATGCAGAAATGTCTTAATAGATCTGATCGGCGTATCATGACACCTAAAGGAAATTTTTTTCTTTGAAGAAACAGCATTTTTTCGTTTGAATCAGTGACTTATGCCCGAAAGAGACACTAACTTTGCGATGCGAGCAAGCTGCGAAATAAGACACGTTGAGTTATTCAAAGGAATAATGCAACGGAGGAACGGTGGAATGGTGGAATATCCTAAGACATGGATAGGCGGAATATCCTAAAACGCGGAATGCCTTGTTGTATGTAACAAAAGTCTCACAAAAAATGGAATCGCAATAAAGTAAAAAATTGTTTATAATTAACAGGCGAAATTAAAAGAAGCTTACTAGTTAATCATTGTCGGAGTCCATAGAATAGGGGAACTATGGCTTTCGAGCTAGCCCCTTTATATTGTTATTATATTACGGATTATTTGTTACCATTTATTAATCACTTGTTGAATGTCAGTTAGTTAATATGTTCTTGCTTCGAACGTCATGAAAAGGATCATTATAAACTTGGGGTGGGGAGGGGGGTGTTATCATTGTAGACAGTTCTATTATTTTCGAAGATTTTACGTACAATCTGTACCCCAAATTTCGAATACTTAATTTCCTCTGAGATGAACAATTAATAGGTAAAGTATTCCGTAATCTTTCCTCTGTTTCTTTCTCAAAGGCGTGACCTTTTTCTTCGTATTTTTCAGATGTAAGCGCTTATTTAGATGGCAGCTTTCAAAACTTATCGCAAGAGGGGCTTCAGGATTCTTTGTTTTCAAGGCGGCGGTCAAGCGTACAGGGAGGGACAAGCCAAGAGTATAATCCCGAAAAGTCCCGTAAGTATGAGTCACCCTATAGAGAAAGCACTGAAAGTCTTAATTCCCCCGCACGGCTGTATACCACAGGAAGCCCAAGTGGCAATGTGACCGAACAGGACTCCAAGACTCTTTTGTCGATTCTCTATATTCAGCTTCAGCAGTACGATCTTAGGTCTGCTCTTGATCTTGCCTACTCATTACTCGAACCGTCGCTTTCGTGCGATGAATTTCAAAACAGTGCACACTTTTCTCTGCTTCCCAGCGCGCCAAGCTCGTTTCAAAGGAGTAGCCATCATCCAAATTCAAATCAACTCATGGAGGTTCTACTTCAAAACTATCCTGTTGCACGAGTCGCGGATAACAGAGGTATCAAAGTGGTGCAAACGCTTGCAAGGTTCATGTCGGCTTATTTTTCAAATCTTTCTCTCTATGTTTATCCTCCCTACCAACCGACTGAGCTTCCACCATTCCATGAACTTTCTTTCGATAAAAACACGAATGAAGATTCTGAAGACCGTTCTCAAGTAACGGAACGTATTGGGCTTGATAGGGCCAAAGTAGCAGAAGCTGTGCGAGACCAGGGTGTTTATGAGCTTTGGAGTGCCAACAGCACCGTAGAACTGTTGCTTGTATCAGGGCTTATATTGGAAGCAGCCTGGTTAGCTAAGAATTTGGGTGACTGGAAAAACGCGTTGTTGTTGTCTTTCGCAAGCCAAGTCGTGACTTCTAGATTATCCGAAAGTGAGACACATCAACAAAATCAACGTATGTTCCCTCAACCACCGAAAGAGATCACTACTCACGCTATTGCATTTTCAAGACTGAGTCCTTCGTTCAAGCAAACTATTTCAGCCGCTGAAGAGCGAGCAGATAGCTTGGCCGAAGAAAAGCCAGCTCTTCATTCTTCGAAGGGTCAAAGGTCAATTAAGCACGTTGTGGTGGATGTCGGAACAGAGGCGGATGACAAACTTGTGAAAGAAGTTTCTCGGGTTTTTGAGGCGGGACTGGTGGCGAATCTCGACTTAGTGCCGTTAATTTTCACTGGTTTGGTGAGCCAGTTGAAGAATATGACGTCAATGTTTGAGTGGATTGTACCTGAGGAATTCTATCTGCCCTTTCCACCGTCTTTCTGTCCACAACCAATGAATGCCAAGAAGGTAATAGATGAAAATGTGTGATTTTGAATCATTTCCGCCCAATTTTGTTGGATTTCGTTGAATGGGAGGGAGATTTTACTCGGTGAGACAGATACCAATACAGAATTCATGAAGTAAAATGCGCAATTCTTAAGCTTTGTATAGGTCGAGATTACTAGAAGCGAGGTTACCACAGATTGGAAAAAATGATCTGCAATTTGTTTCTTTTTATTATTTTTTTCTTGTTCACCTTCTCAGTGTTCTCCTTTTTAGGCAGTAACCGGTAACATTTAGCACCTGTAGTACCTCTTATTACCGTTTAATATTGCTTGGAATTCTTGAAAATTCAGCGTGTAAAAGGATTGCTTTACCGGTTTGAAAATTTATTTTACCTGTCATGCTTAAAATAAGGGAGAATACTGCCTTCTAGGCAGGCCCACCATGGTTTTCTTGTAGTTAATAAAGTTTCGTTGTTTTAACTGTTACTATATTTCTGTCAGGAAACTTTGTCACCTCTGGCAGAAAAAGAAGAGAGGCTCCGCTCTGAAGTGGCCAACATTGTACAGAAGATCTTTCTTCTGCTCAAAGCTTCTAACTGTTTGGTTCCATGCGTGAGGTGGTACACAGAACAGCTTGTCAGCACGTCAGAGAACTGGTACAATGTGATAAGAACTGATGCAGACTTTCCAGTACCTTCTTCATTGACTGGGTATGCTGATCGTGGATTTAGTTTCCGTGACATTGAAGCAGACAAATCCAGTCATGTGTCTCCGAAGAAAAAAGGTGAATGTGGTGATATGTTTTGTGTGTTACATTCAATAGCTTTGTTACACCGTGCCAAAAAAAGAAAAGTTCATAATGTATTGAAGAGATCCGCAAAAGGCTATCAGGGTTATATTAGACAGTCTTCCCCACCCAAGTAAAGGGAATCTCCTCTACAGTCCCCGCTGGTTTAAAAACGGATAAATTTTTTATCGTATGGATAAATTTATCTGTGAATAAAATGGCTTTTCACTGAAAGAGTCTCCGGCGAATGAGGTTTTTCTTAAGTTACTAACAGTTTGTCTGGGTTTTGGAGGATTTTCTTAAAAATAAAAAAATTTAAAAAAACCAACAACAACAATATGTTCTCTTTTAGGGAAAAGAAAGCCTGAGGCAGCCTCCAGTGAAAAACAAAGGACAACTTATCATAAACCGCCATCTTCGATTGGAGTTGCGCTGAGCAGTTTTCGTGATTTCTGTGCGATTATGTGGCTATTGCACGCACGGGATAAGATGAGCAAATCATCCAGGAAATTCAGAGAGCTAAGGAGCCAGTCTACAGGTAGTGAGGAGGTGAGCATGTTCATGCCGGCTAATCAGTTGAAGTAGAGACTTATGAGTTAGTTATCTGAAGGAAACTGCGACAAATGAACTCCAGCTTAACGCGAACCTTGTACCAGCTGCACGAGGCGATTAGGAAAAACGGGTGCGAAACGCGAGGGTAACACGGGGGGAAGAGAGGAGTTTTTTTTTTCACTTCCTCTCCTGCGCACACTTGACATTTTTCAGCAGAGAGATGTGTGGGCTCATAGCAGAACGTTTCCTATTTTCATGTGCAAAGTTTCCGTCGGAGAGTTCGTTTGATAACAGAGGGTAGTTTTTATCTATCTTTAAAGTACTCGACGTATTTGACCTTGTTTGATTTTTTGTTTGAAATTTATACTACTTTTTACTATAAATGTCTTTCTTAAGGAGGTCACAACAATCCATTCAATTTGTTGGGAGACCCTGCTGTGGACCACGAGATTAGCTCCCTTCAGCTCTTTACTTGGAGCCACAGACAAGATCATCGACACTTTGCTGACCTTGTTGTCGGAGCTGCCTCCTAGTACAGCAACAGCAGAACTTACAGCTCAGTTCTTCAACAACCCAGACGTAGTCCAGACAGCGAGTGGAAGAGCAAAGCTGAAGCGTCTCATGGCCCAGTTTAGAGGAGTCACTGTGGGAGAAGACAACGACACAGACCGCCAAGACGAACCCCTGTCAGTTTTTTATCGTAAGAAGTGCATGGATTGGGAAGAAGAAATGGATGAAAGAGAAAAACTTTTCGGCAAGGTTTGCGATCAGTTTTTCGACATTAAGGAGGCTTCCGGGAACAAATCAGCCGATGATGAAGTAGGAGTCATAATGCATGATGGTGGAGGTTTGGCAGTTGGAACGGCCTTGTTTGAGACACAGCCATCTTATTTTCAGTTTCTGGATACTTTTTTCATGATAACTGTGTCCAAAACTGTGATGACTTATCATAGTAAGGCAACATATCCCGTGCCACTGTTGTCCTCCTACAACAAACAGCTGTTAGTTTCAGACACTAAGTCACTTTCGATGCTGCAACAGAAGACACACAATGATACCCCAGCCAGACCCATCAAGGGCCCCTCTAGTCTTTTCAGAAGCCAAAGCTTTACAGATGTGCGTTCCTCCAGACCCAAACCAGTGACCACAACCTCAACTATGGGGTCTGAAACGGAGATAAAACGCAGCAGTAGCTTAAATGATGTAGCTAGCTTGGGCGTCCACCCTGGGATTCGGACTCTCGGGAGTCAGCTACTTGAGCTTCTTCCTAGTCTGACCTGGCTCAGTCGCTGGACCATGGAAGGTTCATCTTTACCTTCGAGTAACTTCAATCGCAGCGCTCCTGGTGGCACCGAGTCGCTTCCAGTGATGCGGGTTAATGTCTCGCTTCCACTTCTGGTGAATAGTTTATGGTGTTTGCAAAATGTTTATTGGCCATGGATGTTGGATACAGAGGTCATAGTTGATATCAAGGTCAAAAGACCAAAGATTTCTCCGCAGAAACAACCAATACGTGACGTTAGAGAGCGCTCGCCTGTTTCAACAGACGCAGCCACGCCACCAAGACCCTTACGGAAAGTTCTAAGTGACTCCAATCTCCAAAGATCTGAAAACAATTCGGCGAAACGAAATAGTATTGCTGATGAAGGAAGAGGGTTACGAGGCGATTACGGTTATCAGTCAACGCCGGATATGCTAAAACGATCTCAAAGTGATTTGAAGACTTCTACGCGAAGAGAAAAAACAGTGTCAAGAAGGGAATTCCCAGCACAAGCCCAGAAAGAAGGAATAGAACTCTCAAGGCCACCTCGAAAAGATTTTCAACGCATCAGAAACCTTGATCGCATTCCCAAATCGAACAGTGAACCAAACATCCCGAATATTATTATACATAGTCCCACGACGGACGAAGAAAAGGATTTGAGTGGCGCGTATAAAAAGCGACACTCGCTGCGAGTCAATGGGAAAAGTGACTTCCCTGGTAGCCCGACGACTTATCACTCTGATCCAGGTATGAGTAGTAAATGATCCCATTTTAACTACCACGTGGTATCATTTAGTGGAGCAGCGGTGGCTCAACGGTTAACGCGCTGGACTCCGGGTCAAAAGGCCTGGGCTCGAGATGTGGCCGTGTCATTGTGGGTAAAATACCTTGCTCTTAAAAATGTCTCTCTCTCCACCCAAGATTATAAATGGGTAGAGGCAAACTGTCGGTGAAAGCTGACGATCCTATCCAGGGAGAGTATGGGGGGGGGGGGGGCAGTAGTGATACTCTTAGTCGCTTCATGTTACGGAAATGGGGATACGCTCCAGCTTAAGGCGCCACTTTACTCAAGTGGAGACGTTACTAATTCAAATTGCTTTCTAGCTTTAGTTTCCTTTCCCTTACAGAGTTAACTTCTTCTGTCAAACAAGTCGTAACTTCTACTCCTGCTAAGTCTAAACGTTCACGGAAAAGTAAAAGAAAGGAACACAAAGAGGAAAAAATGACGAATGAAAGCGATCAGCCTGGAAACAAAAGACGAGAGGAAGATTTGGTTGGTTGGAAAATACCAGAGCGCGATGGTACAGCATTCTATTTACCGTTTAAAGTGCATTTTTTTTTAATTTAGCAAAAAGTCTTAAAGGTGATCTCCTGCAATCCGTGTCAGTCTTCTTCTTCCTTTGACATTCTTGTTCCTTCTTGGATTATTATCGCGTTTTAAATCTTTTTCCGTATTACCAAACTTCTAATTCCTTAACGATCTTAGCGAGTTTCTCTCTTAACTCACAGACGTTTGCATGTGTGTTATAACAAGGAATTTTGTCATGACTAAACAGTTATGCTCACTGAGTGACCTTAACCAGTCAGAAGTAATTCTGTTAACAGTCTCAGCTTGGTTGTGCACTCTTCGGTTCGTATCTTGTGTAGTTTCTCTGAATTTTTAGAGGTTCATTTTTTCGATTCGGTTTATGATTACTGTATGTTCCTATCTTGATTCTTCGAACAGACATAGCACAGATACACCGACCATCTTTAGTAGCTGAAGAAAAATCAATCCCCACCCATCCAATGATTAGAACAGCTCCGTCACGTCAAGGAAAAAGAAAAAAGAAATCTTCACGAGAGCAGAAAGAGCCGCAAGATATCGATGGCGTGGTTACAAAGGACTTTGATGGCGTGATCACTCAGGAATTGGATGACGTGGTCACTAAGGACGTGCAGCCAAGAATCACAGTAGATTCAAATGAGAAGAGTCAGTCCTCAGCAATGACGGTACCAGTGTCTCAAAGTCAAATGGAACTGGTTCTTGTTGTGAGGTGAGATGACTGGTTACTCGATAGTGTAACGTGGTCGACTAATAAAATTTGGGCCAACTTCTCAATCAGTCAGATGCGAACCAAAACCAGGATCTGAGCAATATTGATTTTACTTCAAATTTTTTGTAGGCCTGGTGTTGGTAGTGATGCTGGTGACACTGTGCAGGCTGGTATGCCTGTTCTTCGTATACCAACAATGCTGGGGAACGTTCAAAGCTCAGAATTAAACATACCAACCCCCTCCGGCAACAATGGACAAACAACCCGTGCGGAAACGGCGTCGCAAACGGATCACAAGGGAATGACGTCATCGGGCTTTCAAATGCCAGAGCATTCTGGGATTTCAGCTGGGCAAGGTCACATGCATCGCGAATCTGATCAAAGTATTGACAATCGTGTTGATGTGCAGATTGTGGCAAAAACCGCCTCGGTTCAAACTGAATCAGGAGTGGAATCAAAACCGGAAGGTCCCTTGCCTTTATTCCCTTTATTACAACAGCAGCAAGCCTCAATACTGCAGAATCAACTTTACTACCCTACAAGCAATCTGCAACCACCAACATCACAGTATGAAGATCAAAATAGAGCTTCTTTACCTTTGCTTCGTTTTCCATTTTCTGATGCATCTTGCAAACTTGACCTGAGCAAGATGAGGCTTCTTGAAATTCCAAAGCGAGGTACGGACCACTCTTTGTTGCAGTTACCCGAATCAAAACCGTCAACAGCTGAATCTGGTATCCCAGATTTGAGCAAAATCAAACTCTTGGAATTTCAACCCAAGAAAGAACTTTGGAAGAGTACCGCTGAACCAAAAGGACATGGCACTGCACCTAACAACTGGGCCTTACTACGTATGCCTAAAAATCAAGCATCCTCAAATGGAGTTGACCTAAGAAAATTGAAACTTTTGGAAAATCCGCCTACACTTCGTGAAGCATGGCCGCTTTTAGAAGCTCCAAGGAAAGCGGAAACACCGAAGCTTATTCCTTTAGAGAAAATATTAGCATTTGAGAAGGATCTGAGGGAAAAACTTGCACCATTCAGCAAAAGCACGCGTCACTGGCAAGAAAAGGAGAACATCCAACCCAATGAGGAAAATAGACTGAGGCAATCTCAGAAGATTATTGAACAAGAAAACAGGAGAAATACAGTGTCAAGGTTAGGCTTCCCTTTTAATCTCAATATCTTAAGAGTTGATTTTTCTCACTGGTGACCTTACATACCCATGTTGATCATTCCTCAGAGTTTGGTGTTTAATCAACATAATTACTTTTTTTGGTTCTTGATGATTTCCTTTATTCCTTGGATCGAATGTTTGACTGTTTTTTGCTCTTCACATAATGAGCATTAAAAGGGCTGTGATCGTTTTCAAAATTGTTCACGTAACGTTAGCTAGGTTCTCCTTCACTTGTGTTGCGCCCCAACCCCCCCCCCCCATCCCCTTCTACTCATGGGTCGTCTCCTAGTAGAGATCAGGCGTAAGGGGGGGGGAGGGGGGGTGGGGTGGGTGGGTAGGGTAAGTTAAGATTGCAGTTTTCGAGCGACTCAAATTATGCGGTAGTTTGTTTCGCTATTACCTTCCCCAGGCAACTAATAAGTAAAAGCTAAGCAGGGAACATGCATATTTAACGAGAGTTACGTGCATGCGTATTTTGTGTCGATAACTAAGTCGCGAGTGAACTCGGTAGGGTGGAAGGAATGGCTAGTTGCGTTGCCCAAACAAACTCACATTAGATTTCCCGCTAGCTAATTCGACAAGTGGGGAGCGGATAAGGATAACGATCAACTTTTGAAAAGAGAGGGTAATATATTTTTTCCGGTTTAGTTGCAACAGGAGAGTTAGAGTTCGTCTTTTTTCGTTTTCCTTTTTAGACAAAGAAGAAGGCAGGCTTTGGAAAAGCAGACTAGACTACGTTCTTCATCTCCCGTTTTTAAAAGCAGGCCAGGAGGAAAACTTTCTCGCAACAAATCCATTCAGGGAAAGGTTATAACAGTGCAACCCGTGAAAAGAGAAAGAAGAGTCGATAAAGAACCTCCTAAGAGGCAAAAACCGGCGAAAGAACCAGCTTCTAAGAAACCAAAATCAGCTAAAGAGCAATCGGTACAGAAACCCATTTCAAGGAAGGATTCTAAAAAACAGGTTAGCTTGAGTGAGAGCGAGTTGGAATTATCAGAGATTTCTGATCAGGCTTGGGATGTTTCCGAAGAAGAAAAGTATTTCCGGGCTGAGAAAAGTCCAGAACCTTTTTCTTTCCGGGAGCACGGGGACCAAGGAAACAGGGGCGTAAAAAAGGGTAAAGAAAGAGGGGAGAAGGAATCCAAGCCCGAAGGATTCGGGGAGGAGATACCAGGCCCCCCGTCTATGCGGCATATGAAAGAAAGAATTGGAAGGAAGCTTCACGAAGTTGATCAGCAAATGTCTGCTTATCGCAGTGGAAGTCCCAGTTGGAAGTCTCTTTTTGAAACTGCACGGCAGGGGACTGGTGATGAACGACAAGGAACGAAGCCCTACGAACGTCGACAACCGCAGAGAACCATTGGAATTCAAGTTGACGAAGTGAGGAGATCTCCCCAGGATGATCCCATGGGTTTTCTTCATCCGGGCATGCTCGATCGTGGTGCAACTAATATTTTGAAAGTTAGTTCCAGCTCGCAAACAGAGCAAGCTTCCGCGCAGCTGTTACCAAGGAGAGACCTGGTAACGTCTGGTATTCAAACGGATAAAGGGGGTGTTGATTCGGATCACGTGACATCCCACGCACCTATCTTGCCGCCAGACATCTTTTTGAACCTTCAAATGCCCAAACCTTATCAAGAAAACCAAGTGGGTGTTGACGTGATAGATAGGTCTCGAGATCTCCACCCAGTTGATGATGACGAAACTGTCATTGACAAACCTCTCTCTAAGCGAGGAATCGATAAGGGAAGGGAGCCTGGTGATGTTGCCCTTGCTGTTTCAAAGGTTACTGGGGTGTCCAGGGGGAGGCAGTTCCTTAGTGTAGCTGATATAGATCATGATCAGTGGTTGGAAGTTCAGAGTACCCCTATGACGTCTGCAAACGAAATAGACCCGGAAAAAGAAGGAAATAGAGAGGAAATTGTTGATCAGCGGGTTGAGCTTCCATCGGAAAAAGGTAAGATTCACATGATTTGTAGTTTTTTTATTTACATACACTTTTCAAAAACCAGCTTCGTATGCAGTCCGTTGGTGCGAGTGTTTGCTTTCGACGTAGAAGAATAAGTCAAGCGCGAAAACACCTGATAATTGTGAGCAAGTGAGATCCTTTTACAATCGTTAAGTGTTAGAAGAGCTATAAAATCTTTTGACTACGCTGAATGCCCCCCTTACACAGTGTTCAATCTCGAATTTAGTCAAAGTGGGTCATATGTCCCGCATCAAGAACACGACCATTAATAGCAAGCTTTTTGTGGACAGATATGTCAGTGTTTTTGTCAATGAATAGGCTCTCAAATGGAGCAATTTATTGTCAATTCCATTTCGTGTTACTGTAGCAATGGAATCCAGCATGTTATTCGCCGTCACATTACTTTTGTAAGTTGCATTTTATTTTCCACGACTGAGGTAACCTACGTACTGGCACTATAACTGTGCAAGGAAAGACACAAGACTTTTATACTTGTGCACTGGAAACTATTCCTCTGCTGCCCAGTTTACTGGTTTCAATTCAACCAGCACTGCCTCTTCTTTTTCATCGAGAACTTCTCTCACTGCACGCTGGAATTCACCTCCCATCGGCTCTCAAGGCGTCAGCATGAATGTGGTGAGCCCAGAGGCAGACAACCCTGTGGGTTTGAGGCCGCGTGACGTCAGTTATTTGATACGCTAGTTGAACTCTTACATTGTTTGTAATTTGCAATGGTCGATCTCGGCAAGACGCAAGTGATCACGTGAAATGTTTCATAAATACCGCAAAAGGTAATATTTCGTCCCCAAAATCAGTCAGATGAATAAAGTTCACTTACCTTCGTTTTTCTGCGTTGTCTAGAGTGACTTTGCAGGGTTTTGTGACGATTAATTCCCCACTTTGCACTGATGCCCCTCCAAAGGCAAAGGAAAAGCAAAGCGTGCAAAAAACATTAGTTCAATCAGAACGGAGCTGTCAGTAGTGGCTTCGTTCTGATTGGCCAATATTTTTTCCGGTTGCGGAACGGAAGTAGTAAATAGTTATGGGGAGGGCTGGTTTGTATCGCCTTTCGACTGACACACCATGCGCTGGCGTGAGGAGGGCCGAGTGAAATCTGAGCTCGGTTAGTGATTAAATTGAAATGTAATGCGGTTAATCGAAGGCGTATGATTCACCACTTCGGTCCACATCATGTGTCGACGGCGGAGCGATGAGCGAAGATCAGAAATCGAATAGGCTTTTGAGGTGGTTAGAGGCGGGCAATTGCACTGATTTTTGGCTTATCTCTTACATGTTTGTCGAATTTTAACGTGCCCGAAGCTGAGAGGTGAGTGACATTTGGAAGCGGAAGAAATTCGGTGAAGTTCTGGAGGTTTTCGACCCAGACGGTCCTGGAAGTTGCACGCATAGTGTTTTTCCTTTGCCTTTGGAAGGGCATCGGTGCAAAGTGAGGAATTTGCCTCAAAACCCCGCAAAATCACTCGAGACAACACAGAAAAACGAATTTAATTGAACTTTATTTATCTGACTGTCATTAAGCGGATTTTGGGGATGAAGTCACGATTTGCGGTATTTATGAAACATTTCTTGGGATCACTTTCGTCTTGCCGAGATCGACCGTTGCAAATTGCAAACAATGTAAGACTTCAACTAGCGTATCAAATAACTGACGTCATGCGGCCTCAAACCCACAGGGTTGTCTGCCTGTGGTGAGCCACGTGCCGTTCAAGCGTAGATGATCGAAAGTTATTCGTTCCCTTGGTAAATGCATTGTTCTTTTTGTACTTCACACAAATTGAGCATGACATGCCTTTTTCTTTGTCATACTGTAGTCAAGGGTATACATTTTTCTACGCAAGACGGAATTTTCTCACAATACTCGTTGAGTTTGAGGCCGTTGGCTCTTGAAGTTCTGGAGGTTGACTTGTTGTCGAACTGACCCCTTCAGCTTCACTGTCCTCATCCAGCCTATCTTCTTGATTTTCAGGTTCAACTGCCATTTTCTTTTGCTTAAAAAACACACTAACCTTTTGTTGTCGTTTTATAATGAAACGTAAACACAAGAACAAAGTCAGCAAACAAAGGGTAAATCGATCGGTAAAGCAATGTAAGCAAAACGTCGAAGTAGGCTCCAGTCTCTCTCTGAATTGCATGGAACGCCTGACACTTTTGCGTCAGTATGACTCCACAATCATTTCATTTTGCGTCAGAATAGAATACTCGGGCGTCGATGAAGCAAAAAGGCGGCCTAAATTAAACACTGCCCACATAGCCACTGTATTTTCGCGGTTTAGCTTCTTGTTGGGTTGTCATTAGATTTTTAATTAAGATTTTAACTTTCCCTGTTTGTTCGCTATGATGCGCAGGCGAAAAGAAAATGTTTCAGGCTTGGCTAGGAGGTCTAAGGCTTAAGTTTGCTATTAAGCCTTTAATTCCCATGAGTGACCAAGGCAGAATTTCTCCTTTCAATTTCAGTACGGTTAAGCAGACAAGTGATGAGAATCAATAGATATACCTGTTAAGGGATTGTTATTCGATCAAATACCATATTCTCTGAACCAACATTTAATGAATTGCATGGCACATAGTGAGGAGACTCACTAATGAGATCTTGGAAGTATAAGGGTTAAATCCTTGCATTTGAACCTCTCACCCCATGTATATTTCATCCATTCGTTGTGCGATTCACGTTAAAAGGAAGCTGAGCTTTGGCGTAAGATATGGAACAAGACTGATTCCAGTATGTCCACGGGTGAACAATCTCGACAACACAAACTTTGCTTTTACGAGAGATAACCACAAATGCCATTCCTGACATAAATTTTCTAACGTAATTTTCTATCGTAATGTTTACAGAACATTGAAAAAGCGAGAGAAATTTTATGGAAAAAATGATAGGTCATGGGGTTCGTTTAGGAAGAAATTTCTTTCTCTTCGATAAATTTCTGGCAACATGCCTCCGTGTTACGCGATTGAGTGCGCACGGTAAATTAAGGGTTTGCGCGCGCCACTATGCGTGGAACAGAATGTTCATTGTGATACTAATAAATGTTCTTAATTAACTTCCTTTGTGTCGTTTTCCTCTTTTGTCAAGTATCATCAGAAAATCAAAGCTACCAATCGGAAGAAGAGGAGTCTAACGATAAACAAGAGAACGTGAAGTATACAGAGGGACCTGATAAGCTTACAGTAGAAATAATGGACTCTACGGACGATCCTGTGCAAAGGTCAGTCGTATGGAAATACTGCGCAATAATATACTAGGGCTTGGCTGTTCGCTGTTACTGGATAAATCTCCATGGGTGGATAGGGCAGCAGGCGTAGTTAACGCGTACCCACTGGATATCAATTTATCCGTTGGATAATGTTATCCGCCCTTGGAACAAATTAAATTTAAGACAACATCGTGTGGCATGGATACGATACAACATAAGGAAGCACTACTCAGATGCTTTCGTTTGTATGGTCACCTAAGAGGGTGTTATCCGCAGGAAAAAAAGTTAGAACAATCTTCAACAAAAGGTACAACTGAGTTGATAATGAAATACAATGAACGTTACCATTTGTCAAAATTGTTGAAGTTGGCTCTAACGAAGGGCTAACGCATCGTCACAAACAAAACTCGAAACCAAACAAAAATGACCGACTTTTTTCTTAAGGAAACAGTTGCAAATGAAGGTTTTTTCTTTTTTTTCTTTTTTTTTTTTAGTTTTTAACTTTTACCCAACTTGAAGCATGTTGAACACTCATTTTCGCATGGCGAGCTGAGGGTCAAACGCTTATTCAACTTGGCGACAATATTTTTGTTATCATAGAGGCCACGGATATGTAGTTACGTGCGATCTAGAGCTTGTAGACTATTGAAGCGAGGTCAGGGGCTCACTAATGGGAACTTCCTGCTTGTACCTGTCTTTTGGAATTTTCATCCCCGTTTCGAACTTTTGATACGACTGTAACGAGTGGCAAAAGTAGTAGACAAGCCTCCATCTCAACATAACAAACAAATTTTATTATTCATTTCTGATAAGTTACTTGAAAGCTCGGGAAAAAAGCTATTGTACATTTTGTTAACACCAGGCAACATCGAAGTGGGGGAGAGGGGGAAAAAAAAAAGTTATAGAAAAAGTCAAAAAGTATAAGCACCTGCCAAAACTTTTGCCACTCATTGAAACTTCCATTTGAATTACTTAACAGTGTCTTATTCCGTGACTGGATAGTTAGAGTCGCCTTGTACAGCATGATAAGCTATCGACTACCAAGGTATTGCCTGGAAGCAATTTTGCATAGTTAAGATTAATTTTTTCTTCTCAATTTCAGATTCTACCCGTCACCATTTCCAGCAGCCTCTCGGTCAAGTGCGAGAGCAGTGTCTACACAAGTCCTTAACGAGAGAATGAAGGAAATGAGTGAGAGGATTGAAGCAATGGATCAAATCACACAGAACATGGATAGAGAGTTCAAAAGCTCGCGCGTAGTAAGATTTGCCATCGTTTTAAGAACTCTGATTGGGAAACGGGTTGGTCTGTCAAATATACATTTAAAAAGATTCGTGAACTGAAACTTGCCAGATCATTCATCAAAATTTTTTGTCTCTAATTTTTTTTTTCAGTTATGTCAGGGATGTTCATTTTCGTAACAGAGGCCTTAAAAATGACTTTACCCATCCCCAACCAGCTTATTGTTGTTTTCTGTACCGTTATATGACTAGGATATATCCAAGAGTGATGCGTTGTCGAGTTTTTAGAGTTGAATTACCAAGAACTCTGTTGAAATGGGGGAAGTACTCGCTCGGCTCCTTTTAAAAGTAGGAGACTTCTCCTAAGGATGCGAACTGAACTTGAGGCAAGACAGCTTCCTTCCGAGAGTATCCTCGACTGGAGTTCCCCGCATTGAGTGCCTTCCTAGTTGACGAATAATTCTAATTTTTTTATGTATCTTTAGTTAAATAGGCAAGCAAAGTTTGGATTTTCAAAATAACGGGAGGACTGAAACGTCAAATAATTTTTGTCATTGTTGTTGTTGTTTGTTTGTTTTTTGTTTTTAAGGTAAATCTCGAGGTTCTAGCTTATGCTGTTAATCGAATTTTACTTTACCTTCCACGACTTTACCTCGGATGCCAAACCTATATATAAGACTAAGTTTTCGTTTGTTTGTTTGTTTTAGCTTCTCTCTGCTATTCAAAGTATTGATGAAGTACTTAATCCATCGTCAAGAGCATCTTCTGCTGAAGTGATGTCTTCAAGAGGATCCGTTGGTTCGCGTAGGGAAAAGCCTCGGAGATGGGGCGACACTGCTCCTTGGAGAAGGAAAATAAATGCTGCGGTTGGTAAACCACCAACTACAATGGCGTCACATTCTGAAGGTACACTATCATGGGCCTTGCCTACGAACAGAAAAATTTGATTTATTTATTACTGATTGATCACTCGTTTAATTGATTTCCTCGAGATTGAGCTATATTTGGAAAGTCTTTTCTGACATTGTATGAAAAAAAAAATGTATAAGTTTTTTGTCGTAAATATTTCTTTTTCCTAGCGAATTTTCTTAGAACGTCTCCGGTTCATTACAAGGCTGCCGTCTTATATGGTTGTTATTGACGTTTATATGCTTGTTTGTGTATCGATAAGATGTGGAAGACAGCATTGATGTCCATGCAGACCCTGTAGATAAGACCGAGGATGTAGCTTCCGAAGCTGATATTAGGGATGAAAAAGAAGACATTGAGGAAAAACTTAGCAGTGGAGGAGATGAACAGGATGACCAGGAAGGCTTACGTCAGGAGGAACAAGGCGAAGATTTGATAGTTGCTTCTGGTGAAAGTGAAGAAATCGCTTCAAATCGAGAAGTGGATGATGAATCCAAACTTGAGCAGAATTTTCAACCTAAGGAAGGAGCATCCGTCGAAAAGAGTGGAGTACCTTCATCCACGCCACGTGATGAAACGAGGTAAATGTAGCGAAAGTTTACTTAACTCTAGGTACGAGTCAGTTATACTTTTTTACTCCAATGAACTGATTAGCGGTTTTCCTTTCTTTCTGCGATGCTCCTTCTTGTAGATTGTGATACAGTAGAACCCCGCTAACTCTAACTCTAACTCCCAAGGCTAACAAAAAAATGATTCGAGTCAGCGGGGGTTCGAGTCAGCTGATAGTAAATCACAAAAAAACGGGATCAAGTGAAATCGGATGTTGTTCGGTGGGGGAGGGGGTGGTTCGAGTCAGTGGGGGTTCTACTGTATGTCCATATGGACTCGTGAAAAAAAGTGTCTGTTTTTATTTGATACTCTTAGGAAGGAAAAAGCCCGACCGTTGTCCCAGCTGGAGTCACTGACATTATCACAAGATAAACTGAAAGAGATATTCCAAGTTAAAGATGCGACACGAAGTCGGTAGGTTCAGTGATCAAATTTATAAGATTTTTTCCAGGATGTGCGTAACGGATTATGTTTCTTTAGAAATTTCGCCTGTATTGTTCGTCATTTGTAATCATCGTCGTCTGTAAAATCTCTAACTATCCTTGGAAACGTATTAAGGAAATCAAACCAGATTATAACTATTTGTTCTTATTATAAAAATTATTATTATTATTATTATTATTATTATTATTATTATTGTCATTTCTAATGTTATTAATGTTACTTCTTGTAGCAGGGACCCCAGCCCCGATGCCAGGCAACACCTGAAAGAATGGATGAACCAAAAACGTTCAGAGAGAAAAGTGGAGTGGAGAGGTCGGCAGGAAGAACTGAGAGCGCAGGAATACCAACCATTTTTGTCTCCCACTCAGGTACCTATAAACGACTTGTTATTGTGTTGAGAACACGGCGAACGAAAGCAATTAGGGATCTTGCAGGAGGTGACCTTCCCCGACTACATCTTTTTACATATTTTTTACTGCCACACGGCAAATATGCAATGCTTGAGTATCCTGGTCACGGGACCGAAAGGTCCTAGGTCTTTTTGTTTTGTGGTCTCATATGAGACTTTTTACCTTAACAGTGCATATACTCTCCCAGGGTTACAAATGGGTACCGACAAACTGTTAAGGTCGCCTGACGAAATGCAGGGGATGGGGGCCTTCTCGGGTCAAGTCTTCTTTTCTCGGGTCAAGTATCCCGAGAAAGAAGTCGTCGGCACGATGAGCGCGGGCTAATTTCCTGAACAGCAGCTGGTTATCGAGCCTTACAAGCCGAAACCGGATACGTTCCGGTAGCCAACTTAATCAGTCTTGAATGCAGACTTTAACTTTTCTCTGTGGTGTATGCGAGTCTCTCTCGCAGCCGTTCCTTGAGATGTCACGCAACGCCCCCTAGAGAACACGCTAAAGAACGGCTGCGAGAAAGACTGGGCTTGAATGTCTGTGCAAGTATTAAACCTTGTAGTATTTGAACCATATTTGCATATTTCTCGTTCCCAGGGCTCTACAAGTTTTAAAAAGATTAAGTTGATGGACAAGGAGAGAAGCGCGAAACGCAGGTAAGACATCGATTCGTTGTCTTTTATTCTTCTTGGCTCTTTGTCTCGCATTAACCTTGATAGTGGCACAAGTGGAATTTCACAACTGTCAAGTTTTGAATGGAGTTTGTTTGTTACAATTAAAAGGCGGGTTTTCTAAAAGCGATTTGTTACACATCCTTTGGATTTCCTCTTCAAAACAAGTGTACGTTAGGGCTCAAGTTGTATATGCATAGAAGATGAAAAATTGGTCACTGGTTTTCGGCTATAATCTTCGACAGAAATGCCTGGAACCCTTTCCTAAGGCGTCTAACAGTAATCGCATCTGAACTGTTGCCTTCACCCTCTTTAGACTAAATTGCATTTTTTGTGTGTGTGTGTTAAAAAATAGGAGGAGCATCCTAAACATATCAATCTGGGGATTTTGAACGAACCAGCCCAGAAGTTTTCGCCCTCACCCATATTTTAAAATTAATTCACAGGAAAAACGAAGACCAGTATAAAAAACAAAGGATCGAATCGGCGTCCAATCTTCTCTCTGAGATGCTAGCCGAGCCAGTTCCCAAGCCTACGGATCGTAAACCAAACCTTCGATACGCAGGCAGCGTGAACACGCGCTACTCAACTTCACTTGCGGAGAAAAAGAAACGAACAAGTGATCGATACAAAAATTTACCGAAAGCAAAGTCTAGAGGTAAACGGGTGCGACAAGATTTCGTGGAGAAACCAGTGAACAAGAAAGAAAATCGTGTGCAGGAAAAACAATCTCTCGTTGATTCGCCGCATCCTGAAGAGTTCTCGAGGAAAGCTCAGATTTCAGTTAGATCTCAATATACTTCTCGTCGTGATTTTTTACAGACAAGCAGCCCATCTGCTTCAGTTCAGGAAAACCTATCGGATCTGCTAGAAGGAAGTATTGACGTTAAAAGTGGTAGGTTAGTCAAAGAAAATCTACCTGCTGAGGACGATGTTTGGCGCTCGAATTCTCCGACTGGCGCCGAATTTGTGACGATACAAACGTATCGGAGTTTCGCAAAGAATCAACCGAAGAGGGTTAAAGCTAGAGAAGCATCTAGGCGTAAGCTTCCCCTTGAGGGGATAGGTGGGTATGGCTTTTCGCATCAGCCTCGAGGCACAGATCACTTGGGAAGAACTTTCTCTAGGACACGCCAGACTGACCCTCTCCTCCCTGGGGTTAGAACGTTAGCCGAGATAGATCGTCTTATAGAAGACATTCCAGATGATGGCTCCACCATGGATCACGAGAGGTTGGAGGGAATCGAAAGCTTGCTAGAAGGTGATGATGAACTGAGGGAGTTGTTGTCCGATGTTAACTGGCGCGCTGATGCTAAGGTACAGTAAAATATGTGAATATAGGAGTAACAGTTGATCGTGTGATTTTGAACGTCCGGGTGAGAGTAGTCTCGGAAAGTTCTTTTGTCAATAGTAACAATTGACCGAGAGATGGATCCAGGAGTATTTTTAAGCGGAGTGGGGGAAGGACGACGAAACTTTAAATAAGAAAACACTAAATTTTTTTTTCGGCAAATTACTTTCTTGATCAACCCACTGACACTATTGCGGCGCAATAGTGTCAGTGGTCAAAATCGATTCTGATGATTACTTTGTTAAGGTTGTCGAAACATCAGTCACTGTCAATGACCTCAGTTCTTCTTGGGATACGCTCATGTAGATGATCAAACTACACAATCAAATGATTTTGAAGGGATTTTTTTTTTCGGAATAAATAACTTGATAGTATGAGGTCCATAAGAAGAATGGAAAGAAAATTCGTTTCTCTTTTTTTCAGCCTCAGAGGAGTGATTTCGCCAGACCGACCCGAGGGTATTCCGGCATCGAAAAAGGTAAATATGCAATATTTTTCATGCGACATTGCGCACACCAGGTTGTGGCTGACACCGCCTAAGCTTGTCCTATCCCCCATTGCATGTGATGATTTTGTCCTGCTATCCCCTGTTGGGTGGGACCATCATTGATCAGAAATTAATTAGGTTTTCCTGAAAATTCACTGACACCCATTTACATCCGTGGGTAGAGAACAGCACTGTGAGAGTTTCTGCGGCTCAAGAAATCACCACTCGAACGGGCACTGACATCCAGGGTCGAGTGCTCTAACTAAGAAGTCATCTCGCCTTCCAAATTTTGTTGGACTAGCCCGTGCAGAAGCCACTCGTTACTCGACAGCCCTTAAAGACTGAGAATTTAGACTTCCGTACCAGATGGTGAATGAAAAAATAAAGTAGAGTCATTCCAACTTTGTTTTCCTCTTCTTCTCTTAAAGGAGATTCCCTGACTGCGCATTTATTATTTTCGTGGCTAGCTTATTCCTCATATTTCCTTTGATTCATCTCTCCTTTCTAGATAACTGGCGAAGTAGTGAATACCAGATCGACACACCTCGGAATACTGAGCCTGCAGTTCCCACCGGCGGAAGAACATTGTCAGAACTTGATGATGACGTCAGCCCGTGGAATACTAGAGAGAGCATGCGCACGTCCGAGGATGTTGCTCAGCTCTTGGTAAGTTGCGAGATAGTCGCTATACGTCTTCAATTCTTAGAAATTGGAGGAGTTAGTAACTTGTCTACTTGGCCCACAAGATAAGCTGGGGATGGCTTCTGCTCATTTTGATCGTCACAATATCAGTCACTGTCTCTTTTAATCGATCATTTTAAAGAAAACCATCACCCGAGCGATCAGAAATATGATCGGCCATTAACGACAGTGCTATACCTTTCCCTATTCCGTGGAAATCTGTTGAAGTTGGTTTATTTAAAGTTTTTATATGAAAATTATTGGCCTGTCCAAGAGAACCATTTAAAATTTGGTGTCGTCCTCAGAAGATCGGTCTTTTCCAAGAGCGTGAAAACAGAATGACTGAGTTTTGTCTCAGTCAATCGCTGAGCTTAGTAGAAACAAATTGAGTTAAAGCTTGAGTTGAATTTTAAACAGTTCTTATTTGTCTAATTGGTATTGTTATTCCAGGCCGAAGTGGACGAGGCTGTAGGAAATATGTCGGAGAGTAGTGGCAGTCTCAGAAGTCACATTGATTGGGAAGAAGTGGACAAAATCATGAAAGAAACGTAAAACTTGAGAGAAATTTACCTTTTTCAGAATGTAAGGAAAATTCGCGAGATAATAGCCAAAAATATTTTTCTAAAACATACTAAAAAAACCAAATAGATGTGGAAAATAAGTGTTGTCTTTGCTTTCTGTAACACAAAAGTCGTAAGCAAGGAATGAGTACTGAATGAGCATATTTATGGTATGACTATTTAATTATGGAAAGCCATGAGATGACTGTAGGTAGTAATCTCTTGGAAAGGCGCAATGTTTACATTTTCCGTTCGCCCGGCCGAACAAATCGCTACAGACAAGAACTAATGCACGTAATAACCCCAAATCCAAGGACATTTTATTTCAAAAGTGGAAAGACAAGACTTGATCATGATCAAGTAATTTAGTATTCAGTATTAAAAGCCAAACCAGCAATAAATAATTATTTACTGAGACCATTCCATTAAAAAAATTATATGATTAAAGAAGTCAATAACAACTATGTTGTTAAGTTTCAAAACAGCCAAATTTTAACTATGCTGACATTTCCATCGCACAAATGATTTTAAAAATATCAAGTTCGCAGTAGTTCATTGCAATGATACGTCACCAAAGTTTTCAACTGGTCCGCAAATTGTTGAAAACTATCAAGTCTGAACTAGGTTTACTTAGAAATATATCTTGTGAATTCATTCCAGAATGTCATAGCAAATATTATCGCTGCTGAATCTCAGCTGCAGGAATGAGTCCATCCATACTGGGTCATGTGTGGCAGTTTGCTTCAAGCGTTTTGCATTAGAATACAGTAGTCTTTTTAATAGAACTTGACCCTACAAAAGAGAAAATGTCTTTTCATGGGTTATACTAAGTGCAGGGGCGGAGGAGACTGGGGGATAAAGCTAAGCAATACTATGACCTTTGTTGAAAGGCAGCAAGGTATGCTTTAATTCGCGTAGCTTCAGAGGCTTATCCCGATTTTTGTAAATGAATGATTTCTTAGAGTATTGCTACGCTTTCATTATGGAATGACAGTTTAATTAGGGTTGTTACACGGAGATATGCTTAGATTTCCTTGACAATTTTCCGGCTTGGTAACCATCCTGATGGTGGGCAGGCACTAAGAGAGTTACGTCACTTGCCCAGTAGCATAACACTCGGCCAGGTTCGAACACAAGACTTTTGACACGAAGGATAAACGTAGGATAAAGGCTAACGAGAAAAAAAAAACAGCTATTCTCCCTTCAGCTATTCAAATTCAGAGTTGAAACCACGGCACACTTAATTTGTTTCAGTTTGTTACCTCTTTTGTGACCTGCACCATGGGACTCTCCTTTCTGCCCGCCATCACTTGTTGTAAAAGCTCTTTGTATTTTACAGTAGTAGCTGTAGTAGCAGTTCCGTTGCCCTCTAAGGGAAAGGGTATCTCTCTATGGTCACAGAAGAGAACTTTCGCCAGTGGGACCTGTTGGTGACAGTAAATGTTTTGCACGACAATGGTGAAGTTTGGCGGACAATCCTCTCTTGCATCACGTGGCTCGTGAATTGTGAAACAATTGTTTTCCTGCAGATTGAGACCAAAGCAAAGAATTGAAATCACATTTGATAGGTGTACAAGAGGAAATAATTGGGGCATTATTTTCTCAGATTGTGTATTGTCGGCCTTCAAGACACGTACATACCCGACTATTGTCCAATAAGTCATTAGTTTAGGTCAGGGTATTATGGCCAATAGTACCCACAGCTTCGGGAGGAGTGATTGCTGGTTAACAGTGGTATTCAAAGACCACGAAAATGAGGAAAATGTTCTTATTTAATTTATAAGCAATAGGAAAAGAGAGTAATTTGTGATATATACGAATTTGGGGAGAATAAATGTGATGTGTACTCATGCAAAAACCTGGGTAAGTTCAGGTTTTAGATCCCTGGTTCCCTAGACCAGACTTCGAGCGATTAACTCAGTTGCACACTGTTGAGCAATCATTGTTACTGGATCTTTACTAAGCATTAATTGTAATAGATTCCACGGAGCTTTCATCTCAACAGAAAGCTTAACAAAACTGTCCTGTTTATTACAGTTTTGAAACCCTCCAGTTATATGCGCAGGGCAGTTTTGTAACATTAATGAGAACTGCTCAACATTACAAAGAGGTTAAAAAAAACGTTTATGTAAGAGAATGGGCAAGAAAACAGGGCAGCGAAAGGGAATTGTAATATTCATTACCTGGGGAGATTCAACAAACGACCTGATTACACATTGCAAAGCATTTTGCAAATTTTCAAAGGGTTTTCTGTCTTGTGGAGCCGCTCTGTCCTCATCCATAGGATAAAAATCCATTAAGATACTGCAACAAAAAAGAAAAAAAAAGATGTAAACGGCTGAATATGACCGGCAAAAAACTTCCTTTTCGTTCCTCACCTTTAAACGGACATTCTGGCCTCTAAGCAAAAACACTTGTTCGCTATGATATTTTAAAATCATAGTTTGTTTGGAGATGATAAGAGGTCCCCTAAAATCCTTGTGATGAAACAAATCATTGCAGAAAGAGAGGCCTGCAACATTCAGGCAGCAAGGATGTTTAGAAATTTAGGACGAAATTTGCTGGAGAAGATGATTTGAAAAAAGGTCTTTGATAGGTAGAGCGTCTAGAGTGGGCAGTCAAGTTACTCCAACAAAGGCTTTTGTTATCTCTTTTAAATAGTTTTCCTTCCTGGCGTAAATTTGAAAGAAATATATTGTTAACAAGACTGTGAGCAATAGAACTGAAAGAGTAATTGCAGCTGTTAAGTATACGGATGCATATATAGTTGCTAGCCATACTTGAGATCTTCTCTTGAAGTCCATATTGGAAGATTTGAAAAGTCCAGGCACGGAATTCGCTTGATACAAACTGGTCCATACACACCCAGGTCACTCTTAGGAAAATGGCATCTAAGCCTCTTTTTATCCTTTAATAGCTGAACTTTAGATGTCCTCTCGTCTACGGGTGCAGCGAAATGAAGTTGTAGGGGTTTCCTTAAAGTTAAGGAAAATATGATCGTTTACGTCTTACCGTAGGGGGCGGGTTTTTTTTTGGGAGATCACATAGTTCTCAGGGGAACTGAGGGGGAAATCAGTTATCGCCAACAGAATATAAAGGGGTGAGGGGGGGACTCTAGAAAATTGACTGCTAATTAGTCCATTTTACAGATGTGTGCTTGGTTACCAAGCCTTTGAACAAGAATGAGGCTAAGGGTGACCTTGTTATGATACAAACCTTGCTGCTTTTAAAATGCAAATTACTTTGTTATCATGCTAACTAGATACTGGTTTCAATCGCAACAAGGTCACCTTCAGCCTCACTCCAAATCAAAGACTTGGCAACTAAGTACACAACTGTAAAATGGCCTATTAACTACACATGAAGGGTCCAAAGAATATTACGGAGCCTTATGGAAGTCATGCAAGTTTTATTGTGGCACCACCAAAATCCCTCCATCCACAACTAAAAAAAGGGGTCTCAATAAAAGCCAGCCACCGGCGTTCTTTCTGCCGTCTGTTTAGCGTACGCTATCGTGTTTGTGTTTTGTCATATCGGGTGCAGCGGTCTATTACACCATCGGTCGCCACTTTTCAAAAACATTATTGGAACCCTTGGCTAAACTCTGGCAATGCCCTTTCAGTGTTCCTGACGGACCGACTGACTTTGTACTTGACTGACTAAATGACTGGCTGACTGACTGACTGACCAACTGAACAGAAATAGGAGTGGCCAAGGAACGTGCCCCAGCACGAATCTCCAGGCCCACAACAGGAAACCTTTATCAGATAGCTTTTTGATTTGGGAAGATTGCATTTACCCTTGACAGTCAGTAGAGATTTCCACTGCAGTGGGCAAGTCCGTCGGGTAATATTTTACTTTAGGACCTGTTATTTCCGCTGTTCTGAGAATCAGAATGTCTGCATTGTAGCACATGGCATGTTCTTCCAAAGCCAATAGCTGTGTTTAAAAAGTATAGCGATATCAAAAAGAAAGATTATCACCACAATTAGCTATAAAAGAAATCAAAGGGTAGAGGAGTATGGAATTACAAGATGTTGTGGTTCTGGCGAACTTCTAACACAGCCGGCCAACATGTTAGGCATATTTTCGAAAATTCCACCTATCAGTGCTCATAAGTGACATCGATAACTAACAAATATTCACCGAAGTGGTGATAAATACTCTCCACTTTCACTGACACTGAGGAAAAACTTTTTGAGCCCGCGATGGTCATACGATTTTCAGCGTTTCAATACTACAACGTGAAGAAAATTTCCGGATGTATACAGGAATCGACCAACCAGCCGACCGACCAACCGAAATTTCTCCCCAATAACTGCTAGAAATTGTTCATGTCATGAAATTCGCTCGTTGAAAACATAGTAAATAGATCAGTAAAAGAAATAAATAAAAAGTAGATCTTCCCACCTCAAGCTGGTCGGTTTTTAAAACCTCTCGCGTCACCAATGTCACATCAGGTAACCCCAGGCCGAATTGTGTAATGTCATCTACTCGCTCCACGGTTGTCGATAGGAGCTCGTTTTCACTGTCATCTTCGGTTGCGTGACCATCATTATGAATAATGACAACATCAGAGTTTTTTGTCTCTGGTGAAACTTCATCCTCTAACTGATCAAACGGAGAATCGATACCTGATGGGACGAAACTCGAAGGCGCTTTCTTTTGCCTCTCTTCAGCCACTAAGCAGTCTGTACTCTTGTGCACGTGGTCAGGGTTTTGAATGATAATATCTTGACTGGAGAGGATCTCAAGACGGTAGCAGCTGTCATACTTTTGGAGTCCATTGCCCACGTGACCACTGACGCAGCTAATTCTGACACAGGACAAGTTCTTTTTCGACCGACGGGATTTGCGCATGCGTCTTTTTGCTTGACTTAACTCTACCATTTCGTAATCCGTTTTGCTCGTCATCATGACTGTTTCATTCCTGAAACAGCAAGAAGTTTTCGTGGAGCTTCTCGTTTCAGGTTTCAATTTTACAGCTTGTGAAGTGCAGTTGACAGAAGAACTTATCAAAACAAGAACTGTTTCTTCATGAAGAGCTTTCCAATCCGCTTCAAGCATTAACAAGCTTACAGTTCCCTGGTCAACATCGTAGCGCACATTGTTGTAAAACAAATGCACAGGGCGGTGAAATGTCCTCTGCTCTAACTAGTCCAGAAAAAGAAAATTTTATTAAATTACTAAGTTGTTATTCGAATCAAAACGCATTTCCTTCTCACCTGTGAAAGAGGCCACACTCGAAGAAACCTCGCATCGGTAGGATCCTCAAACAAGACAGCTTGCATGACTGGGGTGTTGCGTGACAGAGAACTGATTGGAAACGTGACACGAACTTCTGCTTTGAGAACCACGCCTACGAAAAACCTAAAGCTAAGACCATGATCCTTTTCAACATATCAAGGAATATAAAGTATAACATTTGAAAATATTTTTACCTGGGCATACTCCAGCCAAACACTTGAGAACATTCCACGAAAGGCAGCAAAGCTTACTGAAAGTTCGCTTTTTAAAAAGTCTTACGGATGGTAAGCATTCTTCGATAAAGCAAAGAACCTGTTCGGCTGTAACATAGGGGAAAAAAAACAGCATAAACGCAGCTGCAAAGGCGAAAAAAAGACAGATAATCTGAGTTGGGAAGAGATTTGAAGGTATGACTTACTGCACACCAATTGAGGGCCTCACTACTGAATTGCAGAAAATAAGTTGCAAAGTTGGTCCTGTTTATATGTAAAATTGATGCGGCATACTGCTCGGATCAGAGATATGCAAATAGTTGTCTGTGTGATAATCGATGAGAAAAAGAGGCCAACTCAAACTCGTAAGTAAGGCAAATAAATTTATTTTTCATGAATACAGAACCGCCAACAACTTCAAGTGATTTTCAATGGAAAAAAGGTACAAAGAAGATGTAAGCTGAATAAACCATTTGTTAACCGCCTCTCTTAGTTTGAAATATATCGGGGCAAAGGTTTAAACATTTCTTTCAAAGAATGGCTCCTGATTGGAAAACTCTCTTGTTTTGTCTTTTTATAAATAATCCCAACTTACCTTTCTCTTCGAAAGTTACTGCAATTCGCAAAAACGCCATGAAAAATGTCATAGGGGAGGAGAGGGTCACGCCACTTAGTTGCAGACAACGCTCATTAGCAGAAGGGAGTCTAAAGCATCTGGCTGCCAATGACTTAAGTGCAGAGAGAACATCTGGGGAACGAACTGAGGAGAAATAACATTGTCTCAGCATCTTTGATGGTATCAAAGTGCATGAGAAGTCAGACCTCTTCATCGACTTTTGGTTGGAATAAGAGAAGGTGAATTAGTGAAGCCCCTGCAGTGCTGAAGTAATTTTATAGAGAAAGGAGGAAGTTTGGGTTGAGTGGAATGTATTTCTTTGCACTTTGCAGTAGTCTTTAGATGATTCGGAGTCATCTGAATTAATAATGGAGACGGTTATTCCCGAGAGACCAGCTCAAGGGATTCCCCTTTGAATTATACCTTAAAGGACTTACGTATAGTGATCGGCGAACTTTCCCGTTCGGTTTTTACCCAAACCATTCGATCTTCTATTCTTCGACTTTCATTCAGAGTCATTATGTCACTGAAAATAACAAACGATTATTGATAACATGGCTAAGTTAACAATGACCTCTCTAAAAGGCCGAATTTACCGATCGGTGAAAGTTTCCATCTAACTAGAGTACTTACTGTCCATGGAGAAGGGACTGTGTGCCCTGATGACTTAAGCTGGTGCCAGCAAACAAAATTAAAAGATAAATAGATGGGAAGAAGAAGAAGAAAAAACAAACAAATAAACATATAGAAAACAACTGTGCGCAGGGTGGGGGTCGCGGTGGCCTTATGGTTAGCGTGCTGTACTCCGGTCGAGAAGTCTGGGTTCGAGACCTACACGGATCATTGTGTTGCATTCTTAAGCAAACTCTTTTCTGCCATAGTGTTTCTCTCCAACCTATAGAAGATACCGGCGGAAGATCAGGGAAGCCTGATGGTGGACAGGCATTCCACCCAGTGGAGAATATTAATACTCCTAGCCACTTCATGCAATGGAAACCAGGATAAACGCCAGCTGGGTGGGCTACTTTGCTCAAGTACAGATTTAACAAAGTACAAGTGAGGAAACATAAAGGCGGACTGGCATAGTGAGCAGGAAAGTGGTAAAGCCAGATTAGGTTATAACATACCTCCTTCCGAGATCTAAGTCCTCCGCAAGTTTGAGCCCGAGAACAGTGGGAAACAAACTCTGCCGTACTCCAAGGCTCGACTCTAAGTACTCCTGAAGACTGGATAGACCGGAAGCTCTCCATAGCATAGAGGATGTAAACAACTGGGACTGATCTGGCCTTCATTTAAAAAAATCTCTCGGTCAGAGAACAAAATTGGAATTTTAAATAGGATTAAAAAAAGACTTTGGACCGAAAACATACGCACATTTATCAGATCGAGTTCAGGAACAACTTACTCTTTCAATCTGTCTGTGCAACATACTAGAATGTTCAATAATCCAACATGGTCACTGAGATTACTTGTGTCAATTATATCGAAGACGGCATCCTTTGGAAGACCACTGCGACACAGGTCCAGGGCGTCTCCCTCCCAAAATGTCACCTAAAAATAACAAATGTGCAAAGTTCTTTTTTTCTTTCATTTTATTATACTCTTAACAGAAGAAAACGGAGAGGTGAAACGTCGAAACACAAAGGGCTATTTTTACAGAATGGATTACTTGCCATTCTATACTTGAAAACAAAATTTAGAATTTTATCATAGATTATTGCTAAGTGTACCAGGCGATGTCGCCCTCACCCCAACCCCCCTTCCGCCCCCGCCCCTTCTGCACCTCGGGGTGATGGAACTTTGAGGCGATCGTGTGCAAGGGCGTGATGTCAACAAGTCACCTACAACCTCACTAAGTAATAAATTTCGGCTGTCATTCGTGTTGCCGGGAAGAGAGTAAGTATTTCATTCGTCCTTACAGTGATAAGCTCATTCATAACCGTTCAGATTGATGAGGGTGCAAAGTTCAATAAGGAATTATCAGGAGGCTACAAAATGGATTGTCTGACCGGGACCATAAGTAAACGGAACTAGAACAAGCCAAGAGTTCTGCATACATAGTGTAAGGAAAGCATTGGTACATTGCAATAACCTTGATATCATTACATTAATGTGCACCTGTATTGGAAGATGTTTCGTTTTACTTTTAATGAAGCCTTGGAAATGTTTCATCAACTCCTTGAGTTTTTCCTTACAAACTTTTGTTATGCATTTCTTAATTTCGAGCCTATGCCTGTGATAAAAAAAAATAAACAAACAACCAAAAAAAAAGATATAGATATATATAAGTATTTAGACATGATACATTGATTAAAATAACTGAATCAATTTTAAAAGACGCTGTTTATTGTATTGCAGATGAAAGCTATTCATCCATTAATACATCTATTCAACACCTACAACTTAAAACTCGTTTGTACACGAATTAAAAACGTAATGAGAGAGTTGTTCGTCTCTTCACGTGTGTAGAGCAAAGAAAAATCTTAGTGCCCTACGAAGTATCGAACCCCTGCCCTTCAGATTTTGTGCTCCGATGCTCTATCACGAGTTACTGAGTACTCAACAGTGAGCTTGAGGATCAGTTTGTTTATATGTGACAAGCGTCTTACGAACTCAGTGCTAGGATCAGCAATGCGTACGCGTAAATCGGAAAATGAAATAAAAAGTAAACTCTGGCTCAGTTGTCGAGTAAAGAGATCGAGTTCGAACATTGTCATCCCTCTCATTCTATTCATTCTTGTGAAAACAAAATTTACCAAAGGAACCACTTACCTATCAATTGGAATAAAACCGGAAAACGGACAGCTCCCATAATGCACTTTCCATTTGTGCTCAAATGGGCGAATGAGAGTTGGGTTTACTTTTGGACTGTTTTGAACTTCCGGTGTAACACCGCTCAAAAAATATGAATAGATTTCTTTATAAACAAAGCCACGCTCATGAAGGCATTTGCGACCAAGCTTGTGTTCATCTGTCGGCGTAAATAGCTGTTTAACTGTTGTGTTTGTCAATGAGGTTACTGCTGTTATAAAATTAAAGTGGTCCTGTTGAGCATCCTGGGTTTCCTGTTGTGCCAAATTTAGCCCTGTCACCATCAATCTTCGCCGTTGAAGCGATACATTATCAATATCCAGTTCTAAGTGAAGCCAGTCTTTCCAAATTTGTAGACACTTTGTAAACAAGGTGACAGACCCAAACTGCGACTTAACGTCATCTTGCTTAGGTGATGAAAGTGTCTGCAAAATCGTTTGCAATCGCTTTAATTCGTCGCTAGAAAGTGAAAGGTTATACCATAAATTCCACAAAAAATCCATATCCAAGTCACAATTTGGGTCGATCGATCGCACAGTCTCTAGAATGATAACATCTCGAGCGATTATTGACGGATCATGATCATTCAAGTTAAAGTGAAGCGAAGCTGGGATTTGTGATTGTAGTCGTTGGTAAAGCTCTGAAACTGTGAACAGGAGGTTTCGAATGTCTCCTGTACCAAGCAATAAAAAATCAAGACTTTCATCACTCTTAGACGTTCTAAAGTACTCTGCTAAATTTATCCCTGGCGTGTTTCCAAAAGCGTAAGTGTAATGACCGGTTGGAAACAAAACTTGCGCCTTAGGATTTGACAAACTCAGCTTCAGAACTCCATGTTTGTCGTACTGCAGTTGCATCATAGAAGAAGAAGATCAATTCTTCACGAACAGGTTGATAGCCAATGCGATTTCCATGAGCTGCCTGTTTAAACAAGTTAAAGTCATTTGCATTCACTGTCAACTTTAGACACACACCAGACTTGTCAGTCTGTCAAATACGCCAAAACAAACTTATCACGGCAGAGCAATATTCAGTTCTAAGTCATGTGTCCTTGGCGATTAAAACTCAGAGACAATATATAACCACTTTACACTCTTATGCTAGCTTTTAAACTGTTAAAGCAAAATCAATTCAAGAGGAAAATAATTATTGTCCTAAAATAATGCCTAAGGAACATCGATTTATTTTGCAACGCTGTTAAGTCGGGGTGAGAATACTTCCAAGCCATATGAACGAAATCACATCAATGTTATCATTTCATAAACTCAATATATTTGGTTCATCTGGCGTAATTGCAACTCTGAATCGGCGGTCGAAATTGAAAATTCTGTCCTATGAGATATAAAACAAATTCTATCACCGAAACGATATTATCGGCCGCTGAAACCCTAACGGAAGAAATGGCAAACATTATTACAGCTCTACGTCAAAATGATCAGTCAAACGCGAAGGAAAATTTGCATGAACTCGAGGGCTTTTTGTCAAGATTATCTTCGTGTCAGTTGAGAACAACGATTCTCCAACCCTTTTAAAGTAGAATTTAGGATAATTTGAGCTGCAAATAGAAGTTTTTAAGTCCAGACTTAAGTTCAAAGAGGTAAAACACTTATCAAAACAAACTATGGGATATTGCCATGAATATCACGCTTATATGTTTCAACGAAGGCCAAGTCAGTTAATTTTTCATTGTTCAGAAGATCAGTTTAAACAAATTTAGCAAAACATTGTCGCTTTGTTCAGTTTCAAGAAATAATAGAAAAACGTTACAAAATAAGGATTACCTAAAATGCTGCTATTACCCTATGCTTCCGCCAGCATCCACTTCCGATGTCAAATGAGCGACGAGGCTTTTTTTAACAAAAAAATATTTGCATACATTTGCATTTAAAAAACAAACTAACTCCCACGTCTACTTAACGATAAAGCTTCAATTCCAAACTAACATCAAGAATTTATTTTAATCTAACCATCTTTACGAAAAATTACAGATTTAAGGCGGAATATTGAAAGCATTACGGCAGAAATTTTTGAGGGTGACATAGATCTATCGATTCAAAATCCGCGGATAAATCTTTTTGTTCCTAACAGGTTGTTTGCACTTAAACAGCGATTCTATCGCAATAAAATTAGCATATGCCTCCTATAGAAGTTATGGCGTCAAACATTAATAATAATTTCTCGAAATTATTTAAAGAGTTTTTAAACGATTTTTTAAAATCAGTTTATACTTATCATACATCGCGTTTCTTTTTTTCCTGACCGTCTCCTAGGCAACAGTTATTAAAGTAGTCTCTCGCGCTCTTCACCACCGAAATGGTTACTTAGCAACTGCACTACTTTTCATTTCTATGGCGCTTTTACTCTGAGTAAGTTTTAATTTCCTCGGCACTTGCCAAGGCTGAAAAGTTGAGCGACAGATACATTTCAATGAAAACTGGTCAATTAACATATAGAGAAGCCTTGACTGTGCTCTGTTCTGTTGTAAAGCACGTTTTAACCGGTGTATTCATTATCTCATAGATGATTGGATTTACAACACTGCTGGAGAACATCAAATACACTGTTACCCTAGGCACCTCATATGGAATATACCCTCCAGCAGTGATTATAAAAGCGCTTGTGGTTGGGGGACCACATGTAACTAAAAAGAAACAAACCATTATGAAACAACTCTTCGAAACGTGGTTGTCAGTACAATGGAACCACACCATTTCGCACGACATTGGCGTTGACGTTATTAATACATGTTTTCTTTCACCTTTTGATAAATTTTCCAATAGTAGTGAAGTACCGCACAAGTTATAACTTTAAGGAGCCCTGTAATCAATATGACGAAATAAGTGTCCTTCCCAGTAGTTGACATTACAAACAAAGGCGTTTGAGTCGAAGTTCATTGTTCCCCATCCGTACAATGGATTTTTTTCGTGGAACTGAGCCATTACCTAGGAAAGCTCCCCAGTTTTTCGCCCTTACATTGTTAGTAAACCCTTACAAGTACAATACCAGGAGTAATAGCGTTTATGGACTTTCTCCATATTGTTCCTGTAAGGAATCTTTGATAAACATTATACGAAGTCGATGCTTCCAGAGAATGCTCAAACATCGCAGAATACCCTCGACTTTTTAGTTCACTGAATCTGGAACACTCTTCCTATCAAATTTTACTGGCTTTTCGTTAACGGAAACCGTAATCGTCTATCAAATTCAGCGAAGGGAATGATTGCTAAGATTTCCTTTTGAAGGTCGACTTTAGCGCGGATTTGATGTATTCGAACCTGAAGCCATTTGTGATTTATTTCAAGTTCGTACTGTCTCATAGTCGTGTAATAATTATTCTGTACTCTGACGAGAAGTTTTAAAATTTAGAAAAAAAAGCGAAAGGAACAAAATAACTTTGGTACTAGTATAGGTAATCACATTATTTCACTTTCGATGAAATGGAATCGTCGTATACGAGGTTTAACCATGTTTGTTTTTAATTTCGACGTAGAATCGCTCGAGCAAAGTGTTGAATAACCTGAAAACTGCATTTATCTTAGCCAATCATAACTGAAAAATCTTTTCATGTATGCTATTAACATTAAAAATAAATTTGTGTTGTTCTTCTGCGCAAAAAGCGGAAAGCCGGCGAGGGAGGAAACCTTGATGTTTACCGTTTGCCGTTCGCCTGAGCCACCTTGAATTCGTCTCTATATTATTCTCTCGAGATGGTGGTTACATCGATATCTCCTTAGTTGCCCCCGAATCAAATAAATCACTTTAAATAAAAGACTTACAGAATCATTTCCTATCTGTCAATAGACTACTCCGCTTTCTATTTAAGGTGAAAAAGGATTTAAGAGTTTTTAACCGAAAATTTATTATTCTAAATGACCGGTGGTAATTAACCTCGTTGATTATTTCATTGAACGATTAGGGTATGTTCCTTCGCTTTGGTTGTTTGTTTCGCTAACTTTGGTTTTAGTTTGACGACACCACACTTCATTTTATCTTTGCCAATGGATACATTTTTCCCTGTATCAAATAAACGGTTGATAGCACACGAAGAAAACGCTATCGTTCATTTAAGCTTACTTAATTAATTCATTGCTTTCTGAGCGGCACTCTGTTTCGAGAGTCTAAATGGGGTGATATGGCTTTTACGGCTAACGGTTGAAATTTTGGTCATTTTAGGGCAAAACTAATATCATTCCACTTTAATCATGACTCCAATATCCAAAATGTTCTGCATCATTTCCCTTCCATCATGTCTTTTGTTACATGTACGCCAAAGCATTTTCACTGCAAACACACAACTAATGTACTGACGAAGGGGCATGGTTCTGCAAGTTTTTGACATAAAGGGAAAACAAAGGAGTTCTAATCACGATTAAAGAGGCACATAGACTTGACATAGGTGGCTCTATCAAACTTCAAAAGCTGAAAACGACGTTATTTCCTTCTGCAGTTTTCAGATGTTTGTACAGTAAAGTGTAAAGATTGTCCTTTATTGAGAAAACAAAAGCTGTTCCTTCTTTTTGCTTTTCGTTTTTTTTTTTTCAGCTTCCACCTTTACTCCTCATACTAAAGAATAAATAACAAAGGATTATGAGGAAAATGAATTTAAAGATAATTAGTGATAATGGCTCTCTTAATCTTAGCAATCTTTCCCTTTCGCTGAAAGAGTTTGATGGTTTCAGCATTCTTGAAAATATAGCCAACGGCAGGTAAAAAGATCTTAGCCAGGTTTTTAGACTGAGTTTTCGGAGATTCAAGGAATTGAAAATCGTGAGTATTATTTGAGCTTTCCCTCAAGCAATAATTTTGTACTATGTTTATTGAAGATACCTGTAGGAAGACTATGGAGAAAATAATTTACATTAATCGTAAAATTATCAAGGAAAAGTGAAGCTGATGCATTGCGAGCTCTGCTTAGTGTTTGCTCAGTTTCAACAAGAAACATGGGAAAAGATTATTGTAGAGTTTAATTTGCCCAAAGCCTAAGGTTGTACATGGTAAGTTCTCTGAAGGATCCATGTAATAGCTTTTCTTCACGAAATTGGGATTGATCTTGATTTTTTTTTCAGTTTCCGTTCAGCTTGGATTACAACCGAGAATGTCTCATACGATTTCCCAAGATCCCCTTAATCGTTTGCGAGGAGAAATTGGAAGTAACTTTCGTCAAGTTTGCCTCGCTTCCGTACTAGGTAATGTGCTGGTTGTTTATGTTGTAAATAATACTCTGAGGCGCAAACCATCACTAACATTCTCATTCACAATCTTGCACTGACTGATATCATCATGGCGACCAATAACATGCCGTTCTGGATAACCAGCTTGTACTCGGGAAAGTGGAATTTTAGCCAAGAATGGTGTGAGGTTTCTGCAACAGCACAACATACTATGGGGCTTGGCCACCTCGCTCATTATGGGCTTAATTGCCCTGAATAGATACATGAAAGTTGCTAAGCGAACCATTTATATCAAGTTCCTCCCAAGAAAAAGAGCAGCATGGTTGTACTGTGGTCTCGTCTGGCTGGTTTCTGTGCTATTCGCCACTCCTCCGTTATACGGATGGGGAGAAATGATCTTTGACTCAGATTTTTACTTTGCTCATTCAAAGCGCACCGAAATTCCATCGTACTGACATCGATGTTTTGTAGACTTGTTTCACAGTGGTTTGTTTTTTTAATTACTTGGTTTCATATAGCCGTATGCACTTTCACAATAACCAGTAGTGGCTACATTCCGCAAGATGTACGTAAGGTATCTGTGTATTTGTTTTTCGCCAGTAGTCTTGTAAATCCAACCATTTAATGGGATAATGAATCCGCAGTTTAAAGGGGCCTTCAAAAAGGCATTCAGTTGTGGTCGCTATGGCGCGCAACGAAAATGCAGATCAGAGTCATGAAAGAGTTGCAGCAGTAATAATACATCCGAGGAGCAATGAAACTTGATGACGTTTGGCCTGAAGATCTATAATTTAAAGCTTCAATACAATCGTTTTTTCCCAATCCTTTTTTTCGGGAAAAATGGGTTGATACTGGATTCGTTCTTTTTTTATATGTCTGTAGACTTGCCTCGGTTAAGTAAAAGAAAAAAACAGCCATGGGATAATAGAAACATTTTTAGTTTGCTGTCGAAAGTACGCGGGATTGCACAGGTTTTTCTTTACTTTGCTCTGTGATTGGTCCAGTAAACTAGCACCACCCTCTCGACCAATCAGAGGCAAAAGTAAAACAAAAAAACCAGAACGTGGTAACTTGCGTTTTTCTGAGCTTAAGACAGTTTGGTTTGATTTATTTTGAGTTCTCCTCGTTTCTTAGGGCTTGATAGCATTAGTTAGGCCGACCCGGCCTCTTTAAATATCCACCGATAGACATCTCCACTTCAATGAATAATCGTTAATTAACAGTGACATGGAAACCAATTAGTCGAAATTAATATTATAATGGCACGTGAAAGAGTTTCGTGTGGCGTCGTGGAAGTTTCGGGTTATATTAGGGTTCGTTGGAAAAGTTAGTCGGCCATTTTGTTTTTTTGTAAGTAACGTAATTTTCATTTTCCATCTCCCTGTAAAATACCATTACAATCATGATTTTTTTCTTTGTAATTATTAGTGTAACTAGGTTACTTTACTATTTCCTGCGGGCGGATAAAGGAATAAAAAAGTGCTTAAGAGTAATTTTTTTTCTTTCTCAGTGACAACTATTTACCAAGTTCTTTCCCAGTAAAAGAGTTGCTCGGTTGTAATCTGGTTTTGTCTGACAGGTTTCTGTATCATTAGCTACGCCTCCGTTGTACGGATGGGGAAATATGAACTTCGCCTCAGATTCCTTTATTTGTATCTTCAACTGGAGGGATGAACACGTTTCTTTTCTCATATTGCATGCAAGGTTCTTCAACGTGACAACATGTGCGATATTTTACTCCTATTGGAAAATTTATCGCATAGTAAAATAAAGCATGGATAATGTCAATGCCAGTGTTGTACAAAATGGTGTCGGTGCACCATGGTTCCATCGCACCGACATCGATGTTTTGAAGAGTTGTTTCATAGTGGTTTGTTTCTTTTTAATCATTTGGGGTCCAGTGGGGTTAGGCGGTTTTGTAATCATTGTCGGAGAGCATATTCCACATGAAGTGCTTAAGCTATCTGTGTATTTGTTGCTCTCAAGTAGTGTTGTAGATCCAATCATCTATGCGATAATGAGTCAGCAGTTTTAGAGGGGCCTTTAAAAAGGAATGCAGTTGTGGTCGTTATTGCAACGATAATGATCTGAGAGTTGCAAGAGTTGCAGCTGTAATTGTACATCCGAGAAGCAATGAAACTTGATGACTTTTGAATTGTGGACGTCTTGTATTCTGCAGTGCACACCTTTATTGATATCTGTCGGGCTATACCAGCAACTAAACTACTCTCTACATCTAGTTACAAGTTCGGCTTTTATAGGTACGGTTGAGGATCTAGAACTTTCCGTAACATTACGGCAGATTCTATTTATATATTGATTCGGGGATGACTCAGCATGACACAGCTACTTCTAGAACATTCTTGAAGGTCACACTTCAACTTTTGGCCCGAAGATCTATATTTAAAGCTGTGGTGTAATATATTTCGTAAAATACGTTATGGTTATTCGTCGTAGTAAATAACACTTCAAAAGAGAAATACAGTCGTTTGTCTCACGATGTGGTCACTTCGGATGTGGATCACATCGTTTCGAATGCATACTTCTAGTCTTCTTCAGGCGATAAAGTCGGTTGAGTACCCATCAACTATATGCTTATTGTGCTCAGGTGTGATTTGATGGAATTGCACGGCTGTGATTGATGCATCTTTCGGATCAGTTTCCCAATGTGGTCCGTTGTCGCACGGCTTTCCTGCTGTTGTGTTTCTCGATCGTCGGCATCCAGGCTTCTGAGACTCCGATTCCATTGTCCCTGTTGTTGTTGTTAGGATGAAGTCTTACGTAAATTGCCTCTTTTACCCTGAGTGTGAATGAATGGGGATCACGATCAATAATCTTTACTCCGTTTTAGCGCTCTGAGACGGCAGAGGTCTCTGTCTTGTTGAGTCGGATATCCTTGTCGTGTTCCTTGATTCTATTCTGCATAGGTTTGCCAGCGGTTTCGCCGATGTAAATCTTTCCGCACTCACAGGGAATCCTGTACACTACGCTATCCTGTTAAGCCGGGTCATCGGCATCCTTAAAGCGTACTAGGTGCGATCGAAGCGTAGTCTCTGATTTTAAAACAGCGTATATACCTAGTTGTTGTAAACAGCGGCGAAAATGGTCGAATAAGTCTTTGACGTAGGGCAGGACTGTTGTTGATGTGAACTCGGTGGGGGTTCAGTGCTGGCGGTTGGTGTCGGTTTTTTTTTCTTTTTCCATCAAGATTATACCAGCAGACGCACCAGTGTAGTCTTAGACACAGACACTAACCAGACCAAAATGACCTTCCTGATTGAAAATAGACCGTATCAGCATTTAAACAAAGTTCCGAGAAACCGTCGGACGAGGAAGCTTCATGAGGGACTGTTAACTTTAAACCGAAGCAGACATGTGTCAAAGAACGTCTATTATAAGATCAGACCACGACACAAACAGCCGCCTAGAATCTTCGGTTTACCAAAGCTTCATAAAACCTTTAAAACCGATTGTGTCATACGTGAACAACTTCGTCTATGATTTGTCGGCGTATCTAGATAACAGCGTATCTCCACGAACAGGAAACTCAGCCCACTCGACCAATCAGAAGCAAAAGTGAAAACAGTTAGGAGGTTGTCGCTCTCGTTTTTCCTGCGCCGATTTTGGACAGTTTCGTCGGTATTACTTTTTGAGTTCTCATTGTTTTTAAAGGTAGGTTTTCTATTTTCTAATTGGCTGTTGGGGTTACTCTAGGATTGGGTTGTACGACACTCAATCGAACAGCATTCTATTCAGCCATGCGGACTTCACTAAATTGACAATTGTAACAATAGAAGAGACATTATTTAGCATATAACTGATATTTGAGTCAAGCTTGAAATTACTTGTTTTTATATGGACAGAAAAGAAAATAGGCTGTCAGCGAGAGGAAAAAAAATTAACAAAGCTTACTCATATGTAAAACGGAGTTTCAGTTCGTTGTTGCCAATGGCACTAAAAAACTAATAGCCCATTCGCAGCAGACATGAAATTGTTTTTGTCATATTTCTTAAGTAAACTGCAATTGTAATATTCATAAGCCCTCCACGCCTGAAAAAGAGGTCAACCGAAAAGAAAACACCGCGGGAGAGATTGCCAAAAGGCGACAGATTCGATAGTCTATATGCATGCTCCGATACCGATCTTGGCAAAGTTCTAGTCCATTACGTAATGTTTTGCGACAAAGAAAATAGGCATCTTTCGACTAAGATTTATCGAGTTTACTTCGGTATTAATTTCCTAAGATTTGCTTGACTGTTAAACAATTTTTTGCCCTTCATAGTGCCTGTTGAAAAAAATTCATAGGACCGAATTTGAGATAGAGTAAGGAAACACAAAATTGCAAATAGCGAGGAAACTGCCTTCATAACCCTATTTTTTCGACATTTAAATGATCTGCAGGACGATTTTCACAAATTTGTGAAAATTTTGAGAGATTTCACCGAAGCAAATTAAAGAAAACCAAAGGAAAAGCCAAATTATGGCTGGCGAGCGCCTCCCTTCGTGGAACCTCAACTAAATAGCGAAAATCATTTTGACAATATTTACTACAGCAAACGATAGTCTCAACCTTGCTCATCTTTCTCATTTTTCGTCTCTTTTTCGAGTAAGAGTAAATTTTTACAATGGGTTTCACTAATTGTAAGAAATCGATGTTTCTGCATGTCTTTACCAGCTTTCAGCTGTTAGTAGAGAAGAGGTTAAAAGGGTTTTTTTACTTACCGTGAATAGAAAAGTTGCTTTTTCCTTTTGCTTTTGTTTTTAACTAAAACTTTACTCTTCAGACGACAGAATAACCGGAAGTGTTTATGAAACAAAAAGAACCTAAATTAGCGTAATGGCTCTCTTGTGTCTGTAAGTTTTGAATTTAATAAAGCCGTATTTAACTCAACTTTCATACTGGAATCTTAGCAATCATTCCCTTTTTCTGAAGTAGCTAAGGAAAAGCTAATAGACGATTTTAATTTTACAATAAATAGGTAAATATGGTTCAGTTAACAGGTTAAGTAAATGTGTTTCGAATAATGGCTCTCTTGTGTATATGAGTTTTGAATTCGATAAAGCCGTATTGAAGTCGACCTTCATACAGGAACCTTAGCTGTCATTCTCTTTTGCTGAAGTTGCTCAGACTAAGGAATAACTAGTAAATGATTACGACAAAAATTGACTTGACAATGATTGAGAAGTAATGACCCTCTTGTGGTGATGTATTTCGAATTCAATAAAGCCGTATTTTAATCAATTTTCAGGCCTAAATATCAGCAAACACTTCTTTCGCTTAAGTAGCTCAGACTAAGAAAAACTAACTAATGATAAAAGCAAAGAACGAATTTCGACAACAGACTAGTAATAATGGCTCTCAAAACAGATTGACACAAGGGGCTCTTGCGTCAATATGTTTTGAATTCAATAAAGCCGTATCCAAATCGACTTTCAAACGAAAATCTTACAAGCATCCCATACGCTGCAATAGCCTCATGATTACAGAGTCAGTCAATGTGGAGCCAGTAGAATTTGAAAAAGTTCTCAACCAGGTTTTTCTCTAAGGTTCAAAGATTTTCTGACATTCCTGCCTCACTGAATTTAAAAGAACGTGAGTATTCTTTTAGATAAGAACGAATTTTAAAAAAATTGCCTCAAAGATTTGTTGACAACGAAGATACAAAACCCATCAAATTCACCAATCCTGAGATTTAGTGGGGCTCCATTTAGAGAAGTCTCCTTTCATAAAAGGAAAAAAAAACAGCAACAGAAATAAGAATACATTCTTGACGGTTTTTCCCTTGTCGGGAAGACTGGGTCTCAACTACTCGGCGCTCAAATCAAGAAGATTTAGAAAATAAGAAGAAATTATCAAATGTTTCTAGGAGAGGTATCAGGTGTTCTTTTTCTCCTTCAATAGAAAGTCGTTTAATGGGGTACATGGATTTTTATTTCAGTCTAGAATCCTCCAATCAGTGCATATTAAAGCTGGAGTCACGACGAAGATGTCTCAAACAACTTCACAAGATCGTGTAACTCGCTCGAGAGCAGAAATTTCGTTAGAGGTAACCTTCGCCATTCTGGTTTGCCTCACTTCCGTAATTGGTAATGTGCTGGTTGTTTATGTTGTAAATAAATACTCTGAGATGCAAACCATCACCAACATTCTCATTCACAATCTTGCACTGACTGATATTATCATGGCGACCCTTAACATGCCGTTCTGGATAACGAGCTTGTACTCGGGAAAATGGAATTTGAGCCATGAATGGTGTGAAGTTTCTGCATCAGCACAACTTACTATGGTTTTGTCCTCCTTGTTCATAATGGACTTAATTGCCCTGAACAGATACTTGAAAGTCGTCAAGCGATCCTTGTATATCAAGTTCTTCCCTAGCAAAAGAGTTGCTTGGTTGTACTGTGGTCTCGTTTGGCTGGTTTCTGTGCTATTCGCCACACCTCCGTTGTACGGATGGGGAAAAATGAAGTTCGACTCGGACTTTTTCGTTTGCACATTCAACTGGAAGCAAGGACACGTTTCTTTTGTCATAGTGCTTTTAGGGTTCTTCTACGTGACAATGTTTGCAACATTTTACACCTATTGGAAAATTTACCAAACGGTGAAAGAAAGCACAGATAATGTCCACGCCAATGTCGTACAAAATGGCGTCGGCGCACCGAAATTCCATCGTACTGACATCCATGTTTTGAAGAGTTCTCTGACAGTGGTTTGTTTCTTTTTTAATTACATGGATTCCTAAAGCCTTGTGTAGTTTTATAATAATTGGCGGAGGCCACATTCCACGTGAAGTGACTAAGGTATCTGCGTATTTGTTGTTCTCCAGTAGTGTTGTAAATCCAATCATCTATGGGATAATGAATCCGCAGTTTAAAAAGGCCTTCAAAAAGGCATTCAGTTGTGGTCGTTATGGCAACGGTAATGAAGATCCGAGTCATGCAAGAGTTGTAGCTGTAATGATACATCCGAGGAGCAATAAAACTTGATGATGTTTGGCATGAAGATCTATCATTTAAAGCTTTAATATAATACTTTTTTTTTCCGAACCTTTTTTTCCGGAAAAGACGGGTTTATACTAGCTTTGTTCTGTTTTTACGCGTCTTTAGACTTGCCTCGGTCGGTCCAGTAAAAGACAAAAACAGACATGGGATATTAGAAACATTTTTAGTTTCCTGTCGAAAGTATTCGGGATTGTACAGGTTTTTCTTTATATTGCTTTGTGATTGGTCCCGTAAACTTGCACTACCCTCTCGACCAATCAGAGGCAAAAATAAATCCAATCAGGACTTGATCACTCGCGTTTTGCCAAGCTTTAGACAGTTTGGTTAGTTTTATTTTGAGTTCTCATTGATTATATTAGTTCGGCCGGTCCGGTCTCTTTAGTATCTACCATTAGCCCCCTCACTTCGGTAAATAATCATTAATTGACCTACGATTAAAAATGAAATTTCTGACGTTTGAGTGACATGGGAACAAACTAGTCAGAAATTAATATTCTGATGGCACGTTGAAGACGTTAGCGTGGCATCGTGGCAGTGTCGAATTATATAAGCGTTTCGCTGAAAATTAAGTCTTTTGAGGTTGGTCAGTCTTGTATTTCACCACTTTTCTATTTGAATGTGTTGTAATTATCATTTCCAACCCAATTTAGAATATCATCACAATCATGATTTTTTTTTTCTTTGTGATCAATAGTGTAACCATTTAGTTTACCCGTTCCATGGGGTACTGTGCTGCTGCCTTGATGAGGAATACGTCCAACAGATTTTTCTGGCCACATTTAAAGAGTACTTTTATCGGTTGTGCTTCGTATCTGGCCCAGCACAGGTTCCTTTCTTAGAAACCTTAGTTTCACTGTACACATATTAAGATTGCATCAGGATGCGTTCACCAAAAGACTGACTGACTAATCCTAAGTAAACTTTTCACACTGTATGGGTGATTTAGTGTTATCAATTGAGTCGATAGCGTAAATTGGCCACCGTAAAGAGTTTTAAGGCTGACGTTAGCCCTTCGCCAATCGCTTTCTCAACTGATAACACTAACTTACCCTGTTACTCTTCCACCGACGAAGCACCATTGTTTGTTTAGGAAGTTATTCCCTTTTCACATTGAATTTCACTTGTGGTGAGTGTAATCAGAATGATATCTTGACATTTCTGCCTCACTGACCTAAAAAGCACTTGAGAATTCTGTTAAAATTTAAACCAAGGATATGTTTATACCATACGCCAAAAAGGAACGCCATAAAGAAAATCCATTGAAGGGCCCGATGAGAGAAGCAAGGAGATGGCGGCGGCGGCGAACTTAGCTGAAATTTGTCTCTGTGTAGAAAAAAAAAGGTGTCAAGATCAGCCACTACATTTAAAATATAGTCTCATTGGTTTTATTTGCCATTAGCACGACAGTAGCAAGGCCGAAGGCTATGCTTTGCAAGACATGGGTCTCAATTATCCGGAGCTTTAATCAAGTAGATTTCAAAAATAGGAAAAAATGATTCAATGTATCTACAAGAGAAATCGTGTACTTTTTTTTTGGTAAGAGAGAGAAGTTAGTGGGGTAGCTGGAGTTTTATTATCCTTTAACAAACATACATTTCATAACGGTTGTGGATGGAAAACAAGTCCATATGTGTTCTGTCGAGTGGGCGTGCTAAACATTATCAATCTGCACCTCGTTACGTGCAAAAATAACAAGAAAAACAACATTCAGTGTTGCTTTATTCTGCTAAAAGTGTGCAAAATCATTATGAGTGTTGAGTTTTAGCGCATTTTTATAAGTTGAGGATAGGTCAGGGTCGCGTGCCGTTTTTGGTAAGAATAAAAACGAGAGAGATCTGGGGCCTGGTGCAAACATACTTATAACTCTTGCATTTTTTATTGCAAACTTAAACTAATTGAGTGTATCTGATGAGTAAAACTATTTGCAAGAAATCGAGTTTTTTTAGTGACGCAATGTAAATTTGCTGCTAATAAATCTTAACTTTACGGAAAGGAATAAAAGTGTTCTAGCATGCGCAACTAACAGAATGCAATTCATACATTTGTTAGGGGGTAAAGCAAGGAGTATTTCATTCACTCAGTCTACAATGCTGGTTTTTCTTCTATTGGCGCGTTAGTTATTAAACCAAAAAGTTTATATTCTTGGGCATCAATATGTTTTGGGACCTACTCGGAGTTTTTCCCGATGCGTTAGGCGATGGATAAATCAATCTGAGAAGCGCTCCTAAACATAATTATGCCCAAGAACGTAGCACTATTATTACCACTTGGGATGGAATTGAAGAAAGTGAAAAATTGACAACTAAACAGTTCGAACGACCACGCGAGCGGGCGTAAACATGTTTTACCCTGCCAAGTTTCCATTTTAAACCCGCACGATTCGATGCAACTCCCAACAAAAGTGATGGCAATTAAGATTTAATTTTCTTTGGATGAGAAATTCTCAACCAGTGAGGCTCAAACATCTCCGTATAGTCCTCATTCCAGAATGAATTCCTCTCAACAGACACGAAGGAGAAAATGGTGACGGCGAAAACTCCGGTCGATAAAAATTTTGGTACTCTTACGGCTCAGTAAACGAGGGAACCTGGGCCGGAGGTTTAAGGAGTGGATATGGGATGTATACTTATGCAAACGGAATAGATATGAAGGGTGTTAAAAAATGGCCGGAAACAGTGACAAGGAGAGTACATCCACTACTGCTCTTTCTGAAAGTCAGAAAACCTCAGATACCTAGATTCAAATCAAGCGGGACCATCCTGCATTAAACATCACCCACGGAGATGGCAAAGGAAAGGGCGGAATAAACGTACAATGTCTTGTGGTTAACTAGCATCCTTTAAGAGTCACATCTACAATCCACGACACCACAGTACAAGGAAGCAACTCCTTCACTGGGGAAACACTTGATGTACAATACCTTGACGATTTTAATGTATCCGTCTAGGGCAATTAAGCCCATGTTTAACATGAAGGCAAAAACCTTTGTAGCTTACACCGATGTGGAAACTTTACATCACTCCTTGCTCAAATTCCACGTTCCCATGTACAAGCTTGCTATCCAGAACGGTGTGTTAAGGGTCGCCATGAGGATATCAGTCAGTACAAGATAATTGTGAATAAAATGTTGGTGACGGTTTGCATCGCGGAGTGTCTATTAACGACAAAAAAAAGAACTAGCACATTACTTATATGGAAGCAAGGCAGATCAGAATGGCGAAGGTTGCCCACAAAGAAATTTTCGCCTCGAGCGACTAAAAGGATCTTAGGTCTGTCGAGGTCTGTCACCAAGTTGCAGTAAACATGAAAAGAAACCAAACAAATATTTAAAATTCAAAAGCAAAATCTACCAGAAGTATGATGCAATGATAAAATTATAATTACCTCTTTAAGCTTCTTTTTTCCAGAGACTCATTTAATCGCATTTCTCAAGCCATTATCAGCGATTTATTTTCAAGTTCGTATTGTCTCATAACCATGTATTATAGTTATTCGGTACTCTAACGAGAAGATTTAAAATTTTTAAAAAATTGCGAAAGGAACCAAAGAACTTTGATATTTATAGTAAAAATATATCTGTATTGTTCTTCTGCGGAGAGGAAAAACTCTCGATGTTTACCGTTTGCCTTTCGCCTGAGCCACCTTTGCCTCTATTGTTCTCTCAGGAAAGTGGTTACATCTATATCTCCTTAGTTGCCCCCGAATCAAATAAATCACTTAAAGAATCATTTCCTATCTGTCAGTAGACTACTGAGCTGTCTGTTTGAAAAAAAAGATTTTAAGAGTTTTTACCGAAAATTTACTACTCTAAATGATCGGTGGTAATTAAACCTCGTTGATAATTTCATTTAGCGATCACGATATGTTCCTTCGCTTTGGTTGATTGTTTTGATAACTTTGGTTCTAGTTTGACGACACCCCACTTCATTTTCTCTTTGCCAATGGACATATTTTCCCTTTATCGAATGAACAGTTGATAGCAGACGAAGAAAACCTATTTTTATCGTCCATCTAAGCTTACTTAAATTAACTCATTGTTTTCTGAGCGGCACTGTTTCAAGGGTCTCAATGAGGTAATATGGCTTTTACGGCTAACGGTTGCAATTTTGGCCATTTTAGGGCTAAAATAACGTCATTCAATAGTTGTCTCCGTAATTTTTTTGTTTAAAGTCGGATTGTTTTCGATCATCGGTTGAAATTTGTCGATGTTTACGCCAATCTGCTAAATTTTGGCCGTTTTACGGCTATTGGTTAACTCTATTGAGACTCTATTTCCTATGCTCTCCAGATAAAAAATAAATTACTTTTATTGTGAGTCAAATGTTCAAAATGTTCTGAGTCATTTTACTTCTATCATTTCTATTGTTCAAATTCTAAGCTCTTTTAAGTCAAACAGACAGCTGATTCACTGACAAAGGGGGGATGATATCGCAAGCTTTCGTTTTAAGGTGATTTATATGATTGGGACAAAGGAGATCTAGTCGCATTCAAAGAGGAACGTAGACTTTAATTAGGTGGCTGTAACAAACGGAAAAAGCTGAAATGACGTTGTTTTCTTCTGCTGGTTTTCAAATGTTTGAACAGTAGAGGGTAAAGATTTTCCATTATTGAAAAAACGAAATTTGTATTTTATTTTTGCTTTTCCTTTTTCCTACCACTAAAGTTACTCCTCAAGAATCACTAATAGATTATAAGGAAAGTGAATCTAAAGATAATTAGGGATAACGGCTCTCTTGAATTCATTGAAACCGTATATAAGTCGACTGTGAAACGGAAATCTTAGCAATCATTCCCTTCCGCTGAGGTAGCTTGATGATTTCAGCAGCTTTGGACATAAACCCAGCAGTAAGTAAAAAGATCTTATCCAGATCTTACACCGAGTTTGAGAGATTCACCGAATTAAAATCGTGAGTATTATATGAGGAAAATAAGTTGCACTATGTTTATTGAAGATACCTGAAGGATGACTATTACGTTAATCCTGAGATTGTAAAGGTCCATGTAGGAAAGTGAAGGCGATGCACTGCGAGCTCTGCTGAGTGTTGGCTCAGTTTCAACAATAAAAATGAAAAAAGGTTACTGTGGAGTTTAATTTGCCTAAAGCAGAAGGTTGTACACTGATGGATCCATGTAATAGCTTTTTCTTCCCGAAATTGAGATTTTTGTTGATTTACCTTTTCATATTTACTGCAGCTTGGATTACAGATAAGGATGTCTCAAACAATTTCCCAAGATCCCCTGTATCGCTCGAGAACAGAAATTGTTTTGGAAGTAACTTTTGCCATTCTGGTTTGCCTCGCTTCCGTACTTGGTAATGTGTTGGTTGTTTATGTTGTAAATAAATACTCCGTGATGCAAACCATCACCAACATTCTCATTCGAAATCTCGCACTGACTGATATTATCATGGCGACCCTTATCATGCCGTTCTGGATAACGAACTTGTACTCGGGAAAATGGAATTTGAGCCAGGAATGGTGTGAAGTCTCTTCATCAGCACAATTTATCATGGCTTTTGCCTCCTTGTTCATTATGGGCTTAATTGCCCTGAACAGATACATGAAAGTCGTCAAGCCATCCTTGTATATCAAGTTTTTCCCCAGTAAAAGAGTTGCTTGGTTGTACTTCGGTCTCGTCTGGGCAGTTTCTGTGCTAGTCGCCACACTTCCGTTATACGGATGGGGAAAAATAAACTTTGACTCACATTTTTTACTGTGCTCATTCAACTGGAAGGAAGGACACTTTTCTTTTGTCATTCTGCTTGCAGGGCTTTTCGAAGTGACAATGGTTGCAATATTTTATTCCTATTGGAAAAATTTACCAAACGGTGAAAGAAAGCACAGGTAATGTCAACGCCAATGTTGCACAAAATGGCGTCGGCGCACCCAGGTTCCATCGTACTGACATCGATGTTTTGAAGACTTGTCTAACAGTGGTTTGTTTCTTTTTAATTACATGGTTTCCTATATCCTTGTGCGCTTTTTATAATAGCTAGTGGAGGCTACATTCCACGTGAAGTGGCTAAGGTGACTGTGTATCTGATGTTCTCCAATAGTGTTGTAAATCCAATCATCTATGGGATAATGAATCCGCAGTTTAAACAGGCCTTCAAAAAAGCATTCCGTTGTGGTCGTTATGGCAACGGTAATGAAGAGCAGAGTCATGCAAGAGTTGCTGCTGTCATAATATATCCGAGGAGCAATTAAACTTGATGACTTTTGGCCTAAAGATCCATCATTTAAATGTTTAATACAATACTTTTTTTTTTGGTTTATTTAAAAACCTTATTTTCCCGGAAAAGATGGGTTGATACTGGCTTCGTTCTGTTTTTACGTGTCTTTAGCCTTTTCTCGGTCCTGTAAAAGACAAAAACAGACATTGGATATTAGAAACATTATTAGTTTGCTGTCGAAAGTATCCTTGATTGCACAGGTATTTCTTTATTTCGCTTTGTGATTGGTCCGGTAAACTCGCACCACCCTCTCGACCAATCAGAGGAAAATGTAAAACCAATCAGGACGTGATCACTCGCGTTTTCCCGCGCTTTAGACAGTTTAGTTAGTTTTATTTTGAGTTCTCATTGATTACGTTAGCCCGGCCGGCCCGGCCTCTATAATATCCACCAATAGCCCCCTTCACTTCGGTAAATAATCATTAATTAACCTACGATTAAAAAATGACATTTCTGACGTTTGAGTGACATGGGAACAAACTAGTCAGAAATTAATATTCTGATGGCACGTTGAAGAAGTTCGCGTGGCTCTAAGGAAGTTTCGAGTTATCTAAGCGTTTGGCTGGAAAATTAAGTCATTTTAGGTCGATCATTCTTATGTTTAACTATTTTCTTATTTGAATATGTTGTAATTATCATTTTCCAACCCCATGTAGAATAGCATCGCAATTGTTACTTTTTACTTTGTCATATTTCTCTGTCCACATTTAAAGAGTGTTTTTTTTCAGTGGCTTTTCATATCTGGCGTAGCACTGGTTCTCTTCTTAGAAACCTTGGTTTCACTGTACACATATTGAGATTGTATCAGGATACGTTTACCAATAGACTTACTGACTAATCCTAAGTAAACTTTTCGCATTGAATGCCTCGTGCGGTGAGTGTAATCATAGTGATATCTTGACATTTCTGCCTCACTGAACTAAAAAGCACTTAAGAATTCCGTTAAAATTCAACCTAAGAGTATGTTTATAACATACACTAATGAGGAATGACATGGACCCTAAGCAAAATCCATGGAAAGGCCCATTGAGAGAAGCAGTGGGATGGCCGCGGTCGGCTAACTTTGCTGAAATTTGTATTTGTCTCCGTGTAAAACTGGAGACAAATTTCCTAACTCTTGTATTTTTCATTTCAAACTTTAACTTTATTGGGTATATCTGATGGGTTTAATTATTTCAGGAAATCGAGAGTCTTTGATGCAATTTAATTTCTCCCTTTAAAAAACATGACTTTGCGCAAAGGAATAAAAAGTGTTGTAGAACGTTATTGTTCTCTTTCTCTGTGACAACATTTTAACTTGCACTTTGAAAAATTTAGAAATCACAGAACCTTTTCATGTCTTAGATTGCATAATTATCGTTAAATTTTCCTGTTTAGAGATGAATGAAGCCTTTCTTTTGCAGTTCAGTGCCCCAGAGCTCAGTACTCCGCTAACAGACACGAGAAGACCACGTGATGGTAACGTCACTATGTTCTAGCATGGGCGACTAACAGAATGCAATTCATACTGTTGGTTTTTCTTCTCTTGGTATGTTAATTATTAAAACAAAAAGGTTTATGTTCTGGGTATCAATATGTTTTGGAACCGACGCAGAGTCATTTTTGCTCGATCCGTTGGGCAAGGATTAAAATGACTGGCGCTCCTAAACATAATTATACCCAAGAACGTAGCACTATTATTATCCCTTCAGAGGGAGTTGAAAAAAAAAAGGAATGAAAAAAAACAAATTTGTTAACCAAACAGTCTGAACAACCACGCGAGCTTATGAGCGGGGGAAAGCACATTTACCTTGCACAATTCGCTACAATGTCCAGTAAAATGATGATAATTAAGATTTAAATTTCTTTGGGCGCGAAATTCTTAACCAGATAGACTAAAACATTCCCGTACAGTCCTCACATCAGAAGAAACTCCTCTCAGTAGATACGAAGGGAACATGGTAACGCCAAAAACTCGGGTCGATAAAAATGCTGGTAATCTTACGACTTAGTGTACGAGGGAACCTGGGCCGGAGGCTTTAGGAATGGATATGAAGTGTACACTTATGCAAACGGGACAGATGTAAAGGGCTGTTAAAAAATGATCGGAAACATGAACAAGGAGAGTGTGTCCACAAGGATAAAGAGATTTGATACAGGGTTTATTTTTATGTGAATTAGACTGGTTTTTGTGAAACTCAAAAAGCCGCAAAATACTTTGATTCAAATTAAGCAGGACCATCGTGCACTAAACAATTATAAGAAATATTATAATACGCCGGTAAACTTCAAAAATACAAACGAAATATTAAACTATGAGCAATCCCTTTTTTCCTCAAACTCCGTCGCACGAGATAAAAAATGTACCGTAGACATGAAGAGTTCTTGAAATAACTTTGACTCGAATCACAAACTAAATTACAAGGCAGGTCAAGCATTTTTGCGTCAAAAAAAGGTTTAAAACTTTAATGATGGATTATATTCAAAAAGACTAGACAGCTGTAGTTCCACTTATAAAATAATTCGCATTCCAAAAACTAATCAGAGAGTCTGGCGGATAGAACGAGAATCAACCAGACGACATCAACTGCTTCACTGGGGAAGAACTTTATATACAAGGCTGCCTTGACAATTTTAATGTATATGTTTGGAGCGATTAAGCCCATATTGAAAGTGAAGGCAAAAGCCATTGTAGCTTGCACCGATGCGGAAGCTACACACTATTCCTAGCTCAAATTCCACCTTCCAGTGTACTAAGTCGTTATCCAGAACGGTGTGTCAACGGTTGCCATGAAACATCACTAATTGTAAGATTTTGAATGAAAATGTTAATGACGGTTTGCATCTCGGAGTATCAATTTCCAACATAAAAGCAGATCAGAATGATTAAGGTTACCTCCAAAGAAATTTCCGCTCTCGAGCGACAAAGAGGCTCTTCGGAATTTTTTTGAGAAATTCGAGTTGTAGTAAACATGGAAATAAAGCCAAACAAAATTCAAAATCCAAAATCAAAATATCGATCAGAAGTATGACAGAAGTTTAATGCACTGGTATGAGGATGATTATATTCTAACTCCCTTTCTAAACGTCTTATTCCCAGACTCATTTAATCACATTTCTTACTTTTAAAGCCTTTCTAATTTAAGCACCGCATAATTGAGATCCTTGGCTTGTATGGTACAAACGTCGACCTCTAAGTTGGGTAAATAAAACTCGACAAGATGTTTATTCGTGGGACTGAGCCATTACCCAGGAGGGCTCGCCATTTGTTCGCCCTTACGTCCCTTAGTAAACCCTTCCTGGTACAATACCAGGACTGATAGTGTTTATGGATTTTCTACATATTGTTCTTGTAAGGGATCTTTGATAAACATGGTGCGAAGTCGACGCTTTTAAAGAATGCTCAGAAATTGCAAAGTTTTCTTTTTAACTTTTACTGTTTCAAGTTCACGGACACCGTAATCTTGTATCAAATTTAGCGAAGGGAATGATTGCTAAGATTTCCGACTTTAGTATGGATTTAGTGGATTCGAAACTCGAGCCATTATCAGTGATTTATTTCAAGTTCGAAGTTTGTTCTCTCAGGATAGTGGTTACATCGATATCTCCTTTGTTGCCCCCGAACCAAATAAATCACTTTAATTAAAAGACGAAGTTGCCACCTAGTTGTCTGTTTAAGGTGAAAAAGGTTTCAAGACTTTTTACCGAGATTTTATTATTCTTAATGACCGGTGGCAATTAAACCTCGTTGATTATTTCATTAAGCGACCAGGGTATGTTCCTTCGCTTTGGTTGATTGTTTTGATAACTTTGGTTGTAGTTAGACGACACCCCACTGCAATATGCCCTAAACTCATTTTATCTTTGCCAAGAGATATATTCTCCCTTTATCAAATGAACAGTTGATAGCAGACGATGTCCATTAAAGCTTACTTGAATTAAGTCATTGTTTTCTGAGCGGTACACTGTTTCAATGGTCTCAATGGGGTAATGACTTTTACGGCTAAAGATTAATATAACTCCATAGCTGTCACCATCATTTTTTCAACGTCATCTTTTTTTAACGACTATCGGTTAAAACGTGTCAATTTCTCCGCCAATCGGCGAAATTTCAACCGTTTTACGGCTATCGGTTAACCCCATTGAGACTCTATTTCCTATGCTGTTCAGATCAAAATAGATCATTTTTATTGACTTTTATCATGTCTTTTGTTACATGTACGCCAAAGCCTTTTCACTTAAAACAGAAAGCTAATGCACTGAAAAAGGGGAATGATTCTTTAACCTTTTGATTTAAAGTGATTTATTTGATTGAGACAACAGAGGAGATCAGAGAGGAACATAGACTTTAATTAGGTGGCTTTAACAAAAGGTAAGAGCTGAAAACGCAGTTGTTTCCCTCTGTCTGGCTTCAGCTGTTTGCACTGTAGAGGGTTAAGATTTTTCTTCACCGAGAATACGAAGGCTGTTCTTCCTTTTTGCTTTTCCTTTTTTCAACCACTAACTTTACCCCTCCGACGAGAGAATAACTGATGAAGGATTATGGGGAAAAGAATATGAAGATAACTAGTGATGATGGCTCTCTTAAATTCAATAAAGCCGTAATCAAGTCGACTGCAAAAAGGAAATCTCAGCAATCGTTCACTTTCGCTGAAGTAGCTTGATGATTTTAATAGCATCCTTGAGGATAAAGCTAGTAGCAGTAAAAATATCTTAACCAGGTTTTAAACTTAGATGGAAAGATTCAGGTAATTAAAACTCGTAAGTATTATATAGCATTTGGGCGTTCTCTAAAGAAATACCGTTGCACTATGTTTATTGAAGATACATGAAGAATGACTGTGGAGAAAATCCTTTATATTAATCCTGAAATTGTAAAGGTCCATCGATGAAAGTGAGCGCGATGCATTGCGAGTTCTGCTGCGTGTTGGCTCAGTTTCAACAAACAAAAATGAAAAGAGATTATTGTTGAGTTACATTTGCCCAAAGCAGAAGGTTGTACATTGTATTGCCTCTGATGAATCAATGTCATAGCATTTTTTCCCGAAATTGAGATTGTTCTTAATTTTGATTTTTCATGCCACTTGGATTATAGATCAGGATGTCACCAACGATTTCCCAAGATCCTCTTAATCGCTCGAGAGCAGAAATTGTTTTGGAAGTAACTTTCGCCATTCTGGTTTGCCTCGCTTCGGTACTTGGTAATGTGCTGGTTGTTTATGTTACAAATAAATACTCCGAGATGCAAACCATCACCAACGTTCTTATTTACAATCTCGCACTGACTGATATTATCATGGCGACCCTTAACATGCCGTTCTGGATAACGAGCTTGTTCACGGGAAGGTGGAATTTTAGCCAAGAATGGTGTGAAATTTCCGCATTAATACATCATACTATGGGTTTGGCCTCCCTGCTCACTATGGGCTTAATTGCCCTGAACAGATACATGAAAGTCGTCAAGCGATCCTTGTATATCAAGTTCTTCCCCAGTAAAAGAGCAGCTTGGTTGTACTGTGGTCTCGTGTGGCTGGTTGCTGTGCTATTCTCTACACCTCCGTTGTACGGATGGGGAAAAATGAACTTTGATTCAGATTTTTTAGTTTGCTCATTCAGCTGGAAGGAAGGACACTTTTCTTTTGTCATATTGCTTGCAGGGTTCTTAAACGTGACAACATTTGCAATAATTTACTCCTATTGGAAAATTTACCAAACGGTGAAAGAAAGCTCAAATAATGTCAGCGTTAATGTCGTACAAAATGGCGTCGGCGCACCAGGGTTCCATCGAGCTGACATCGATGTTTTGAAGAGTTGTTTCGCAGTGGTTTGTTTCTTTTTACTAACGTGGGGTCTTCCAGGTGTATGCGCTTCTACAATTACTGGTGGAGGCCACATTCCACATGAACTGCGTAAGTTATCTGTGTATTTGTTGTTCTCCAGTAGTCTTACAAATCCAATCATCTATGGGATAATGAATCCGCAGTTTAAACAGGCCTTCAAAAAGACATTCAGTTGTGGTCGTTATGGCAAAGGTAATGCAGATCAGAGTCATACAAGAGTTGCAGCTGTAATGATACAGCCGTGGAGCAATGAAACTTGATGACGTTTGGCAAGAAGATCTATCATTTAAAGTTTTAGTACCTTTTTTCAGGGAAAGATGGGTTGATAGTGGCTTCGTTCTGTTCAGTTTACGTTTCTTCAGAGCTGCCTTGGTCCACGAAAAAAAAAAAATAGACATTGGATGTTAGAAATATTTTTAGTTTGCTGCCGAAAGAATCTAGGATTGCACAGGTACTTCTTTCCTTTGCTCTATGATTGGTCCTGTAAACTCGCACCACCCTCTCGACCAATCAGAGACAAGAGTAAAACCAATCAGGACGTGGTCACTCGCGTTTTCCCGCGCTTTAGACAGTTTGATCGGTTTTATTTTGAGTTCTCTTTGATTGCATTTACCCGGCCGGCCCGGCCTCTTTCATATCCACCGATAGCCACCTCCACATCAATGAATAATAGTTAATTTGAAAATGTAATTTCTGACGTTTGAGTGACACGGGAACACATTAATCAGAAATTAATATTCTGATGGCGCATTGAAGAGGTTCGTGTGGCACCATGGAAGTCAGGTGTCGAGTTATGTAAGCGTTTCGCTGGAAAATTAAGTCATTCGATCGGTCGGTCTTGTTTCTTATATATGTTTCTTATCTGAATGTGTTGTAGTTGTCATTTCCAACCCCATTTAGAATATAATTTGCGATTAATAGTGTAACCAGGTTAGTTAACCCTTTCCTCGGGGCACTGTGCTGCTGCCTTGATGAGGAATACTTCTCCACATATTTTTCTGGTCACATCAGTATTTTTGTTTGTTTCGTTGGTTTTTAGTATCTGGCGTAGCACAGGTTTTCTTCTTAGAAATGTTAGTTTCACTGTATACATATTAAGATTGTATCAGGATGCGTTTAAAAAGACTGACTGGCCAAGTGTAAGTACACTTTTCATTTTGTATGGGTAATTTAGTGAGTTGATAACGTAAATTGGCCATCGTAAAGTTGAAAGACTGACGTTTCGAGCGTTAGCCCTTCGCCAATCGCTCTCTCAGTTGATAACACCAAATTACCCTGTTATGCTCTCCCATCGACGCAGCACCATAGTTTCTTTAAAAAATTACCCCCTTTTTCACATTGAACGTCCCGTGCGGTGAGTGTAATCAGAATGATATCTTAACATTTCTGCCTCACTGAACTAAAAAGCACTTGAGAATTCTGTTAAACTTTAACCTAGGGATATGTTTATATCACACGTCAAAAACTACAAAAAAATTACAAAAGAAATCGGGTACCTTTTTTTTTTTTTTTTTTAAAGAGAAAAAAGTTTAGTGGGGTAGTTTGAGTTTTATTTCCCTACCTTTCTTAACGGCTATGGATGAGTAACAAGTCCATATGCGTTCTGTCGAGTGGGCGTGCTTGACGTTTTCAATGTGCACCTCGTTGCGTGCAAACAATTACAAGAAAAACAACATTCAGCGCTGCTTTATTTTGCTCAAAGTGTGAAAAATCCTAACGAAAGTTGAGTCTTTTTATATTTTTGAGATAGGTCGCGTGCTGTTTTTTGGTAAAAATACAAACGAGAGAGATCTGTAGCCGAGTGCAAATATACTAATAACTCTTGCATTTTTCATTGCAAACTTAAATTAACTGGGTATATCTGATGAGTATTACTATTTGTAGGAAATCGAGAGTTTTCAGTGACGCAATGTAATTTATGCCGCTAGTAAATCCTAACTTTACGCAAAGGAATAAAAGTGTTCTAGCATACGCGACTAACAGAATGCAATTCATACATTCGTTAAAAGTAATACAAGGTGACTTGTTGTTTTTCATTCACTTGACCTACAATGTTGGTTTATCTTCTATTGGCGCGTTAGTTATTAAACTAAAAAATTTTATATTCTTCGGCATAAATATGTTTTGGGATCGACTCAGAGTCATTTTTGCCCGATCCGTTAGGCGAGGGATAAAATGACTCTGAGAAGCGCTCCTAAACATAATTATGCCCAAGAACGTAGCACTGTTATTATCAATTTAGAGGGAGTTGAATCAAGTGAAAAAAAAGAGACAACTATACATTTTGAACGACTACGCGAGCGTGCGAGCGGGCGTAAACACATTTTACCCCGCCCCTTCACTAAACTGCCCCTTCATTTAGGCAAAGTCCTTCGCTCGAAATAAAAAATAATAATACGAGTCTTTGAAATAACACTGACTCGAGTCACGAACTAAATTACAAGGGAAGATCAGCTTTGTTGCCACGTATGGAGATGGCATAGAAAGCGGCGCACTAAACGCGCAGTATCTTTCGGTTAACTAGCATCTGTAAGAGTCACATCTACAATCTTCGACAACACGGTTTCGTTCACTCTGCGACAAGCACGAGAAGATGGAGTTGCAGAGTACACATAATTCGATGAGAAAAAAATGATTGTTAAGGTTAACATCTTAATTCTTCATCAATGAATTTTCTAATAGGAGTAAAGTATCGCACATGCTATGACGTTGAGGAGCCTCGCTATCAATATGACGGAAAAAAATTGTCCTTCCTTCCAGTTGAAAGTATAGACAAAGACGTATGAGTCGAATTTCATTTTTACCTATCAGTACAATGGAGGTCTGACAGTACGAGGAAGCAACTCCTTTACTGGGAAAGAACTTGATATACAACTGCAAGGCTGCCTTGACGATTTTAATGTGTCCGTTTAGGGCAATTGAACCCATATCTAACATGAAAGCAAAAACCATTGTAGCTTACACCGATGTGGAAACTACACACCACTCCTGGCTCAAATCCTACGTTCCCGTGTACAAGCTCGTTATCCAGAACGGTGTGCTAAGGGTCGTCATGAGGATATCAGTCAGTGCAAGATAATTGAGAATGAAATGTTAGTGAGGGTTTGCATCTCTGAGTGTCTATTAACAACAAAAAGAATCAGCACATCACTAAATATGGAAGCAAGGCAGATCAGAATGGCGAAGATTACCTCCTTAAGAGGATCTTGGACATTTTTGGGGACATTCTCGTTTGTCACTCGAGTTGCAAGAAACATAAAAATAAAACCAAACAAACATTTAAAATTCAAAACCAAAATATATCAAAAGTCTAATGCACTAGTACGAGGACGATAAAATTCTAACTACCCTTTGAAGTTCTTCTTCCCAGAGCCTCATTTTATCGCATTTCTCAAGCCATCATCAGTGATTTATTTCAAGTCAGAACTCTCTCATGATCATGTAGTTATTCGGTACTCTGACGAGAAGATTTAAAATTTTAAAAAAGAACGAAAGGATCAAAATATCTTTGGTATTTGTATAATTAATCACATGATTTCGAGTGCAATTTGGAATAAATAAACATGAGTAAATTTTTTCAAAGACTAACAAAAAAAGAAAAAAAATTGGGCTCGTGCAATTTTGTTAGTCTTTGAAAAAATTAACATTAATTTTTAACATGCTTATTTATTCCAAATTGCAAGGGAAAAATCATAATATACATGAAAAAAATATGAGATAGCTTATCATAATTATGCAGAAGCAAAGAGCGCGCATCAAGTGCAAATATTTATTCAAACCTTTGAAGTGACATTGTGCGTTCGGTCAAAACAACCGCGTACGATCAAAACAGTATTATACGATGATATTTTCATTCCTTTAAGGCGCAAAATAGTTCAAGGTCCGGCTAAACAGTTCAAGGTTTCAGTGCGAGGTTTAACCATGTTTGTTTTTTATTTCGGTGTAGAATCGCTCGAGCAATGTGTTAACCTGGGTCGGCTCGTAATTTTTGATTTCCTCGGCAATTCACACTACTTTTTCGAAACCGACAACCAAAAAGCACTGCTTTTTACATTGTTTTCATTGTTAGAGCTGTTTTTCAGCTGCTATGTTATTGTTGCGGTGGCGAAAGAAAACCTACTCAACATGCCGGCCATTATTTCGCTCGCAAATTCTCAGCGTATCCAAATGTCGCGACATCCAAGGTTCGCATTTGATTGGCTATCTGTGAGTTCCTTTGATTAATGACCAATCAGAATGTCTGGTTTTTTACTTCTTTGCACCGAATTAACCCTCTTCAGCATTGAATTACCTGAAAACTGCATTTATCTTAACCAATCAGAACTGAGTAATTTTTTCATGTTTTCATATTATTAACATTAAAATTAAATTTGTATTGTTCTTCTGCGCAAGAAGCGGAAAGCCGGCAAAGGAGGAAACCTCGATGTTTACCATTCGTCTGAGCCACCCTCGTATCTATATTGTTCTCTCGAGATAGCGGTTACATCGATATCTCCTCAGTTGCCACAGAATCAAATAAATTACTTTAAATAAAAGACTTACAGAATCATTTCCTATCTGTCGGTGGACTACTGAACTGTCTATTTAAAGTGAAAAAGCTTTTAAGAGTTTTTAACCGAAAATTTATTATTCTAAATGACCGGTGGTAATTAACCTCATTGATTATTTCATTGAGCGATCAGGGTATGTTCCTTCGCTTTGGTTGATTGTTTTGATAACTCTGGTTTTGGTTTGACGACACTCCTCCGACTCCTTTGCCAACGGATACATTTTACCCTGTATCAAATAAGCAGTTGATAGCAGACGAAGAAAACCCTATCGTTTATTTAAGCTTAGTTAAATTAATTCATTGCTTTCTAAGCGGCACTCTGTTTCGAGGGTCTAAATGGGGTGATATGGCTTTTACGGCTAACGGTTGAAATTTTGGTCATTTTAGGGCAAAACTAATATCATTCCACTTTAATTATGACTCCAATATCCAAAATGTTCTGCGTCATTTCCCTTCCATCATGTCTTTTGTTACATGTACGTCAAAGCATTTTCACTGCAAACAGACAACTAATGCACCGACGAAGGGGCATGGTTCCGCAAGTTTTTGATATAAAGTGATTTATTTGATCGGGAAAACAAAGGAGTTCTAATCACGATTAAAGAGGAACATAGACTTGACATAGGTGGCTCTAACAAACTTCAAAGGCTGAGAATGACGTTATTTCCTTCTGCAGTTTTCAGCTGTTTGTACAGTAAAGGGTAAAGATTGTCCTTTACTGAGAAAACAAAAGCTGTTCTTTCTTTTTGCTTTAAGTTTTTTTTTATTCAGCTTCCACATTTACTCCTCATACTAAAGAATAAATAACAAAGGATTATGAGGAAAATGAATTTAAAGATAATTAGTGATAATGGCTCTCTTAATCTTAGCAATCATTCCCTTTCGCTGAAAGAGCTTGATGGTTTCAGCATTCTTGAAAATATAGCCAACGGCAGGTAAAAAGATCTTAGCCAGGTTTTTAGACTGAGTTTTCGGAGATTCAAGGAATTGAAAATCGTGAGTATTATTTGAGCTTTCCCTCAAGCAATAATTTTGTACTATGTTTATTGAAGATACCTGTAGGAAGACTATGGAGAAAATAATTTACATTAATCGTAAAATTATCAAGGAAAAGTGAAGCTGATGCACTGCGAGCTCTGCTTAGTGTTTGCTCAGTTTCAACAAGAAACATGGGAAAAGATTATTGTAGAGTTTAATTTGCCCAAAGCCTAAGGTTGTACATGGTAAGTTCTCTGAAGGATCCATGTAATAGCTTTTCTTCACGAAATTGGGATTGATTTGATTTTTTTTTCAGTTTCCGTTCGGCTTGGATTACAACCGAGAATGTCTCATACGATTTCCCAAGATCCCCTTAATCGCTTGCGAGCAGAAATTGGAAGTAACTTTCGCCATTCTAGTTTGCCTCGCTTCCGTACTAGGTAATGTGCTGGTTGTTTATGTTGTAAATAATACTCTGAGGCGCAAACCATCACTAACATTCTCATTCACAATCTTGCACTGACTGATATCATCATGGCGACCAATAACATGCCGTTCTGGATAACCAGCTTGTACTCGGGAAAGTGGAATTTTAGCCAAGAATGGTGTGAGGTTTCTGCAACAGTACAACATACTATGGGGCTTGGCCACCTCGCTCATTATGGGCTTAATTGCCCTGAATAGATACATGAAAGTTGCTAAGCGAACCATTTATATCAAGTTCCTCCCAAGAAAAAGAGCAGCATGGTTGTACTGTGGTCTCGTCTGGCTGGTTTCTGTGCTATTCGCCACTCCTCCGTTATACGGATGGGGAGAAATGATCTTTGACTCAGATTTTTTACTTTGCTCATTCAAAGCGCACCGAAATTCCATCGTACTGACATCGATGTTTTGTAGACTTGTTTCACAGTGGTTTGTTTTTTTTAATTACTTGGTTTCATATAGCCGTATGCACTTTCACAATAACCAGTAGTGGCTACATTCCGCATGATGTACGTAAGGTATCTGTGTATTTGTTTTTCGCCAGTAGTCTTGTAAATCCAACCATTTAATGGGATAATGAATCCGCAGTTTAAAGGGGCCTTCAAAAAGGCATTCAGTTGTGGTCGCTATGGCGCGCAACGAAAATGCAGATCAGAGTCATGAAAGAGTTGCAGCAGTAATAATACATCCGAGGAGCAATGAAACTTGATGACGTTTGGCCTGAAGATCTATAATTTAAAGCTTCAATACAATCGTTTTTTCCCAATCCTTTTTTTCGGGAAAAATGGGTTGATACTGGATTCGTTCTTTTTTTATATGTCTGTAGACTTGCCTCGGTTAAGTAAAAGAAAAAAACAGCCATGGGATAATAGAAACATTTTTAGTTTGCTGTCGAAAGTACGCGGGATTGCACAGGTTTTTCTTTACTTTGCTCTGTGATTGGTCCAGTAAACTAGCACCACCCTCTCGGCCAATCAGAGGCAAAAGTAAAACAAAAAAACCAGAACGTGGTAACTTGCGTTTTTCTGAGCTTTAGACAGTTTGGTTTGATTTATTTTGAGTTCTCTTCGTTTCTTAGGGCTTGATAGCATTAGTTAGGCCGACCCGGCCTCTTTAAATATCCACCGATAGACATCTCCACTTCAATGAATAATCATTAATTAACAGTGACATGGAAACCAATTAGTCGAAAATTAATATTATAATGGCACGTGAAAGAGTTTCGTGTGGCGTCGTGGAAGTTTCGGGTTATATTAGGGTTCGTTGGAAAAGTTAGTCGGCCATTTTGTTTTTTTGTAAGTAATGTAATTTTCATTTTCCATCTCCCTGTAAAATACCATTACAATCATGATTTTTTTCTTTGTAATTATTAGTGTAACTAGGTTACTTTACTATTTCCTGCGGGCGGATAAAGGAATAAAAAAGTGCTTAAGAGTAATTTTTTTTCTTTCTCAGTGACAACTATTTACCAAGTTCTTTCCCAGTAAAAGAGTTGCTCGGTTGTAATCTGGTTTTGTCTGACAGGTTTCTGTATCATTAGCTACGCCTCCGTTGTACGGATGGGGAAATATGAACTTCGCCTCAGATTCCTTTATTTGTATCTTCAACTGGAGGGATGAACACGTTTCTTTTCTCATATTGCATGCAAGGTTCTTCAACGTGACAACATGTGCGATATTTTACTCCTATTGGAAAATTTATCGCATAGTAAAATAAAGCATGGATAATGTCAATGCCAATGTTGTACAAAATGGTGTCGGTGCACCATGGTTCCATCGCACCGACATCGATGTTTTGAAGAGTTGTTTCATAGTGGTTTGTTTCTTTTTAATCATTTGGGGTCCAGTGGGGTTAGGCGGTTTTGTAATCATTGTCGGAGAGCATATTCCACATGAAGTGCTTAAGCTATCTGTGTATTTGTTGCTCTCAAGTAGTGTTGTAGATCCAATCATCTATGCGATAATGAGTCAGCAGTTTTAGAGGGGCCTTTAAAAAGGTATGCAGTTGTGGTCGTTATTGCAACGATAATGATCTGAGAGTTGCAAGAGTTGCAGCTGTAATTGTACATCCGAGAAGCAATGAAACTTGATGACTTTTGAATTGTGGACGTCTTGTATTCTGCAGCGCACACCTTTATTGATATCTGTCGGGCTATATCAGCAACTAAACTACTCTCTACATCTAGCTACAAGCTCGGCTTTTATAGGTACGGTTGAGGATCTAGAACTTTCCGTAACATTACGGCAGATTCTATTTATATATTGATTCGGGGATGACTCAGCATGACCCTGCGTGTGAATGAATGGGGATCACGATCAATAATCTTTACTCCGTTTTAGCGCTCTGAGACGGCAGAGGTCTCTGTCTTGTTGAGTCGGATATCCTTGTCGTGTTCCTTGATTCTATTCTGCATAGGTTTGCCAGCGGTTTCGCCGATGTAAATCTTTCCGCACTCACAGGGAATCCTGTACACTACGCTATCCTGTTAAGCCGGGTCATCGGCATCGAAGCGTAGTGCTGGCGGTTGGTGTCGGTTTTTTTTTCTTTTTCCATCAAGATTATACCAGCAGACGCACCAGTGTAGTCTTAGACACAGACACTAACCAGACCAAAATGACCTTCCTGATTGAAAATAGACCGTATCAGCATTTAAACAAAGTTCCGAGGAAGCTTCATGAGGGACTGTTAACTTTAAACCGAAGCAGACATGTGTCAAAGAACGTCTATTATAAGATCAGACCACGATACAAACAGCCGCCTAGAATCTTCGGTTTACCAAAGCTTCATAAAACCTTTAAAACCGATTGTGTCATACGTGAACAACTTCGTCTATGATTTGTCGGCGTATCTAGATAACAGCGTATCTCCACGAACAGGAAACTCAGCCCACTCGACCAATCAGAAGCAAAAGTGAAAACAGTTAGGAGGTTGTCGCTCTCGTTTTTCCTGCGCCGATTTTGGACAGTTTCGTCGGTATTACTTTGAGTTCTCATTGTTTTTTAAAGGTATTTCTCTATTTTCTAATTGGCTGTTGGGGTTACTCTAGGTTTGGGTTGTACGACACTCAATCGAACAGCATTCTATTCAGCCATGCGGACTTCACTAAATTGACAATTGTAACAATAGAAGAGACATTATTTAGCATATTATTGATATTTGAGTCAAGCTTGAAATTACTTATTTTTACATGGACAGAAAAGAAAATAGGCTGTCAGCCAGAGGAAAAAAAATTAACAAAGCTTACTCATATGTAAAACAGAGTTTCAGTTCGTTGTTGCCAATGGCACTAAAAAACTAATAGCCCATTCGCAGCAGACATGAAATTGTTTTTGTCATATTTCTTAAGTAAACTGCAATTGTAATATTCATAAGCCCTCCACGCCTGAAAAAGAGGTCAACCGAAAAGAAAACACAGTGAGAGAGATTGCCAAAAGGCGACAGATTCGATAGTCTATATGCATGCTCAGATACCGATCTTGGCAAAGTTCTAGTCCATTACGTAATGTTTTGCGACAAAGAAAATAGGCATCTTTCGACTAAGATTTACCGCGTTTACTTCGGTATTAATTTCTTAAGATTTGCTTGACTGTTAAACAATTTTTTGCCCTTTATAGTGCTTGTTGAAAAAAATTCATAGGACCGAATTTGAGATAGAGGAAGGAAACACAAAATTGCAAATAGCGAGGAAACTGCCTTCATAACCCTATTTTTTCGGCATTTAAATGATCTGCAGGACGATTTTCACAAATTTGTGAAAATTTTGAGAGATTTCATCGAAGCAAATTAAAGAAAACCAAAGGAAAAGCCAAATTATGGCTGGCGAGCGCCTCCCTTCGTGGAACCTCAACTAAATAGCGAAAATCATTTTGACAATATTTACTACAGCAAACGATAGTCTCAACCTTGCTCATCGTCCTTTTGATGGCTTTTAGTGAACTTAAAAAGCGAAAAAAAAAAATTTCAAGAATACGAACAAGAGATCTGGAGAGCGCAAAAAAACTATTAGTCTCTTACTGTTCGTCTCTTTTTCGAGTAAGAGTAAATTTTTACAATGGGTTTCACTAATTGTAAGAAATCGATGTTTCTGCATGCCTTTTACCACCTTTCAGCTGTTAGTAGAGAAGAGGTTAAAAGGGTTTTTTTACTTACCGTGAATAGAAAAGTTGCTTTTCCCTTTTGCTTTTGTTTTTAACTAAAACTTTACTCTTCAGACGACAGAATAACCGGAAGTGTTTATGAAACAAAAAGAACCTAAATTAGAGTAATGGCTCTCTTGTGTCTGTAAGTTTTGAATTTAATAAAGCCGTATTTAAGTCAACTTTCATACTGGAATCTTAGCAATCATTCCCTTTTGCTGAAGTAGCTAAGGAAAAGCTAATAGACGATTTTAATTTTACAATAAATAGGTAAAAATGGTTCAGTTAACAGGTTAAGTAAATGTGTTTCGAATGTAATGGCTGAATTCGATAAAGCCGTATTGAAGTCGACCTTCATACAGGAACCTTAGCTGTCATTCTCCTTTGCTGAAGTTGCTCAGACTAAGGAATAACTAGTAAATGATTACGACAAAAATTGACTTGACAATGATTGAGAAGTAATGACCCTCTTGTGGTGATGTATTTCGAATTCAATAAAGCCGTATTTTAATCAATTTTCAGGCCTAAATATCAGCAAACACTTCTTTCGCTTAAGTAGCTCAGACTAAGAAAAACTAACTAATGATGATAAAAGCAAAGAACGAATTTCGACAACAGACTAGTAATAATGGCTCTCAAAACAGATTGACACAAGGGGCTCTTGCGTCAATATGTTTTGAATTCAATAAAGCCGTATCCAAATCGACTTTCAAACGAAAATCTTACAAGCATCCCATACGCTGCAATAGCCTCATGATTACAGAGTCAGTCAATGTGGAGCCAGTAGAATTTGAAAAAGTTCTCAACCAGGTTTTTCTCTAAGGTTCAAAGATTTTCTGACATTCCTGCCTCACTGAATTTAAAAGAACGTGAGTATTCTTTTAGATAAGAACGAATTTTAAAAAAATTGCCTCAAAGATTTGTTGACAACGAAGATACAAAACCCATCAAATTCACCAATCCTGAGATTTAGTGGGGCTCCATTTAGAGAAGTCTCCTTTCATAAAAAGGGAAAAAAACAGCAACAGAAATAAGAATACATTCTTGACGGTTTTTCCCTTGTCGGGAAGACTGGGTCTCAACTACTCGGCGCTCAAATCAAGAAGATTTAGAAAATAAGAAGAAATTATCAAATGTTTCTAGGAGAGGTATCAGGTGTTCTTTTTTCTCCCCTCAATAGAAAGTCGTTTAATGGGGTACATGGATTTTTATTTCAGTCTAGAATCCTCCAATCAGTGCATATTAAAGCTGGAGTCACGACGAAGATGTCTCAAACAACTTCACAAGATCGTGTAACTCGCTCGAGAGCAGAAATTTCGTTAGAGGTAACCTTCGCCATTCTGGTTTGCCTCACTTCCGTAATTGGTAATGTGCTGGTTGTTTATGTTGTAAATAAATACTCTGAGATGCAAACCATCACCAACATTCTCATTCACAATCTTGCACTGACTGATATTATCATGGCGACCCTTAACATGCCGTTCTGGATAACGAGCGTGTGCTTGGGAAAATGGAATTTGAGCCAGGAATGGTGTAAAGTCTCCGCATCAGCACAACTTACTATGGTTTTGTCCTCCTTGTTCATAATGGGCTTAATTGCCCTGAACAGATACTTGAAAGTCGTCAAGCGATCCTTGTATATCAAGTTCTTCCCTAGCAAAAGAGTTGCTTGGTTGTACTGTGGTCTCGTTTGGCTGGTTTCTGTGCTATTCGCCACACCTCCTTTGTACGGATGGGGAAAAATGAAGTTCGACTCGGACTTTTTCGTTTGCACATTCAACTGGAAGCAAGGACACGTTTCTTTTGTCATAGTGCTTTTAGGGTTCTTCTACGTGACAATGTTTGCAACATTTTACACCTATTGGAAAATTTACCAAACGGTGAAAGAAAGCACAGATAATGTCCACGCCAATGTCGTACAAAATGGCGTCGGCGCACCGAAATTCCATCGTACTGACATCCATGTTTTGAAGAGTTCTCTGACAGTGGTTTGTTTCTTTTTAATTACATGGATTCCTAAAGCCTTGTGTAGTTTTATAATAATTGGTGGAGGCCACATTCCACGTGAAGTGACTAAGGTATCTGCGTATTTGTTGTTCTCCAGTAGTGTTGTAAATCCAATCATCTATGGGATAATGAATCCGCAGTTTAAAAAGGCCTTCAAAAAGGCATTCAGTTGTGGTCGTTATGGCAACGGTAATGAAGATCCGAGTCATGCAAGAGTTGTAGCTGTAATGATACATCCGAGGAGCAATAAAACTTGATGATGTTTGGCATGAAGATCTATCATTTAAAGCTTTAATATAATACTTTTTTTTCCGAACCTTTTTTTCCGGAAAAGACGGGTTTATACTAGCTTTGTTCTGTTTTTACGCGTCTTTAGACTTGCCTCGGTCGGTCCAGTAAAAGACAAAAACAGACATGGGATATTAGAAACATTTTTAGTTTCCTGTCGAAAGTATTCGGGATTGTACAGGTTTTTCTTTATATTGCTTTGTGATTGGTCCCGTAAACTTGCACTACCCTCTCGACCAATCAGAGGCAAAAATAAATCCAATCAGAACTTGATCACTCGCGTTTTGCCAAGCTTTAGACAGTTTGGTTAGTTTTATTTTGAGTTCTCATTGATTATATTAGTTCGGCCGGTCCGGTCTCTTTAGTATCTACCATTAGCCCCCTCACTTCGGTAAATAATCATTAATTGACCTACGATTAAAAATGAAATTTCTGACGTTTGAGTGACATGGGAACAAACTAGTCAGAAATTAATATTCTGATGGCACGTTGAAGACGTTAGCGTGGCATCGTGGCAGTGTCGAATTATGTAAGCGTTTCGCTGAAAATTAAGTCTTTTGAGGTTGGTCAGTCTTGTATTTCACCACTTTTCTATTTGAATGTGTTGTAATTATCATTTCCAACCCAATTTAGAATATCATCACAATCATGATTTTTTTTTCTTTGTGATCAATAGTGTAACCATTTAGTTTACCCTTTCCTCGGGGTGCTGTGCTGCGGCTTTGATGAGGAATACGCCCAACAGATTTTTCTGGCCACATTTAAAGAGTACTTTTATCGGTTGTGCTTCGTATCTGGTCCAGCACAGGTTCCTTTCTTAGAAACGTTAGTTTCACCTTACACATATTAAGATTGCATCAGGATGCGTTCACCAAAAGACTGACTGACTAATCCTAAGTAAACTTTTCACACTGTATGGGTGATTTAGTGTTATCAACTGAGTCGATAGCGTAAATTGGCCACCGTAAAGAGTTTTAAGGCTGACGTTAGCCCTCCGCCAATCGCTTTCTCAACTGATAACACTAACTTACCCTGTTACTCTCCCACCGACGCAGCACCACTGTTTGTTTAGGAAGTTATCCCCTTTTCACATTGAATTTCACTTGTGGTGAGTGTAATCAGAATGATATCTTGACATTTCTGCCTCACTGACCTAAAAAGCACTTGAGAATTCTGTTAAAATTTAAACCAAGGATATGTTTATACCATACGCCAAAAAGGAACGCCATAAAGAAAATCCATTGAAGGGCCCGATGAGAGAAGCAAGGGAGATGGCGGCGGCGGCGAACTTAGCTGAAATTTGTCTCTGTGTAGAAAAAAAAAAAGGTGTCAAGATCAGCCACTACATTTAAAATATAGTCTTATTGGTTTTATTTGCCATTAGCACGACAGTAGCAAGGCCGAAGGCTGTGCTTTGCAAGACATGGGTCTCAATTATCCGGAGCTTTAATCAAGTAGATTTCAAAAATAGGAAAAAATGATTCAATGTATCTACAAGAGAAATCGTGTACCTTTTTTTTGGTAAGAGAGAGAAGTTAGTGGGGTAGCTGGAGTTTTATTATCCTTTAACAAACATACATTTCTTAACGGTTGTGGATGGAAAACAAGTCCATATGTGTTCTGTCGAGTGGGCGTGCTAAACATTATCAATCTGCACCTCGTTACGTGCAAACAATAACAAGAAAAACAACATTCAGCGTTGCTTTATTCTGCTAAAAGTGTGCAAAATCATTATGAGTGTTGAGTTTTAGCGCATTTTTTATAAGTTGAGGATAGGTCAGGGTCGCGTGCCGTTTTTTGGTAAGAATAAAAACGAGAGAGATCTGGGGCCTGGTGCAAACATACTTATAACTCTTGCATTTTTTATTGCAAACTTAAACTAATTGAGTGTATCTGATGAGAAAAACTATTTGCAAGAAATCGAGAGTTTTTAGTGACGCAATGTAAATTCTGCTGCTAATAAATCTTAACTTTACGGAAAGGAATAAAAGTGTTCTAGCATGCGCAACTAACAGAATGCAATTCATACATTTGTTAGGGGTAAAGCAAGGAGTATTTCATTCACTCAGTCTACAATGCTGGTTTTTCTTCTATTGGCGCGTTAGTTATTAAACCAAAAAAGTTTATATTCTTGGGCATCAATATGTTTTGGGACCTACTCGGAGTTTTTCCCGATGCGTTAGGCGATGGATAAATCAATCTGAGAAGCGCTCCTAAACATAATTATGCCCAAGAACGTAGCACTATTATTACCACTTGGGATGGAATTGAAGAAAGTGAAAAAATTGACAGCTAAACAGTTCGAACGACCACGCGAGCGGGCGTAAACATGTTTTACCCTGCCAAGTTTCCATTTTAAACCCGCACGATTCGATGCAACTCCCAACAAAAGTGATGGCAATTAAGATTTAATTTTCTTTGGATGAGAAATTCTCAACCAGTGAGGCTCAAACATCTCCGTATAGTCCTCATTCCAGAATGAATTCCTCTCAACAGACACGAAGGAGAAAATGGTGACGGCGAAAACTCCGGTCGATAAAAATTTTGGTACTCTTACGGCTCAGTAAACGAGGGAACCTGGGCCGGAGGTTTAAGGAGTGGATATGGGATGTATACTTATGCAAACGGAATAGATATGAAGGGTGTTAAAAAATGGCCGGAAACAGTGACAAGGAGAGTACATCCACTACTGCTCTTTCTGAAAGTCAGAAAACCGCAGATACCTAGATTCAAATCAAGCGGGACCATCCTGCATTAAACATCACCCACGGAGATGGCAAAGGAAAGGGCGGAATAAACGTACAATGTCTTGTGGTTAACTAGCATCCTTTAAGAGTCACATCTACAATCCACGACACCACAGTACAAGGAAGCAACTCCTTCACTGGGGAAACACTTGATGTACAATACCTTGACGATTTTAATGTATCCGTCTAGGGCAATTAAGCCCATGTTTAACATGAAGGCAAAAACCTTTGTAGCTTACACCGATGTGGAAACTTTACATCACTCCTTGCTCAAATTCCACGTTCCCATGTACAAGCTTGCTATCCAGAACGGTGTGTTAAGGGTCGCCATGAGGATATCAGTCAGTACAAGATAATTGTGAATAAAATGTTGGTGACGGTTTGCATCGCGGAGTGTCTATTAACGACAAAAAGAACTAGCACATTACTTATATGGAAGCAAGGCAGATCAGAATGGCGAAGGTTGCCCACAAAGAAATTTTCGCTCTCGAGCGACTAAAAGGATCTTAGGTCTGTCGAGGTCTGTCACTCAAGTTGCAGTAAACATGAAAAGAAACCAAACAAATATTTAAAATTCAAAAGCAAAATCTACCAGAAGTATGATGCAATGATAAAATTATAATTACCTCTTTAAGCTTCTTTTTTCCAGAGACTCATTTAATCGCATTTCTCAAGCCATTATCAGCGATTTATTTCAAGTTCGTATTGTCTCATAACCATGTATTATAGCTATTCGGTACTCTAACGAGAAGATTTAAAAATTTTTAAAAAATTGCGAAAGGAACCAAAGAACTTTGATATTTATAGTAAAAATATATCTGTATTGTTCTTCTGCGGAGAGGAAAAACTCTCGATGTTTACCGTTTGCCTTTCGCCTGAGCCACCTTTGCCTCTATTGTTCTCTCAGGAAAGTGGTTACATCTATATCTCCTTAGTTGCCCCCGAATCAAATAAATCACTTAAAGAATCATTTCCTATCTGTCAGTAGACTACTGAGCTGTCTGTTTGAAAAAAGATTTTAAGAGTTTTTACCGAAAATTTACTACTCTAAATGATCGGTGGTAATTAAACCTCGTTGATAATTTCATTTAGCGATCACGATATGTTCCTTCGCTTTGGTTGATTGTTTTGATAACTTTGGTTCTAGTTTGACGACACCCCACTTCATTTTCTCTTTGCCAATGGACATATTTTCCCTTTATCGAATGAACAGTTGATAGCAGACGAAGAAAACCTATTTTTATCGTCCATCTAAGCTTACTTAAATTAACTCATTGTTTTCTGAGCGGCACTGTTTCAAGGGTCTCAATGAGGTAATATGGCTTTTACGGCTAACGGTTGCAATTTTGGCCATTTTAGGGCTAAAATAACGTCATTCAATAGTTGTCTCCGTAATTTTTTTGTTTAAAGTCGGATTGTTTTCGATCATCGGTTGAAATTTGTCGATGTTTACGCCAATCGGCTAAATTTAGGCCGTTTTACGGCTATTGGTTAACCCTAATGAGACTCTCTATTTCCTTTGCTCTCCAGATAAAAATGACTCAAATGTCCAAAATGTTTTGAGTCATTTTACTTTTATTATTTCTATTGTTCAAATTCTAAGCTCTTTTAAGTCAAACAGACAGCTGATTCACTGACAAAGGGGGGATGATACCGCAAGCTTTCGTTTTAAGGTGATTTATATGATTGGGACAAAGGAGATCTAGTCGCATTCAAAGAGGAACGTAGACTTTAATTAGGTGGCTGTAACAAACGGAAAAAGCTGAAATGACGTTGTTTTCTTCTGCTGGTTTTCAAATGTTTGAACAGTAGAGGGTAAAGATTTTCCATTATCGAAAAAACGAAATTTGTATTTTATTTTTGCTTTTCCTTTTTCCTACCACTAAAGTTACTCCTCAAGAATCACTAATAGATTATAAGGAAAGTGAATATAAAGATAATTAGGGATAACGGCTCTCTTGAATTCAGTGAAACAGTATATAAGTCGACTGTGAAACGGAAATCTTAGCAATCATTACCTTCCGCTGAGGTAGCTTGATGATTTCAGCAGCTTTGGACATAAACCCAGCAGTAAGTAAAAAGATCTTATCCAGATCTTACACCGAGTTTGAGAGATTCACCGAATTAAAATCGTGAGTATTATATGAGGAAAATAAGTTGCACTATGTTTATTGAAGATACCTGAAGGATGACTATGTTGAAAATCGTTTACTTTAATCCTG